AGATTATCTTAATTTAAAAGAAATAGTTATCTTTTATAATTATCTTTAATATAAATTAACTTTAAATATAATATTTAAGTAGTTAAGAAAATTCTATTAAAAATTTATATCTATTATTTATAATAGTTTATAGTAATAATATAATAATTAAAAGAGTCGATAGTTAAAAGATTAGAAATTTTACGATTCTATTATATAATAAAGCTTAACGATCTCGACGAATAATTATTATTAGAAAATTAATTACTTTTTTTCGAGTTTATAATATAGTATTTAGATATAGAAATCTACTTATTTAATAAAAATCTTTTATTATTTAGAGATTATGATAATCGTAGAATCGATTTTTTTTAATAAAAAGATTGACCTTCGTCCGCCGTAGTATGGGTTGCCGTACAGATAAAGTTTCCCCACCAAACGTCAACGTGCATGAGATCGCTTAATATATATTTCGTGGGCTAATTACCGAATCATACCCCGAAACTATGAATCCTTACCGAATCATACCCCTAATTACTGAATCATACCCCTACACCAAAATTTGGGGTATGATTCGGTAAGGATAAATTGCATGGGGTATGATTCGGTAATTTACCAAACTTGCCACAGTGGCTTCCTTGAATGGCCTACTTGTAGATGTAGCTAGGTGCCTACTTTATGTCTATACTGCTAGGTGTCTATGCCTGTGTAGGTTATTGGGAGTAGAGAGTGTGTGTGAGAGTCACAGTATTAGCAACTCAGCTAAAAAACCTGGTCCCGGGGGTGTCTGCGCTTGATAGCCAGACACCCCTATTTGGACCTAAATAAGGCCCCCGTAGGGCCGTCGCAGGGCCCCCGTGGGGGCTGCTGCTAACACAGACTGGGTGTAGACAGGCTGGGGGGCCAAATTTAGCCCACTCGGCTTTCGTCTGATGTATTTGAGCTGGTAGATCACCCTTTGAATGCGGTCGGAGATATTCCCTTTTTTCTATGGTCGGATGGCCCAGGTCGCGGATCCTCTCCTTTGCGATTTTTACCATGAATGGTAAATTACCGAATCATACCCCAAGTGATGGCAGATTACTGAATCATACCCCTAGGGGTATGATTCAGTAATTAGGGTATGATTCCGTAAGGATTCATAGTTTCGGGGTATGAATTAGTAATTAGCCCTATATTTCGTTCTTTTCTTCCTTCTCCACCAGCAGGGCTGACAAACCATCCTTGTCGCTAGAGTATCAATCATGTCCAATACAAAGTGAAATCGCAGCATGTCCCGAGGTCTTGAGAATGGCCATGGTGAGGATAATGTTGCGAAGCGTCGAAAACTCTCAAATGGCACCACACACAGCGCCAATCGAGCCCCAAAGATCTTCGCTCCATTCAGGGCAAGGATTTCTTTCTAATCAACGAAAATCATGCAGCAATAGCTAATGCACCTTAACAGACGATAGGCCTTGTCTCGCCGACTGCGGTTCCCTTTACTTCTCTCCCACTCGGCAAAACCACCTTCCAAGTCACTACCTCCGTTGGACGATGCCTACACACCTACGACCTTTTGAAGGGCTTGAACTTAATCTTTCTGACCAGACCTCAAACGCCAAGTGATATCACGGCTACAGTCGCCTGGAAAGATCGTGTATTCGCCGCCTGGGGTGGAGAAGCAGCAAGTAGCGATGTTGGAGTATGGGTATTCAAACGGGGGAAGAAGGTTGGAGAATTGGAGAGACCACTGGGGCTTTCCGAGTCCATCAATCGGCTTATAATCTTCGGTTCTTGGATAGTGGGATCCTGCTCGACGCGAATCGAAGTATGGAAGTCTGCGACCTATGAGCACTACACAACGCTCACTCCTACAATATCAAGAAAGGCCGGTCAAGGAGGCATACTTTCTGGAGGAATATGCAACATGCCAACTTATTTGAATAAGGTCTTTGTAGGCAAGCTAGATGGAAGCCTTGACATTTGGAATCTGAGCACTGGCAAGCTCATCTATACGGCACTTCCACCGAGTATTTCGTCTGGAGCAGTCACTGCCCTGGAGCCTACCCCAGCGCTCTCTCTCCTAGCAATCGCCCGTGCGGACGGATCTATTGTTCTCCATGACATCCGTGTTGATAAGGCAGTCTTGAGTCTCAATACTAAAGCATCCCATCCTTCTACGATTAGCTCAATATCATTTCGAACTGATGGACTCGGCGCGGGGCAAGATGGTAGCAAATCCGGTATCATGGCTACGGCAGGCACAGGTAGTGGAGATGTGACCTTCTGGGATCTCAATGATGGAGGACGTATCACTGGGGTTCTGCGAGGAGCCCACAATCCACCCTTTTCGGCTCATGGCCGCGATTTAATTGGGATCAACCGAGTTGAGTTTTTGCTTGGTCAAGACGTAATGCTCACAAGTGGACTGGACAACGCACTGAAATCCTGGATATTTGACGCTAACTCGTTATCACCAACACCTCGCATCTTACATTCGCGCTGTGGTCATGCCGCGCCAGTCACACGGCTCACTTTTGTGCCATCGAACTCTGATGGTGCAGATACTGGAGGCAAATGGCTCATGAGCGCTGGAAGAGATCAAAGTCTCTGGGGATGGAGTCTTAGAAGAGATGGGCAAAGCACTGAGCTCAGCCAGGGAAACGTTCGGAAGAAAGCAAAAAGACTTGGTCTTTTGGGCAAGAGTCTAGAGAATGAGAAATCTACAACTCTGGAAGATTTGAAAGCACCTGAGATCATAGCTATGGCTTGCTCATTGAACCGCGACGGAGGAATGGGTGCTTCTAGTGGTGGCGGTGCTGTATGGACGAATACAACCTCAAAGAAGGGTCCTGCTGATGCGTCAGAGAGTAATGCTACTGGTTGGGAAAGCGTTGTAACCGGTCATCGTGGGGACAAGTATGCAAGGACTTGGTTTTGGGGCAGGAAAAAAGCAGGAAGATGGGCCTTCGAGACTGGTGATGGGACGGGGGTAACCAGCGTTGCTATCACTTCATGTGGAACCTTCGCGCTCGTGGGCTCCGCTGGCGGAAGCGTATCTTCGTTCAACTTGCAGTCTGGTATCCAACGCCAGAAGTTCCCATCATCCCTGACTCCAGGACAAGCGAGAAGGCTAAAGATGAGCCATGGTGCCGTTGGCTTGGATGAAAAGCGAAAGTATGCATTGGGCGAGGGGAGACATAAGAGAGCTGTGACTGGCCTCATGGTCGACGGCCTCAACAAGACACTTATCAGCTGTGGCTTGGACGGAAAGATCAAGTTTTGGGACTTTCAGACAGGTTTGCTGCAGGACGAGATTGACTGGTTCCCCATGACGTCTATCATAGCATCTCAATACCACAGGCCAAGCGATCTCGTGGCCTTAAGCTGCGACGACTTATCCATCCGAGTGGTTGATACAGAGACTAAGAAGCTTGTCAGAGAACTTTGGGGCTGTCTAGGGCAGATCAGCGACTTCTGCTTCTCAAACGATGGTCGATGGATAATCGCGGCCTCGATGGATTCAGTCATTCGGGTATGGGATTTACCTACCGGTCATCTCATCAACGCGGTCCGAGTTGAAAGCACGTGTACAGCATTGGCGTTTTCGGACACTGGGGAGTTCTTAGCTACTGCCCACGCGGATAGCGTCGGGATCAACATCTGGAATAACCGTACGCTCTTCACCCACGTCCCCACAAGACTACTCAAGGAAGACGAAATCAGCCCAGCGATTACAGCTACCCAATCTGGGGAGAACGGTCAAGGATATATAGATGCTGCTTTTGATGAAGAGGCGGACGAAGAAGTGCAAGAATTGGACGATAACGATCTAGCGCCTACCGACCAGCTCAGCCTTGACATGCTCACACTAAGTCTTGTTCCCAAAAGCCGCTGGCAAAATCTCCTCCATCTCGACACCATTCGTCAACGCAACAAACCTAAGGAACCCCCGAAAGCCCCCGAAAAGGCCCCTTTCTTCCTTCCTTCCCTCGACAGCGCGAAGTTAGCTGAGCCACCCAAAGCAGAAGAGCAAAACCAGAACACTCTTGCCGAGCGCTCTCGCATCACGAAGATGGACCGCGCTGCTACTGCAAGCCAATTTACCACTGCACTCCAAGCTACTAGGCAAAATAGCGACTACACCCCCTTCATCGCGCACCTCAAAACCCTTTCGCCATCAACCGCAGACATCGAGATCCGTTCTCTCAACCCAGAGGAGCTCGTGCCTTTCGTCTCGGCTCTCACGTACCAACTACGTAGCAAGCGAGACTACGAACTTGTGCAGGCATGGATGGCCGTCTTCCTACGCATACATGGAGATGCTGTGCCTGGAAATGCAGGCCTGAGGCAAGCGCTGGTGGAGTGGAGAGAGTGGCAGGCGCAGGAGGGGAAGAGGCTGGGGGATTTGGTGGGATTCTGTGGGGGTGTGGTGGGTTTTATAAGGAGTGGGAGAACTTGATGATATCATTTGTTCAGTTGCATTTGTTGAGAAGTGTTTGAACCATCGGTCAAGTAAAAATGTAAGGCTGGATACCCTAGATACCACATAGAATTTGGGCTTTTTGCTACAACAAATAGCTTGAGTGAATAGAGTATGTCGCTTCTCTGTCCTTGACGTCCATCCTTTCTCAGGGCTCCTTTTCAGACTCCGCTAAACGATTGTGGGAATCATCGCATTTTCCTTGCATATCTATTGGGGCAATATCCACAATTGTCAAGGCGCGAATGGATCAGAACTATTGGGAAAGGTCCGAGCTTGAGATCAGCCACCAATTTGCTATGCAAAATATGTAGCTCATCGCTCTCCGTACCAGACGCATACAGATTCTGCTTCCCGAAGCTTTCTATATCATGTTATCAGACCCGTAGGGATAAAGTGAATATGGGATGGTGAGGTAACATTTTGCAGTTACTTTGGGTATCAATTGGAAAATTGTTATATACAAACGATCTTGTTCAGCATAAGTCGTGATCTCATCTAGCCAACCATGTAATCTTTCTGTGCTAGCTATCGGATCTAAACTGGCAAGTACACCTCATGCGTCCTCGTCGCTATGATTGACGACCTCCTCAGCATCTGCCTCCTTCTGCAACATCACAGCCAGCAGATCGAGGAGGTGGTGGACACTACATGTTTTATTTTCTAGGGTCGACATTTGAACAGCCAGTTCGAAGCCTGAAGGTATCAGTTGAGCTATGGGCGGAAGCGTACTGAGGATCGATGCGAGTTCCTTCAGGGGTTCTGATGGACCAGTCTTTGTTGTAGATATGGTGTATACCAGTATCTGCTTGGTCATACGTAGAGTGTAAAGCACAGCTTGTACCTGGGCTGACAGATGGATGTCCTCCCGTGTCGAATTAGGTTTCGACAGGCCCGTCATGAGCCGTGTCATCATCTCCCTTGATGGAGGGGGCTTGCTGTTATCTAGATACCAGCGGTAGACGTCTGCTAGTGCATATACTCTCCAAATCACATGTTCGGGGTAGTCGGCGAATGTCTCGGCGAAGGCTTGGACTTTGGCCAGGAGTTCGGTGGACTGGACGCGGAAGTCGTCGGGCGAGGGAATGCAGATCTGCTGAGCGATGATTCTGTCTCCTCTTCGGTAATACTCTGCTGTGGTTGGTCGCGGCCGTTCCTGCGGCCTGTCGCGAAGGTGATTGGGAATTGAGTACGCGAAGGAGCGCTCTTTTGTGCAGACTAGCCATGCTGAGGATCTCGAAGGGTCGTCAATGAGGCATGGCAAGTACATGTAGACATTATCCTGACTTGTCGCTGTGAACTGTAGTACGAGCTCTGACACCCGAGGATCTAGAGGTGGTGCATGAGTGATGTAATTGGCCAAAGAGTCCGGAGAGAATGTCTGCGATTCAGTGATTGAAGTATTGGTGGCAAATTCCTCGAGGAACTCTTGGAATGAAAGATATCCAATATCTCGGTGCTCTTTTGCGCGGATCACCGCATCCGGCAGAGTGAGTTTTCCTTTCGTTCTTGACAATACATAGGCAAGTCGCTGTAAGTCGACGAGGCCTAGATGTTCGGCAATGTCTTTGGGACGGAAAATCGAAAGTCTGACGGTTTTGCAGGCAATTTGCTCACCATTCTCTTCTTCTCCTTCTGGACGGAGCTCAACCTGATGGATTAATGAAAATGCACCGTGCGAGCCCAGATCATGAACGAACAGATCCGAATCGTTGGTGAGAATAATGCCGCCATCCCGAGCCGCTTTGGCACAGTAAATATCTGCCTCGCCAGGTACAACAACAGATACAGCTGCATATTTACTGCAAGATACGGCATCAATGACAGCTGGGACAAGAAAAGGAGGAGCTATCATGCCATGGAAAGTAGTTGGCGTTGGAGGTCCTGCTTCGAAGACGTGGCTTGGTGTCGCCGGGCCATGGTCGCAAGACCCTTGTACATTCTTGGATCCATTGCTGTTCCTCACAATGTGCTTCTTCAAAAGCTTGAGAGAATCGCTTAGTCGTTGAATGCGGATGTCCCTCTTGCGCGTTGGTAGGTAGCCGTCGAAATAGATCTTTTCACTGAGTAATGCGCAGTCAAGTCAGCCAAGAGCTTGAGTCATGCATCGATAGTACGCACATCACCAATCCATAGCTTTCCAATTGTTCGAGGAATGCCAATGCTCCTTTGCCAACCTCATCGTATGACGGCATCATCTCCATGGTGTCGAGAGAGACTGACCTGTGTATAAAGAGTCTGTTGAATATGCAGTAGGCAAAGGATGGTCCATCGACGATGATTTGGTTGGTTTGACGTGCGTCTTGAGCTTGGTGCCTTTCACAGTTTGGCGTTTGGCAGCCTACGACCGTCGAGATTGCGTAAGGTTGAAAGTGCTTAATTAGACCTGGTATTCCCATGTTGACGGACGAAGTGATCGGTTGGTAGCCTTACGAAACAGCGAGGTTCATTGATCGTAGCCCTGTACTATATTAGGAAATATGATTTCCGAGAGCTAAGTTGCGCAGATAAAGATTTTCGGTGCGGGTGTAAAGGTTGTGAGGGCAAGACACGGCAGCGTTCAAGTCATTCACCACAATAAAACGTCATGTTCATTGTTTTGCAATATGGTTACCTCGCCAGCAGAATATAATCGAGACGACAGATCAAGGTAGCGGTGCTCGCGTTCACCCTTTTTCCAACATCGCAAGTATTTGTACAGTTTTGAGGCAGGATCAGATGACTTGCTGGACCCTACACGTTCTCATGGAACATACTCCTCCTCTCCGTCGGACTGTCGTCCTGTGGCCCGCCTCCACTCCCCTGTTTCGCATGACCTTTGCCCTCCTCATGTGGTCTCGGGCTCACACCCCTCAGCTCGCTTCTCTCCGCCTCATCTCCGAATGGATCCTCGTGCCCCATCTCCTCATCATATCTCTCATCCAGACCCTTCTGACCTCCCCCAATATGTGGAACTCCAGCGCGACTGATACTGCGGCCTCTTTCTTCGCCATAATCTGGCAGTGCCTGACTCCCGCCTCCGTATCCTCCACCAGCATACGCTCCACTCGCCGGCGGTCGCAACCCCAGCTCCTGCTCTTCGTAGTAGCCACCAGCCCCATACCCATCCGCCTCAGCCCCTACCCTGGCATCCCAAGCCTCATCTGGATCCAGTCCCCTCCTCGCGCCAGGTCCAAGCGGCTGTTCATATGCTCCGCTTCTTGACCCTGAGCCTTGGATCTTTGACTTCACCCAGGCAAATATGCCAGATGGCGCAGGATAGGCACCCGCATGTCGATTTCGCTTCCAAGGGATGTACGAGGACAATGGAGGAGGATCGCGTCCCGCACGCTGGGCCTTCAGGCGTGAATATCCGATCCATCCGAGCGCGGTGATGGGGATGAGGAGGATGAGGACGAGGATGAGCCCTGCGTAGATGTTAGAGCCATCATTCTTTCTTCAAGAAAAGAGACTGAGTTGTGAAAAAGAGCTAAGGAGCATGATCAAAACATGTTTGCGATTCAAATCTTGGAGCTAGGTACTGGGATCACGTGGATTCGCATCCGCGTAAAGTAATAAAGTAGATGTACGTACAGCCCCAGCCCGACATTTTCGCAACTTTGCGTTCGGGACGTCAATATTATGAGATACAAAAGTACATAATCGGTGACTGCTTTGATGTGACCACAGGCAGCGAGTGACAACAATATTGTCTGTGGTTGAGAAGCAGCTGAGTTTGACAGACGTTGCGGAAGCTTGGCTGGCAATGCGGAGGAGACAGGGGTTCACCCGGCTAAAGTTGTACGTACTCTAAGTGCACGTCGGCTGCAGGCCGAGCAGGTATCAAAACTTCGACGCACCCACCATCATGCGGCTCCGCACCACACTCAGGCAACACAGCAACCATGGATCTTTCATTAGGTCCCCGCTTTTGTGGCTCTGCTCACTGTCGTTGCTACAACGTGGGAGACGACAATGTCAGCGCCACCCAAAGAAGACTGCCAGAATGAAGGGACCGTTCGAGGGAAGGATGCCAGCTTAACCTACGACGCCGTGGAGGGCATCCTTATCATTGAAGGCGACTCCGGGCACGAGACCATTCTCGACCGCAGCGTTATCGCTGTCGTCGATGGGAGAAAGGATGGAGAATCTGGTACCAAAAATCAGCAAATTCTGCTCCTCTACCAACTCCCAGGAGCGCACTACAGGTTCGAGGATGTCCAAGTCACGAATTTGCCGCAGTCATTCATAGACGCCAACGTAATCTCGCCTGGTTTTGGGCAACTAGTGCCTTCCAGAAGTGCATCCGAAGGCAGCGGCTCCGTTCCAAGTCTATATGTCGTAATATCCATCGGTTCTGGTACAGGTGAAGCACAAGGATTCTTTGATAATGTTGTCAAGCCAGCATTTACTGCTAGTGGCGTTCAACCGTTTTCCTATCACGTTCATACTACGAACTCTAACAAGAGCATCGAGAGGCTTATCAGCGCGGTGATACTGCCTCGAGCGAATGAAGGCGTGTCTCAAACAGTCCTGCTTTTATCAGGCGACGGCGGTGTGGTCGACACCATCAATGTGTTGCTCTCTTCGACGAGAAGCGGACAATACGTCAAGCCAGCAATCGGCCTTGTTACCATGGGCACTGGCAATGCTTTGGCTAACTCTACAGGCCTGAATCGCGATCTGACGCGAGGTCTTCGTCACTTCTATCGTGGACAAGCCCACCCGTTACCAACGTTGACTGCAACGTTCTCCCCAAATTCGGAAATTCTGTTCAATGAAGGTAGACAGACCGAGCCTGTAGCGCCACCTGCTGCTGATGCCGGAGAAATGTACGGAGCTGTGGTCTGCAGCTGGGCTCTTCATGCTTCTCTAGTGGCCGACAGTGATACGGCGGAGTACCGCAAATTTGGTAGTCAACGTTTTCAGATGGCTGCAAAAGAACTGCTTTCACCGTCTGATGGCTCTGCACCGCATGTTTACAAGGGTCAAATCACACTGGTCAAGCTCGACGAGAATGGCCATGAAATTCAGCAGATGCTGGATGCGCAGGAACATGGGTACATACTAGCCACACTGGTCTCTAACCTGGAAGAGAAACTTACCGTCTCTCCTCATTCGAAGCCTCTGGATGGCCAGCTACGCTTAGTGCATTTTGGCGCTATTCCTAGCGAAGAAGTGATGAAAATTTTGGGACTAGCATTCCAAGGCGGAGCCCATATTGATAATGAAACGGTCGGCTACGAGAGCATCGAGAGATTTAGGATCGACTTCGATGAATCAGATGGTCGCTGGCGAAGAGTGTGCGTAGATGGGAGAATCGTCCGAGTGGGTGAAGGCGGATGGGTGGAGGTGAGAAAGAACACTAGCGTGGATGTCATCGATATCATTGTCGATTTGAGAGTATGAATCAGGAAGCGGAAGATATATTCGAGAATACCTTAGAAAAGACAATCAAGATTGATATCACATGTAAAAAGCCGCCAAGGAGTGGCGTTGCAACTGCCTTATGCAATCATCTAAAGACCAGGTAACGCGGTCACGCGCCGCAGCTCATGCAGCTATAGCCTCATGTGAGCCGACAAAGGCTCAAGGCAGTGGGACTTTCAAGAGCGAGAAACAACACCGTCCCACGAAATTACTTTCTTGGAGAAGGCAACCTCGCCGCACAACCGCTTTATCCATCCTCTGCCGGGGCTGACATCGGAAAAGGGTCCACAACAATGCAACAGTTCCCGCTTGAATGCTTATCACTCCACGTACTTACGGGCAGCTTCAAAACATACAAGAGGGTTCTAATCCTGGCAGCCTCGGACCTCTGCCAGCAATCGGCTGGCGCGTATCTCCGGAGACAGTCGCACAGCGCCAGAAGATGCTGCTCGTGCATCAAGTCGGATCCGTGCGGGTTGGAGAGGTAGTACGGTTGGTTTGGTCTGCTCTTAAAGGCGGACTCAAATTCTGACGTCCACCAGCTATACACTCACATACACGCCCTCGCTTGACCGAATACTGCCATCACCTACATACTTGCATGTCAAGATCAAGAATTCATCAGCAATACCTCTCCGAGCCGCGTACCTCCACGGTCCATATACCTTATACACCGCCTGCTACCCTGCAACATTCGATCCGAATTACAAGTACGAGAAACCATCTCAAGAAAGCTGTCCAGAATTTGAGCCCAATCTTAAGGCTGGGGGCAGCTGGACGAGTCGTTTGACTGTGCCGGAGAACATACGGGAGACGGCTGGAAAAGCAAATGTGAAAAGAGGGACCGATGGTTCTACTCCGAGCTTTACGTGGATAATTGAGATCTCGTCACAGGTCATATTTTCTACATCAGCTTCGGTCAATTTCGAGCTTCTCGTGGGCAGGGACGAGAAGTCAGTAGAGCTTGGGTTTTCATCTTTAACGGGTCAAGCGGTAGCCACACCCGGCCAATTACAGGATCATCAGCAAAGTAAGAGGAGCAAAACCGGCCACAGTGCAGCGCAGCCCAAAGGAGTGTTTTCACATGCAGTGACTCTGGTAGTCGAAGATACGGAGAGCTTGTGGAATAAACCAGCTCTGCCGGAGTGGGATGATGAAGGGAAGGACAGGGGCAAAAGGCGCAGCTACCCTGATCCTGGAGAGGGGAATGACTTCTCCTCGAGGAACGTAGCGGGTGAAGCGGGAACCAGTGATGAAAACAAGAAGAAAGAGCCAAAAGCCAAGAAGCGGAGACGAGTTCACTTGGTCGTTCTCACTCACGGCCTGCACAGCAACCTCGGAGCTGATATGCTTTATTTGAAGGAGAGCATTGACGCAGCAGCAAAGGAGGCTCGCCAGAGTGCTAGGGAGAGAAGGGCGCACGAAAAGTCCAAGCACACATCAAGTTCGTCCGACGGTGCAGCTCAACCAAAGAACGAGAGCGCCAGTTCTAAGAAGGATCAGCCAGACTCGTCTACTGCTCCTTTGTCTGGCGGTCAGGATGATCTTGACGCGGGAGCCAATGTTGACGAGGAAGATGAAGAAGAAGTCATTGTCAGAGGTTTCGATCGCAATGCCACTCGTACGGAGCGAGGTATACAGTATCTAGGCAAGCGGCTCGCAAAATGGGTGCTCAACATGACATTTCCGGATCAACCGTACCTACCTGTGAAGAAGTCTCTTCCAAGGAAGCTTTCCAGAGTCTTCACTGGCGACCAGAAATCAGACACTCAACAAAGCCCAGCTCAACATAACCACAGCAGCATTCATCGTCCAGCGAAAAAGCCTAATGACTTAGCGTACAAGATTACGAGCATCAGCTTCATCTCACATTCTCTGGGTGGCCTGACCCAGACGTACGCTATTGCCTACATTCATAAGCATTCTCCCAACTTTTTCAATGAGATTAAGCCAATCAACTTCGTCGCCATGGCTGCGCCGTTTCTTGGGCTGAGCAATGAAAACCCGCTATATGTCAGGTTTGCCCTTGACTTCGGACTTGTTGGGAGGACCGGACAAGATCTCGGCCTGACATGGAGGGCCCCGACCATGATGCGGAGTGGATGGGGTGCCATGATTGGCGGCATCGGCTCGGAGGGCCAACGAGCACACAGACAGCCAGATCCCGGATCGAAACCCCTACTACGTATCTTACCGACAGGTCACACACACCAGGTCTTGAAGCTGTTCAGGAATAGGACAGTCTACTCGAATGTTGTTAACGATGGCATCGTGCCTCTACGGACTTCGTGTCTTCTATTCCTTGATTGGAGTGGTCTAGATCGAGTGGAGAAGGCCAGAAGGGATAATGGTCTAATTGGTACTATGGCAGGTTGGGGTTGGTCAGAGATTACGGGTGCCAATAAAAGCTCAAACAAACATCTCCGCGCCGACAACGGCAATGATGCTTGGTCGCAGTCAGACATAAGTGGTGACGAGGGCGCCAGTCAAGGAAGAAAGGCTGCAGTACCTCAGCCGGAGGAAAATGCAGTCCGGGATGACACGACGGCAGAAGGAAACGAAAGCCGAGCGAGCAAAAAACATCCTGACCCTCAAGGTAAACCATTCGAAGACGAGGACTATGATGCTACAAAAGCTGAGGAGCCAACGTCCCATCAGCCAGCACATCCTCTGGCTGGTTTGCTTTCTTTTCTTCGCCCCAGTCAGCCCAAGAGCCAGCCCAAGAGCCATCATCACTCTCCCAAAAATACCAAGATCTACAAGAGAAGCCAGACTACCAATCGTACCGCGGATGATGTGGCAAGCATGTCCTCAGAGGGCTCGTCCGCAGCCGGGGTATCTCTGGGTCGCCCAGGGACTGTCAGAGGCGATTCGATCATCGAAAATCCCAACAATGATTTTGCTCCTCCAAAAACTACTATCTTCGAGGCTGCGGGTGACGTCTTGAATCCCCCTTTGCCGACAAGGGAGTTCTTGACCAATCCCCAAGGTCGACCGCGCACTATTTTCCATGATCGTGTCTACCATCCTGAAGACATACCACCTCCGCCTACCAAAAGAAAGCGAGAAGGTTTAAAGAGGACTTTTTCGAGCGAGTCTCGGAACGGCCCTTCTCGCGTCAACACAGACTACGATGGCCAATTCAAAGAGACTCCGGACATGAGCAGCATGAAAGTGGAAGAAAAGATCGCACGAGCCTACCATCATGGCCTATCATGGCGCAAAGTACTCGTCCGTCTCGAGCCCGATGCACATAATAATATGGTAGTCCGACGCATGTTCGCAAACGCCTATGGCTGGCCGGTAATCAAGCATCTTGTTGACACTCACTTCGCTGACACCTATGCTGCTACAACGGCAGATGTGGATGAGCCGAACAAAGAACGCGCCAAACCACCAACAGAAGCTGTAGGCGAGCATGGCGAGGAAGTGCGTGCTGACGCGCCCAGGGAAATGAAGCGCAGTGATAGCGAACGGTATGAAGCTAAAGACAGCATCTCTGAGCTTACAAATGTGGAAGACCACAGTATGAGTAGCAGCATTAATCGCCCCAACATTTCCAGACAGGACTCCGCGCAGTGGGATGACTCAATGTTTGACGTTACCGACGATGATGATGATCTCGACCAACCGGGCAGTACGGGCCACGGCTCTTCCTTTTCGAACGCTGAGTCGACGAAGGGTACTTCAGAGGCTGAGATCGCGGAGTTTTTGACAAGGTCACCGCTTCCAGTTGATGAAAATGCAAAGGCAAAATCGGCAACGAAGGCTCCGTCTGGAGGGACATCCTCTGTTGGGCTAGGCAAGTCAGTTGAAGAGCGCTTGAGTCCTGGCAAGTCTAGGAGGCGGACCATGGAGGGTCAAGGAGACGGTGGAAGTGGGAATCTTGAGGATGAAGTTACGAGGATACGCATTGGAGATGGCCAATGAGTCTCAAGCATTGTGCATTAGCGAGCGGTTAGCCCTTTGTTTAAACCTCGCTTGCATTTGGTAGATAGATATTATGACAAGATACAATGAATTATACAAGTCAAGTGCCTGAATAGTTCACCAAGATAAGAATATTCGAATTGATTTTACTGATCGATTGGGGTTACTTGCCTGAAAAGTGTTACTCTTTTAATTTTGTATACCCCCCCTGTGTAACAAAATGTCGCGATGAATCCGCAATTCCTGCGCGATGTCAGCTCCCCGCTCTCACAAACGGACATTATTCCGAGCATCTGACCCGCTCCGGCGGTACCACCACCTTCTCCGAAAGCAAAACTGCGAATAAAAAAGGCGAGACACATGGGCCTACAGCCTGAATGCCACTCTCATTTTGACCGCTTCAAAGCAGATATGGTCGAACCCGATGGACTTCTTCCCCTTGTGTTCCAACACCGATGGGGTTTTGGAGCATATGATGACATGCAAAACAGGGATTAAGCGGTGTGTTTGGGCGTCTGATAAGGGGATGGGGCCTTGAGTGTTCTAGCATTCGTAGCTAGTTGAGGATGGAATAGACGTTGGAGAAGGGACGGGGGCCCGTTATTGTTTGTTATTTGTAGCTCTTCAGGAATAGAATAGACGTTGAAGAAGGGATAGAGGTCGGTTATTTTCTACCATTTGAAGCTCTTCAGGAATATAATAGACGTTGAAGAAGGGATAGAGGCCCGTTGTGGTTCTACCCTTTGTAGCTCTTCAAGTAGAAAACAGGCGTCTAAGAACGGATTGATCCCTGCCTTGTCTTACCATCCGTAGCTCTTCAAGAAGGAAACGGGCGTCTAAGAACGGATTGATCCCTTCCTTATCCTACCATCCGTAGCTCTTCAAGAATAAAACGGACGTCTAGGATGGGGTTGAGGCCATTTTTTCCCTCTATTTATAGCTCTTTAAGAAGGGAATTGGAATGGAATTGAGGTAGTGGAATCGTGGACTAGTTCAAGATTTTCCCCATATTGATCCGTCTTTCATAGCTGTCCAGACCCCCCGTATGTCCATGTTCTCTGGCTTGTTCCCTATGAAAATTCCCTAATGCACACGTCAGATCCGAAATCTCACGGTGGATTAGCTGTACGTACCCCTCATCTGACTGACGCCTTTTCGCTCAGATCCGTCTCGGCGAAAGAATTTTTCAACACACCCTCCCCCTTCGTATCACCCCTTCGTAGCCTGTATGTCCAGGAGCTACCGTTGTATAAAACCTCGTCAATAAACAGCTTCTCTTTTCCGTTGCCCTCCTTCTGAGTAAAGATGACCTGGCCTGCGTGATAGATGTGCCTAACCTGCATGGATTGGCCTCTTGTTAGCTGTGACACGACAGGCAACTTCACGTTTGCACGGGCAAATCCCTTACCTTCTCTTCGCAGTAGAACTTGAAATATGAGTGACTGCCGACATGTTGAATGGCGCAATAGGGGCTGGATCGTGTTGCAGAGGATTGTGTTATGAGCATTTTTGAAGCACAGGTGGCGAGCTACTTTTACACGCTCGTACATCAGGCGGGCTATCAGAATAAGTGGCAGTTCCGCCAAGAAGGGCAACGAGAACATTAAAGCCTAAGTCAACAATGAAAGGATTTTGAAACTTACTTTTGCTTGTAGGAATATAGGTACTACTAATCGTAGCAACTTTGTAACGAAAATAATCTTCTTGAAACCTCTTCTTGTTGAGTTCTCGTCGATAACTCGAAGCGCCAAGACTGCCACCTATTCTGACAGCCAGCCTGATCAGGGACATTTCAGGCCGGTACGCAATACCAGTCTAGAAATTTCAACGCAACGAAGCCGTTGCAAGATACTCCCCGCATCACGCCCGACTTACCTGACACTGGTTCTTGTTAATCATAGCGATGGTTCAGTATTGGAATCCCTATATGACAGGTTATACGGAATCGAGCATTTCAGCAGCCATGGATAACAGGCAGTGATGGAGTGATATTGGTGAATCTAGGTTGCCAGTCATGAGCCCCTTTTCTGGATTTCGAGAATGCCTAGAACTGTTTGTCGACTTGTTGTCGACATTACACTTCGACCTCGGTTTACTTGACTATACTTCATCAGAAAGCTTTTGTGGTTCAAATCTCCGCCAAAAGTTCTCAGTATCGCTATTGCCGCCCACGGGCTTCCTATGGTCTTTTCCGTTGGCACTCCTTGCTCGATGAGCTCATGGGGGCAACATGATGCAGTCGCTGCTTACGCGGCAAAATTGGCCAGGAATGTTACAAGGACTGCACAATACCTAAAAGATCGCGAGACGTCAGCTGCTTCAAATCTATACTCGAATGCTCGAATCATTCACAAAGGCAGAAAGGCCAGTGACAGTAAACACCCACGCTGAAGTGGCTGCGAAGTTCTCATGACGCCGAGCCTTGGAGAATGCGTGCAAAGCTGCCGAGAACAAGACCGTGAAAGCCCCAATCATTAGGAGTTTTAGAGCGTTAGGACCCCTGACGATATATAGCACCGCCGACGGGCCTAGTAGCATGCTGGCGGCGGTGATGGTGAGCACTATTCTGATCAGTACATCAATGCGGTGCTTGCTGCGTAAAAGAAGGTTTGGATTGTCGCTGATACGACGTTGCTCCGGCGAGGTAAAGATGCTCTGGCACAGTTAGTAAATTTGGACCTAGCAAGGACGAAAAAGACCCAACATCTCTTCTAGGGAAACACGTCAACAAAGCTCGTTCAACAATTTTATCGAGCCAACCTTCCTCTTGCTTTTCGACCAGAGCTACGAAGTCAGTGCCATGTAAAAGATGATCTCTTTCCTCCCCGGAGAGGGGTTGCTCTTGTTCTATCCATGTCTTCATTCCTTGGAGGTCTCGCGCGTCAGGAGCCCTCAACGATGCAAATCTTATTGTCCTCTCCACCAGGTCGTCTCAACGCTGTGTGAGCCATTGTCAGACAGAGAGAAGCCAGCATCGCTTACCATATTCTTTGAGCTTTGGGCCAATCTTGTTTATGAAAGCCTTCCGTGGATTTTTTTCGTTATGATATTCATATCTTTTTCTCGACATAAGGAATGTGCCATCGTCAATGCTCGCATCTTCGTCATCCTGGTCAAGCAAACCCTTTTGTAGCTTCGCAAGCTCGTCTTGGCAATACAAGCGATGTCTAATGCGTGAATGCATAAAACTCCTACACATGAGAAATTTCCTTGAGTCACAGTCAAAGAAGGCTGCAAGTTGTGGGTAACCTTCCGGGTGATCGTCGACTGCCTAACATTTAGCCATTGCGTCTGCTGATATGAGAGACGGAATTCAAGCTGTACTTCGTTTGACCAGCCTTTGAATCTTATCGGATCGCTCTTGCGGTGGCAGATGGACAGTCGATGAACGCGACGTGAATTTCGCACGCAGATAAGTGGTCACTCTGCGAAGTAAGGTCTGAGAAGCAGAATCTACACAGCATCTGTTACCTCCTAGGTTTGTAGGATTCAGTTTGATGGTATCCAATTACTTGTTCCTCCAACGCAAGCTCTTGGATTTGTCTCTGCTCGTTCCTCATCATATCCAATTTCGGCACTTCCAAGACCAGCAACGCGCCTTCCCCGAGTCGATGCTATCGGTGACATGCGATATGACGACGCAGTAGAGGAAGTTGCTCCGGCCATGGTCATTCTTGAGGAAACAGTAATGAAATTCACGATCGCTCTTGCAACAACAGGGCAGCCTCTAATATACAAGGTGCCTGAGGATGTTTCTGAAGCTGGCTCTCTATTGCCAGGTCGAGGTCTCGAGCTGACTCAGAAACACCATGAATACGAACAGCCTGGCACTGCCTGGTTGCCTCAGGAGATGCTGGTAGCCGCATTCTGCATCAACATCGCTGCTCCGATAGGCTGGGATGACCTCTATTTTCGTCCCTTGTTCATTTTACCTATCATGTCCTTCGCCATTCAGCTGGTAAAAGACAGAATTCCGGTGACTGGCCGAGATTGCGTCTACTCTGGCTCAGGGCGCAGGTGCGGAGAACCACGTTCGTCGCGAGGCATATTCAGAAGAGACTCCTTGCAAAGGGGCCATTGGAGCTTTGACTTCAGCTCGAGCTTTCATTCTTCAAGAATAAGTCAGACTGCAGAAAGAAACAAAAGGATATTCACTTTCTAGAGGTGAGTCCATATGCGCTTTCGAGATGAGATGAAAGGATGTAAATCAAAGGAGCTGAGGCTAAGAGGTGCCAAGGAAAACCAGGACCTATGGAGTTAGTATATCGGACTTGTACCACGCTACTTGTGTGACTGTGTAAGGCGGGTTATAGCTCGGCAGAGGTGAAGCTTTCGGTATATACTCGCTTCACCCCGGATAAACTTATAGCATGTACTGACACCCGGGTGACAGAAAAGCCTGGACACTAACCTGAATTAAGCTAGGAGATCAAGGGCCGTCCCACATACAATTTCACACCCAAATTTCCCCCTCCCAGTTAATAAATAAGTGTGTAATGAGTATGCCTGAAAGGATCCAGGCTGTTCTAGACGGTGATGGACGAATGACAGGCTATTAATGGAGAAACATGGTATTTGCGCATAGAAATTTGGTGGGGGAAGGCCGTAATCTCCATTTGGTTAGTGTCCAGGCTTTTCTGTCACCCGGGTAACTGAATGTATCCGTTTCACCTCGGATAAACTCGAGCCGAGTTTAAAATAATATCGATATTTTAGAGAAGAGATAAGGCATATACTAGACTGTTAAGGAATAGTTCTTAATATTGGTGTGGTGTAAAGTTGATTCCTATTGGCGCTGGTACAATGGTGTAGTGGTTTTTTATTTTCTGGCAGCGCCATTAGCCACAGGTTTTTAAAGTTCTTAACCGGGAACAGTCGTTGGTTCGAATTCCGTGCGATGTATTGATTTGCAAAGCGAAATGTTCGTTGGTTGGCTTATTGTCCGGGGCGGACGCCTGTTGGTTGTGGTCGTGTGGTTGGAGGTATTTAGTTCGTATTAGGTTCGATTCCTAATGGTGTTGCGGTGCTTTTTATTTCTGGCAGCGCCATTACTGCAGTGTTGCCGTTGCATCTTCCCCGAAGGTCGTGGGTTCGAATCCCAGTTGTATCTGGTCTGGCTTGAGTGCAGCAGCAGAAGTGTTGTCCTTGTCGTGCGGGGGCACGCATCTATAGTTGCGGTCGAGGTTAGAGGGTACGTAATTCGTAATAGGTTCGATTCCTATTGGCGCTGGTACAATGGTGTAGTGGTTTTTTATTTTCTTGGTCTGCAGGCACATATGTGCGAAGAAAGGCGCGCTAAGGTCTAATCAGAAAGGTATATCGAGTGTGAAGGATTAATCCGTAACAAATGCCCATAAAAAACAACATTGGCTATATTCTCATGGCAAGAAGTATTAAAATACTAAAAAGAATTAAAGATACCGGGTTAATTAGTGATATAAATCTTATAAAATCTCCTATCGCAGTAAAACCTTTCGAATAATATCGAAGTAAGATATCGAACGATTTCAATTCGTTCAAATATGTATCGTCTGATCTTTCTTATTAATAGTGGGTTATAGTAACTTAGCTGTGACCGTCGCAGTAGATCCTTCTCTTATATCGTCATTGCAGTGATGTATATGAATATGATATCGCTTAGGCATGTGGAGACAGCAGGCCAAATTGTAGTGTCGTTCTCCGCTTGCTGAGTGGCGATTTGATATGGGATTGTGGAGAGCATATAACGTGGGATCTTGGAGAGCAGGCCTGTGTTCTTGATGCCGGGGGCCTTGCTACCGCTTGATTTCTCCGCAGTATTGTCCGCAGTGTTCTCCGCAGTGTTCTCCGCAATTGCCTGTAGTGGTTCCTCCTCTTACTTAACTGAGTGCTCTGGCTGAGTGGCTGACTGAGTGGCTGGCTGTGAGGGAGAGCAGGCCTGTTGTGTTACTGCTGCTGCTGACTATCTCCGCAATTCTCTCCGTACTACATTGTTCCTCCTCTTGTAGAATACTAGACTAAGTAATTGTCATCAAGTCCATTAATAGAATTGAAGAAAATCCAACGCATACATATGTTATAAATCCAACTCCAACACCTATTGACAGCCTGGCCTGGGAGCTTCACTGTAGATTTGCCCTGTGTCTCCCATGCTCTTGCTATCAAGTCTACTCCATGGTAGGGAGGTAGGGAAAGAATCGAATGTGTTGAATGCCATTTGGTAGCAGGCTCACTATGTGTGTTGTCGACATGCTCAGTGAAGAGGTCGAATCGTAGTCGTTTGTTCCCGTCGCCATTGTAGCAGGCTCACTATGATGTTGCCGACATGCTCAGTGAAGAGGTCGTACGTTTGCTGCCATTGTAGCAGGCTCACTGTGAGTGTGGGGGTGTTCGTGATTGTGTGAATGTGAAATGGTGTTGGCGATTTCTTTCGATTCGCTAGCCGTACGAATGGTCCAATGCCTTATTTATCTCTCGACCACTGTTTGCCGAGTCCGATTCGCTTTGAAATCGATTTACCTGTCTGGTAGGCTTACCCAGGGATACGATGGCTCAACTTGATTTCTTGCTAAAGCCCCTGCCAGCGTATTTCTTTGAATTCGTCCGCTAATTCGAATGGAGTGAGTGGGTTGACCTTATTGCATTTCTCTTCGCCGGGTATACGAAGGAGCCTTATTATAATGTCAAGACCAGCATAGGTGCGATACCAGTATGAGTGAGGTAGATCAAGGATAATAAGGCTATTGTCAAGGAAAAGGATGACTGGGTCATGAATTCATGGTGTGGTAAAAAGATGTTCATTATTCTATGTGCCTGCAGGGCAGATATGTGCGGTGCCAAGCCACGCTAGGCCCAAATGGGTGGTGGCTCTGAAGGAGGCCTTGGCGTACCGTGACAGCTATCGAACTATGTATGTAGGAAGAAGGCATGTAGGGGATACCTCCTGCCAAGGCACTAGGCCATAGGGCTGAGTGGTGTGTCAAGGGTACGCTCGTAACACTTATTCTATTATATATTCTAATTATTTATTTCTTAATATTTACTAATATTAAATTTTATTAAATTATTAATTTATTAATTTATATATTTATTAATTTATATATTTAATAGATAAAGTTTTAAATAATTAAATATTATTAATTTATTTATATTTAACTTTAATAATATACTTTTATTTTAATACTTTTTAATATATAATTATAATATTTATAATATTAATTCTTAATATATTATTATTATTTTATAATAAAACGAGTAAAGATCTATAAATTAAATTCATAATCATTTTTTTAGATTAGAACTATCGAGTAAATTTAGTAAGCGATCTTTAATAAGCGATATTTAAACTCCTTACCTTTAAACATTAATTAAACTAAATTTAATAATTCTTTTTTTATTTAAATGCCTATATTACATTTTATATTTTAAAAGAAAATTTATAAAATTTTAATAGAAAATAAAAAAGTTATTCTAAAATTAAATAATATATATCTATTTTTTAATTAAGGCTATTGAGCGAACTTTAATAAGCGAACTTTAATAAGCGATATTTGAATTTCTTACGCTTTAATAATTATAAGACTAAATTTAAAAATTCTTTTTTTATTTAAAAGCGTAAGTTATATTCTATAATTTTAAATAAAAATTAAAATTTTAATAGAAAATAAAAAAATTACTCTATATATAAATAATATATATCTAATTTTCTAATTAGAAGGCGCGAAAGAGCTAGCGAGCTAACTTAGTCGATCTAATTAAAAAGCGTAGCGAACTCGAATTTATAATTAACTATATATATAAATTTAAGATTTTTTAAATTAGCTTTATCTTATTCTTTTATATATACTAATTTAAATATTACGTTATTATTATATATAATTATTTTATAATTAATAAAAAAGAATTACTTAATTTAATTTATCTTCTATAATTTAATATATAGAATTGACGTAGCTTCTTATCTTATTTAGGTGGCTCGAGGGTAATGGAGGTTGAAAGCTTAATGTGTAGATCGTGCGCGGGAGGCTGTATTAGTGTGGACGGGGGAGGGGGACTGTCTCGATGATGATCCTATCTGCTTTCTGAAGTGGACAATGCAACAACCATGGCCAAGTGTACGTCAGCAGCCGGTGCAGTATGACTTTATCAAACAACAAATGTTCTCCTACTCAAATTAAGTTGCCGTTGCGAAGCAACTTCAGGGGCTGAGATGTAGACATCAGATGAACTCTTAAGGCATCATGAAAATCCGCCAGTCTTGGCATTGATACTCGGTAATAATATACCAGAAAGATACGGTAAGCTACAGTATGGCCGGACTAGCTTGAAAGCTTGGACGCTCCGCTGATAAGATTAGGGCTGAGCAGAACGCGAATCTCCGAAAAAGTTGTTTCGAACAACACATACTCTCATTCATCTAGCAAGCCAAAACCCTTCTGGAACTCAGTCTCAACGAGCCTCTTTCAAAACCATGGCCGAGCCCAATCTCCAGGAGATCCATGATTTCCTCTTCGACATCGCCTTGAAAGCTGGGGATATGATCACTTCCGCAAACCCCAGCACAGTAGACACGAAGAAGAATTGTACGTGGGATCAATTCCACTTGAGAATATCTCACTGACACTGGATGATGCAGCCTCGGACCTTGTTACCGAGACGGACAAAGCCGTGGAAGACATGGTCTCCAGCTCCCTCAAGTCCAAATTCCCAGACTATTCGTAGGTAACATCCGTCCTCCCGCGCCAAACACAACTGTCCTGCCATTGTTGTATCATCGAACATCCTATTGGAAGGCTGATATCCCTCTCTACAGCTTCCTAGGCGAAGAAACCTCCACGTCCGGCCGCCTCACCCCGGCCCCAACCTTCATAGTCGACCCGATAGACGGAACCACCAACTTCGTGCACGCCCACCCCTACATCTCCATCTCCCTAGCCTTCGCCCACAAGCTCAGACCCCTCGTCGGCATCGTCTACAACCCCTTCACCCAGCACCTCTACCACGCCATCCACGGCGAAGGCGCCTACCTCACCGCCCCCAGCGTTCCCACCTCGCATCCGCCCAGGCCCGGAAGCGGGACCGAGAACACGGAGGCGGTGGTCAGCGCGTACACGATGACGAAGCTGCCGTTGAAGATGCCGGCGCCGCCGTTGACGGGGCTGAAGCAGGCGTTGGTGGCGATGGAGTGGGGGAATGAGCGGAGCGGGAATAATTGGGAGACGAAGACGGAGACTTTTGCGAGTCTGGCCGGGGACGAGTCGACGGGTGGGGCCATGGTGCACTCGTTGAGGAGTTTGGGAAGCGCGGCGCTGAATTGTTGCGCGGTGGCACGAGGAGACCTGGACGCTTACTGGGAAGGAGGATGCTGGGCGTGGGATGTGGCTGCCGGGTGGGTGATTGTGGAGGAGGCGGGTGGGAGAGTGGTGGGCGGGAATGATGGGGAGTTGGAACCGGCTGTTGATTCGAGACGCTATTTGGTGGTCAGAGCGAGTGAGGGGAGGAAGGGGCAGGAGGAGATGATCCGGGAGTTTTGGGGGGCGGTGAAGGGGAAGCTGGAATATGAACACTAGAGTGATGGCATGGTTTCCCCTAGATTACGATGGCATGACACAAAATATTGCATAGATCGTGGGTCCTGGCTTTCACACGAGACGGATAGACTGTCAGCAGGGAAGGGACACAACGGTAACTCGGTCGAAGCAATCCAGATTCCCCAAGTCTGTGGGAGTTGGCACACGGTGAGGATGTTGTTGCGGCAGACATTTTTGGGGGCAATAACCCAGAGGTTTTGACAGATTGAACAGAATCACCGCCAAAGATATGCTTTTGGGACCCGTCATCAAGTAAGTATCTCGCTGGAGAAGACCCGTTGGGATAACAGCCCATAGAAACTGGGCAAACGAACCAGAACGATCGCTAATTCGGCATGGTGTGATGCGCCATCAATGTCTACGCTCTAGTGTGATGCGCCATCAATGTCTACGCTCTAGTGTGATGCGCCATCAATGTCTACGCTCTAGTGTGATGCGCCATCAATGTCTAAGCTCTAGGCAAGCGGTCGGAAATGGTGGCGATCTGAGGCCGCTGGACCTGCCACTGCTTTCATGGCGATCTTAGGCGTCGGTTTGTCATTCGTGATCAGAGTTGGAGGAAGAAGAGCGTTCAAGGTTGGAAAAGGTCTGCTCGTTGAGGCTATCCTTGTCGATATGTCATGGATCTGTAGAGTACCGCTCCGACTGCGACTCCTCATCGCACCTTGCCCTGCCACTCCGAAGATGGAAGCACCATCTGTCTCATCACTACCCGAAACAGTCTCATCACCGCCCACTCTGCTCCACAACAGCCCTCATCCTCCCTCCGCAGCATCTTCCCGGTCAGCATCCCGATCCTCAACCCCCTCACTCATCCTTCAAAGCCGTCTTCCAGTCCAACTCCAAAACCCGAACCTGGTCCCCCGGCCGAGACTCCACACCGCTAAATTGCCATTGTGAGACGGTGACCCCGTTCAGATCGCAACGGTGCAAACGCCACACCCCTCCCCGTCAGCCCCCGGCGCGATGGCACGCGCGCAGACCGCGACGGCGCTGTCGGGCAACGTGGAGACGACGCTGAGCCGATCGGGTCGCTTCCCAAGTTCGCCGAGTGCCAGAGCCGTCCGGGCCCGTGCCTGGGATTGCGGTGTCAGCGGTGGCCGGGAGAAGATGGACAGCGAGAACGTCGTGAGTGAGGGACACGCTTCGCGGATGTGGATGTTGTTACGCGCTATGCAGTTGTCCATGTCGTTCGCGGCGGCATCCGTCCGGTGATGGTGGTGGCTGTTGCGGTAGTCCGGACCGAGACTCCGCATGACGTGCAGTTGCGTGTCGGAAAAGGGCACCGGCCGGGGCAGATTCGTCAGGAGGTTCGATCGCGGCTCCGGGAACGCTTCGCACGCGGGAGTGGTGGAAGTGGTGGTTGTTGGCGCAGAAGATGTCTGTGGCTTCCCCGGTTGATCCCGCGCGACACGGACTCTCGATGGCCGTGTTCTGGCGCAACGCGATTCGGGGCGCGCGGGTCGCTGGGAGGTCGCTCCGTCCGCTGATGGTTCTGCACGTGTGGTGGTACATCGGTATACCCATTTCATGCCACGTGTGGGTCGGAAGACCGGGCCCGCCGCGCCTGGGACTGAGCTGGGCTCTCGTCTCGGAGGCCGAGCGAAGGGAACTGTCGGCTTCGGTGTTGAGGATGTGGTTGTAGATCATTGCACGGATGTCCACGGGGATTCCTTCAAAGGTGGGCTGTGAAGGTTTCTGACCGGCTTCCGCCAACACACGGCACGACGGTCGCGGCGGTTGCTCGCTCAGGCTGTGAGGGTTTGGTCCGGTGTCGAAGATCACTCCAGCCGAGGAGACGGTCCCGGTCTCGTTATCGGTACCGACGTTCATGGTCACAAGGATCGAAGCGTGGCTTGAGAACGGCCAGGGATGTGAGAAGGGTCGGGAGTTTTGTTGTGGACTCGGATTACTTCTACATCATCCTGGGAGCAGTGCGACTTTTGGTGGAGCGAAGAAGAAACTTGATGAGGAGCTCGTCGAGCTGTGTGTTGTAAAACGGCCAGATCTCCCAGCACAACAGAGTGGGAAACGGTGTAAGTCAGTGTTGCAAGGATGTGATGATTTGTTTTGTTTGCTGGGGTTGTAAGTGCTATGGCTCGAGTGTTGTAATCAGGGTAAGTTGTCAAGGAAAGTGGCGATCCAAGGAGTCAGATTCTACTCACATTTTACGTCAACTTTGGGTACGAGTCCTGATAATGTGTCATCCGTGACTATCTTGCTTTGTGAAAAACCAAGCAAAAGAAAAGGGTGAACAGTGTAAGAAACCCCTTTGAGGATCTGTACCCTGTCGACTGCCACTTTTTCTGGCACTTAGCCTGTAATACACACAATTCGGACGCTAGTCGTCATATGGCCTCTACAAAGGCCGTACTGTAGTAGAATGAATGCATGCCTGAGCAAGAAGAAGCTTGCGGCTATACTCCGTATGGTGTCCAAGAACCTTCCGGAAATGTCGCCAATGCGACCAAATTAGTGAACAGCAGAGCCTTATATAAACCAAAACACCTTGCAATCATGTGCTCGCTCCCTCTATTAAATGATCCTCGCTATGCTCAACGCCGTGCAAATGCTCGCTTTTGCCCAATCTGATGGAGTCGCCCGTTCATCGGCCCTACAAGCCCAATGCAAAGGATCACAGGCGTGACTGACCTGCCTCCACGTCTGGTCCTGCTTGGTAAGTTCCCACGGCGTCAATCTCTCTTCGCACACGCGGATCGAGATCGTTTGCGGTCTGGCTGTAGTGCGGTCCACCGTGGATTATGTCCTCGCCACTGACGCCGTTGGTGTTGCTGTGGTCCCGATTATCTGGGGGAGCGATTGACTTTTCGTCCTCTGCGTCAATGGGTGGCAATGGCGACGAAAGTCTCCGGGGGCTCCTTGTGGCGCCCGCGGATGACTGTGCTTGGTGCCTTGAATTCCCTTGGGCTACATCGCGGGGTTGGTCCTGTTGCGGAGAGGTATCTTCTCGCTTGTATCCGGAGAGCGTGTCGCCACTGATGGGTCTCGATGGCTCCGAACTAGAGCCACCAGTTACGACATTCACAATAGGACGCTCGATGTCCCTCTCTGGGTCAAAAAGCTTGGTCTCGTTCTCGTCAAAGTCCTGTCCGGGGTTGGCAGTCTCATATTCAAGCCCTTTCATGAGCTTGTAGAACCCAGAGGCTAGAAGAGCGCCCAGGAGAGGACCGATCCAGTAAATCTGTGCGAAATTTAGTACTTCGATTCGTTGTCGCGGAAGTGGAGGTCAATCTACCCAATGATAGTCCTCAAATGTACCCAGAATGACGTCAGGCCCAAAAGAGCGAGCCGGATTGAGCGAGCCACCGGTGTAGTAGACGCCTGTCTTGATCAGAAAGGTCATACCGGCATATCGGTACACTTACCTGCAAGCTCAGCAATGAATAGGGAGAGTCCGATGCCGACCGGGGCCACAAAGGTGGCCTTGCTCTTCTCGGCAGCAAGCATGAAGATAGTGAATACCAACATAGTGGTCAAGAACATCTCAATGAAGACGCCCTGTGCTTTCGATGTCCCCGCCCCTAATGATGTTCGCACATTGAGCTGGCCAGGGTACATGACCTCGACAATTCCCGCCGCCGTAATTCCACCAATGATTTGGGAGATGAAGATTAGACCACCCCGTACCCACGGCATTGCTCCAACCAGACACATGCCAAAAGTCACCGCAGGGTTGAAGAGTCCACCACTAATCCTGAAGAAGACCCATGCGTTGACTCCCAAACTAAAACCAAAACACAGACTGATATAGAGTAATTGAGCTGGGTTCGATCCTTGGGCTATGGTGGTTGAGACACTTCCTTGGGTCTGGGAGTTTGCCACTTGGGTGCCGGTAAAGGCAAAGAAGAGGAAAAGGAATGTGCCTGCAAACTCGCCACACATTGCTATGAAATGATTACGGGTTGGATTGCCAGGTTTGCCAAGAAAGGGAAGGCTGGCTCCTTTGGCCAACGTTGCTTTGGTCTTCCCAGCGAGGACGAAGCCTCTGGTCACGTGCGGCTGTTCCATACCCTCATTCATGTTGACAGGAGTGGGTAGAGAAGAGTCAAGATTGGTTGCAACTACACTATAGGTACAAAGGAAAGATGAAGAAGCAAGAAGCAAAGCGGATGAGCAGATTGTCGAGAGGTGGTTGTTCAGGAGAGAAGAGGTCAAGATATGCAACGTCTTGGCGTCATCCTTTTTTTGACGGCTGTTCTAGCAGGGGGTGTGGTACCACCAGTAGCATTTATTAGCAGGGGCCCGGGGGGATCTCCTTCAGACTTTTCGAAACGACACTTTTTTCTTTTTTCCGAGGGGCATGATCTGTGCCGCTCGGTCATTGGCTTTTTCGCAGCCCCCGACTTCATCGCTAGAGAATATTTACCCGCGTTTGGTGGGAAGACCAAAGTCTTTTGGGCGAGAGGCGTGCCGATGACCTTAAAATGATGGCTCCTTTTTGATTAGATCAACCTTTGCCACTACAAAGTACAAAGTAATCTCGCGTGAACTGTTATCGATAAGACGCGTAAGTCCAAAAATGAGGATACGAGTATACCTGACAGTCGCCCTCCCGCTATTGGCTATCAAGCAAGGCAGCTCGTGGCGGTGGTTACGACCCTCGGGCACATCGATCTCAGATGAGCCTCGATAGAAAAGACAAGAAAGATTCGTATGTCCTAGCTGACGTTTTACCAGAAGTCTTGCTTTTCACTAAGCTCGTCATGCCAGCCAAGGATGCATTCAGCCAAGGTATACGGCAAGTCCTGTTGGGGGATGCGATACCGCTGTGGGTCGTATTCGCCCACCAAATATACCTCGAAATATATAGAACGCTTCGTGAGCAGGTTGATAGGGGGTTTGGGTTGGAAGAATTGCGGGTCGCGAGGAACCAAGTGCCCTCGCTAAAGGATTACTCGAGAACGAAAAGTCAATGCCCGACGATGATTAGCCACAATCCGGCAACCCAAGCTTCATAGAAAAGACGAAGGATTCCACACATCTGACATGACGCTGCCGGTAGACTCGACGTCAATCCTGTACCTATCGGAGGCGCCGAATCGCGGAGGAAACACAACGCCCTCGGTCAATCCAAAGCAAGCGAGTGGCATCTTGAAGAACGTCGTGGACCGGCAGGCCGAGGAGGAGACGAAGAAGATATCCCTCAAGGGCAAGCGGCACGCTTGGCTCGGTAAGGGTATCCGAAGATTGGAAATGAAACGGCGACTACGTGCGTGCATGTCTGGTTTTCACATCCTTGAATAACGTCGACGGTCGAATCGTAGCCTTCTCCCCGTTCCTGGACACTCGCTCTGGTATCCGTAGTCGATGGAATTCAGGATGGACAGGTTCGAGGCCATGTGCAGGATGGTGTTGTTGATGCTGATGCTGAAGGGAACCTGTTTCGTGAATGGCTTAGCGATAGCCTTGCATCTTCCCCAGTGAGTGGGTGGGTGGTCGTGATGCAGATATCCGTCGATCTATTCATCTAGCCATCCTATTCCGATTAGCGTAGGTGGTTGGGAGCGGTATCGTGAGTGAGTGAGAAGAGAATCGAATCGATTGGATTGGGTTTTCATGAGCTGCGTTCTTCGATCTCACGCTATTTCAATAGATGGTCGGGGTCAAAGCCTGACAATCTGCGTGATTTGATCTGAGCAAATCTGTCACGGATATGCTTCCTCCACTCACGAGATCTGGTTTCCATGTGATGGAAGTAGATACCGTGACCCATCAAGCTCAAATGCACCTCATATGGAACACCGGCGATCCTTGCACCTATTCTCCACCATGCCATGCCATGCCATGCCCTTATTCCATCAGAAATCATTCATTCACTCATTCATTCACGACCCTCAACTGGCCCTGCCCCCCGCTCTTCCTTAGTATCCCCTTCGTCCCCGGCCCGCCTTGCTGCCTGCTATTCTCGCTCAAATGCCCGCTCTCAATCTCCTGCCGGCCGGCGTTCAGGACCCGTTCGTTGTGCGCCTGTTGCTCGGGGCCGGCGTGGAAGCGCCGGTCGACGGAGGAGTTGAGCGTGCCGCGGAGGGTTTCGCCTACGCCCTGTTGGTGGAAATCGGATTAGCAAACGCTCGGGTGGGAAGCTGCGAGCAGGTGAAGATGTGAAGGGCAGGAATCGGATGAGAGAGAGAGGAGAGGAAGGAAACAGGAGGGGAAAGAATGGGTGTTGCTCACGTGGATCCCCACCGCCGCCGTCTTTAAACTCTGCAGCGTGCTTGGCGGTTGCTGCTGCTGCTGTGATGGTGCTTGACCTTGCGTTTGCGCTGGCAACTGGGCCCGCTCGTTCGGCGGCGTCCGGCTCGGATACGAGAAGTTGTGCCTGCCTTGGCCTTGTGGACTACTCGGACTCCCATAATTGTCCGACTGTCTCTGATCGTGGTGGTTCCTCCCGCCCGTCAGGATGGACGACAAGCCACCCCCTCCGCTTGATTGCTGCTGAGGTGGTGCATTCGAACTTCCGTAGTTGTCCGGCTGCCTCTGATCGTGGTTTCTGCCGCCAGATAGGATCGAGGATAACCCCCCTCCTCCAGTTGATTGCTGCTGCTGTGGTGGCGGATTTTGATTTCCATAGTTGTCCGGTTGTCTCTGCTCGTGGTTCTTTCCACCGCTTAGGATTGACGACAGCCCTCCTCCTCCTCCACTCGATCGCTGTTGCGGTGGTGGATTCGGACTCGGCTCCCTCCTCGTAGATTTCGAGGGTATGTTTGGTCTGTCATTCTCGCGTCGTTGTACCGTTTCCGAAACCTCGGTCTGATCGCCGCCACTATTGACCCTGGGATCCAGCTTGTTAGCCAGATTGCTCGTGTGCGGCCCAGAGGTTGTAGAGGCGCCACCGCCGCCTGTTGTGGTGGTAGTCGTGGTTGTAGTGGTGGTGGTGACGGTCTGTCCTTGGTCATTGACGGTCGTCCCGGTGTTGTCGCTGCCGGTCATGCTGGGCGCTGACTGATAAGAATTGTGGGCGTCTGAGGAGGCTTCGCTGCCGTAGGTGGAGTCGGTTGTAGGAGTGGGGCGGTCTTTATGGCCGAAGAGGCCAAATCTGGACTTTTTGTCTTTGGAGTCGGGCATTTTGTGTTTGGAGATGGAGATGAGATGGAGATCGAGGTGGTGAAGATGGTGGAGGCAATACAAGTGAGAGACTTTGGTAGCTATGAGGCAAGTGAGTGGTAAAGGGCGTGTTGGCAGCGGATGTATATTCCTTGGTCGCGCGAGAAGCTGGGAATATCGTCATTGCAGGGATCCGGTTTTGGATCTGCACTAGCCTACAAAGAGAACGCTTAGGGTCAGGGCTATCTCAGGGCTACGGCTATGTTCGGAGGGGAAGACACCATTTACAATATATTTGGCACGAAGCTCTACCCTCCCGACTTTCCAAAGGATGGGAGAGTGTGGAGAACCCACGTTTGTTTGTCACAACATTGTGGTAGATAGGCCTGGATATGAAACACTTTCAGGCATTCCGGACCAATCAAATGGCAGACAATTCGGAGACTACACCACCAGCAACAGGGAATCTGGGTGTCGGCATGCCGGATCTCCGTTTCTCGGGCAGTAGTTTGTGAGGTCCTGCCTCGGATCTTATGCTGTTCTCAAGGGGTAACATCGTAGGAAACATCGCCTCCAACCTTCGTTTAGCCTTGAGAATGCCAGACTATTCAGGGAGATTTCCGACGTTTGTATGTGAAGCGAGAATCTATATCGCTATATATGTTGTATTTCTGTAGTTACATTTGACTTTCGAACCCCTCTGACGCCAGACATCTAGTCAACACCCTCCAAGAGTCGTGGTGTTTCTGTGGTAGGATCCCCGTATCTGCCAGCCAAGTACTCGCAGCATCAATGGAACGATAGATATATGACAGCTATCCTATCATGGGTAGTAAAGCGTCACTTGGAAACCAATATGATCATTCGTATCAACTTTTGTGTATTCCATGTAGCTATCTGTGGGATTCTATCCCTATCTTTTCCTATTACCACGGCGCCGCAGCCCGAGGAAAAAGACAAACATTGTCAATCTATTGCTCACAATCACATGAAACCGCCGCGTATCGCCGCTATCATCCCCACATCCGACGCCTAAATGCTGTTCTTGAGCCGGTCATACACGTCCTTTTCCGCCTGAGTGGGCCTGCTCATGTCGATCTCTGGCTGGTTAGCTTCCCTCACGAGCTTGAAGCGGACGTATGCACCACCCCTCATGTTCTTCGCGATGCCGTCCGAGATGATGCGGTACAGTCCATCATAGCGGATCCCCTTCGACGGACAATGGTCAGCCCTCCCTGCCGAGGTCCGCAGCACCCGGATGGGACGGTCGTCGCGCCGGGATTGTTGCAATGCTTTGGTATAATGGGTGACGATGGGATTGGCTGGGTCGGTGTTGGCGTTGCTGTCGCTGCCGGAGTAGTAAAGTATGTCTTTTTCGTCCTTGTCGAGCTCATCGTAATCGCCTGATAGATAGGTCAGCGTCGAAACAGTTGAAGCTGGCCAGCTCTGGGACTTACCAGACACCACTATCGAGTAGGCTCCACTCTTCTCTGACCCTGCAATCCCACTCTGCATAGCCCCGTGTGCTCCGTCCCTCAGTGCGCAGATGCGGTATGGCCACCATTGACCAACAGCAATTCCATTGTGCCCAAACCTATTGCAAGGCCTCGTAGCAGACTTGTCGTCGATGCGATATACACGGCGGCGTCCGTCAGTGAGAACGGTGTTGTGCATGATGGATTGGACAGGCAGATCGTCGAGTGCTGGTAGTTCGCGAGACTCTGGGCTGCGTGGATCTGCGGCCTTCCTCCCGCGCTTTTTACCTTTGCTCGCAGGAGCAGGGGAGGTTGAGGCTGGCCGCGTCTCGTCGACGACTTCTTCGATGTCTAGATCTCCTTCCACTTTGGCGAGAATGGCAGCAGCGGCTTCCTGGAAGACTTCTGGGAACTCGTACGGACGCGTGGCCTTGGGCCATACCCCCAAGATGCCGGTCAGCATGAATTTGATCTGCAATCTCTCCTCGGCAGCGCGGGTGAAAGTTTCGATCTGAGACAGCGCTTTCACGATGTTGAAGACGACTTGGCGCTCGTTCGTGGTCAACTGCCGCGGCTTCATGAGCTGGACGATGAAGCGCCCAATGATTGCTTGGGGTTCGTAGCGGCCAATCTCGGGGTAGAAGGGGAAGGTGACGATTGCATTGGGGCTGCTTGGCACAGTCGCAGGCTTAAGACCATTGCTCTCCGCTTTCGTCATAATACCGTCGACAGTGTCTAGTGCAAGGGTAGGTGGTGCAAAGGTAGGTTCGATTTCCTTGGACTCGCTGATGTCAACGAAGTTAGCATCCAAGAACTCACACTCCGAAAATGGTAGCTTGACTCACGAGGCGGCAGCTTCGGTTGGCAGGAGGCCCATCGTCTCCGCCTGGTCGGTGTCGCCTACAGTCATTGCTGCAACAGGAGGCTTGTTCGTCTGGGACATCTTTGCTGTTGGTGGGGTTAGTATCCGCAAACTCTCACATTGAAGACTGAGATTGGCAGCAAACCTCACTTTGCGATAGCCGGCAGCACCGAGTAAGACCCTTGAAGGATCGACAGGATGTGGTTGCGAGTAGCAGAAGTGTACTACCAGTCCAGGTTGCTGACCCAAAAGACTCGTCCTTGTAGACTCGACGATGTTGTTGAAACGAAAGAGAAAGAGGGTTTAGTCCCTGAAAAGCGAGCTAGCATCTAAACAAAGTACCAGTCGGATTTTGTGCAGCCCTGCACACTAGCCAAATTCAGACGGGCTCTTCGATGGATTCCATCAAGATATATAATATAAACGGCCAGGCTCCTAGTCGTCGAAGATTGCCGTATATATATAGAAATATTCAGCAAGGAGCCCAAATGCAAAGGGGGGCGACCCCGTCCAGATCTGTGCAGACAGGTGCCGAGATGTGTAGGTTGGTGGGCGAGACCGGGTACTTAAATACTCGCAGATGTCACCGTGAATAACAGAAACCGATGCGTCACTACAAAAACAGAGTCACTTCTAAAGCGTCACTGCAGATAAAAATTCACTCCAAAAGCGTCACTGCGTTTCGGTATTCACACTTCGATGTGTCATCTTGTTTCGGTGTTAGCCTCTAACCATATCGCTGTGTTTAGGTACCGCCCTTGAAATTCGTCACACGATGTAGGGATGAGTCCCTTTAAAGCCTCTACCTCTGGTAGGCTTTTCCCCTGAAGCTGTTGCACCTTTAGGGTTGGTCCCTCAAAAACGCAGCACCCCAAAGGGCTAATACGTCTCCGATAAGACGAATGACCAAGGCAATAAGGCGTAGCAGTGGCAGCAATTTAAGGACGCGAGACTGTGCAATGCTTGTTTTCAAAGGACTGCAGCCGCAGTCCCAGCGAGATAATTATGTTTGCTAGCCCTTTCAGAGCCTTCTCGAAGAGGTTGTAGCCGCAGCACAGGGACCGGATGCGAGAGTTTGTTTTTTACTTTGGAGATACGATTGCAGTATCTTGAAATTATGTTGATAAATGCGAGGATGAGAGCCACAAACTAACTTCGTTTGTGGGACAGTGTGTTTCAAGATGCTCGCTCGATCGGCTTATAGCCTAGGCTATTATGTTTGATGGGAACCAGCGCTGCGATAGACGAACGCTACAAACAGGGAAACTTGCTCGTGATCGAGCAGCGCGAGCAGCGACGACGTGAGAATAGGCGGATGGCCAGTAGTTGACGATGACCATCAATCGTTAACGAGCGGCTACTGTCCAATGCGACCAAGCACACTAGCGGTAGCAAGCTAGGTCTTGGGGTAGAGACAGCTTTCAATAGGGTGTCTTCCTTCCAGCGAAGTCCTTCCGTGTTACTGCTAAGAGCCTCGACCTTGAACCTGACAAGTCTGCGACTAGACCCCTTCTGCAAGCGATGCTTTCCTCGGCAAGGCGAAGCGCCTTCGGGCCTGTGCCCCTAGGAACGTCTGGCTCGTGTTACGACCGGCTCGAGCGACAAAGAGTGTGTGTCTCTCTGTGTTGAGAGACAGGAAAAGAAGAACACTTTTGCAAGGGAAAAAGTCTGGTATGCAAAAGAATAAAAAGGGTTTAATTTGATGAGAAAAGGACCTCTCTTTGTATATTTGCAGACAAAATCCACTAACATTTAGTACGTGCGGGCTTGACTCACTGGTGCACATTATGACCAATGAACATCGGCTAATATGCCTGTGCATTGGGTGGCGTGTGTTGTACCCGGAAGCGACAGGGTCTAAGGTAGACTTACAGGATGTAAAGTACAGTTCGTACTCGGAAATCATCGGACATACTCTCTTGATCATGCCTCTTGTTGGAAGAGTCTTCCATAGCACTCGAGCAGAATGTCTTGTCCGCTAAAAGTTGGTTGATATGTATCGTTCTCGGACATGGGTCGAAGTTCTCTAATTGAATAAAGTCTTTGATATATCAGTCTCTATTCTATTGAAGTCTTTGTTTCATTGAAGTCTTTATCTCATTCAAGTATTTCGCTTAGCTTCCATAGCGCCTCCGAGTTTTCTTCGTTGGTCACGTGCTCGCGTACTCCTAGTCTCTGCGATCTGTATCTCGACGAGGAACTCAGGGGATAAATCTGCATACTCGTTATAAGCCAGTGGTGATTTTGCCTGTATCGTCGCTGGGCATTGTCTTACCTCGGATGGACGGATTAGAGTGAAATACGTAAATTACAGGCTGCAAGTGCACGGATTTTCTGTGATACAGTAATGCACGTTGAAAGCTTAATTCGTTACCTGGGTTTGGGGCGTACCTTACATAAAGTACTCTCGGCCAAAGAGATGCGCTTCAATGATTTCAAATCCTCATCTCAATGCCATACCTAGTGCGGGAGCCAGTGGGAAATGCGTGACCGGCACACGTGATTGTGGAACTGAAGTCACCACGTCCCCAAAGTCCGAGATCATCAGAGAAGTCGTCGCGCTACTCTAAAGTATAGTTCGAGAGTGTACGAAACTTCCTTCTGCGAGACTCTTGCCATCCCTCCTTCTACGCCTACGGAGGCGCCTGACGCCGATGCCACCAATGAGTGCTGTGGTGCTAGATTGATGTTGATGGCACCGGACCTTTATCGAAAGATAATACCCGTGGTGCCCGTGTGGGTAGACAACGTTCGAATCTTCATCCTAGCGAGATCTCTTGATCTTGCACATATCGGCGGGTGGCTTGTCTTAGCTAGAGAAGCGTTCTCCTTGTCAAAAAAAATAAGATCAACGCCTTTTTTGCTAATTCTATGATGGGTTCTTAGTCCTTATTTTGACTGTGAAGAGCCTGGTGCAGCCTCAGTAGCTTGGATGGATGCAATATCGTGCATGCGCTGATGCTACGTCTCTTCAGCGATGCTACTTTCGTCAAGGCAATCACAAACCCTGTGCTGCGCTATCCTGCCGTGAGAGCCAAAACTTCATTTAGTACATCATTTTAGCACTGCACTGTAGATCGACCGTTGCGATTTCTTTCCGCAATGCCTTCTTTCCGCAATGCCTTCTTGTAAGATACCTGCAATCGGACCTGAAAGATCTCAACGCCTGCAACGGAATCGGAAATTCGGCCTCGTTGTCGGGGCTGCGCAGCCCAATTATGAAGGGAAGTCTTCGTTGCATGTACATAAGGTGGCCATATTCCCACTAAAACAGTCCGTCTACTCCCTTGCTCTTTGATACTAAACACCCCATGTAGAGTTGGCAGGTACAACAACTGGAAGGCAGTCTCCGTCTACATCTTCTCGATATTATTCAAAGCTTTACCATCGAGGCACTCTTCTTCTTCTTCTTCTTCTTCTCTGAAAGAGACTACTCCTCGTCCTCCTTTTCATAACACTGCGCAGAAGAAACCTTTGGTCGGTATGATGGAGGCATCATCCAACTCAAGCAAAGTAGAGTCTCGAATCCAGAATGCAGACGCTCTAGCCAATGCATCTCCATATTCCGCTCCGACCAAGAAAAAGGAGCGGTGGACGAAAGAAGAATACAACCTACTCACCAAATTCATAGACAAGAGCAAAAGCTTTGAATATATTAGCGACCATATCGGGCGTACAGAGGTTGATTGTCGTACAAAATGGAGTAAACGTAACTCATCAGGCTGGTATGCACAGCAGCTCCCACCGGCGATGCCGGCAGCTCAGGCTGTTCCATTCCCCAAAAGCCTGTGGTCAAGACAGGAAGTTGAACTACTAGTTTCCCTTCGAATGGGAGGCGAAAACCGGAAGGAAATCAGCGCAAGACTAAGGCGTCCCTGGAGAGCCTGCTGCAGTTACTTTTATAGGATGCATCCCGATCTTGTGCAGGAGCTGAAAAGGCAAGGCCTGGATGACGGAGAAGAAGAAGAAGAAGAAGAGGAAGAGGAAGAGGGGGATGTAGCTGATGGGTTTAGCGAAGAAGAGACTATGGGTGACGAAGAGACTGAGCGCGAAGGGATGACAGACGTAGGAGTGAAGGACAATGAGGCTGATGCTGAAGCTGAAGGTGTTATAGACGAGGGCGAGGTCCAGGTCATTACCACTGAAAGATCGCACAAGGCACAAAAGTAAACCTAGAATAACGACTGCATCTTACGTGTAGAAAATTGAGGATCGATATGGCATAGATTTATGCAAGGCATCCACAAACCTTGACTTCCGGGACGCCTCTTTTCAAATGCCTGCACCCCAGTCCAATCCCCTGCAGCCTGCGAAATTTAATCTTCAGCGTCCAAAAATCTCCAATCACGCAGTATCGCCCAAACGCCACGGACAAATCAGGAAATCCGAGCGTCTCTTTGAGCTACGCAAGACCGATGAGTCATGGGTCGAGATTTGGGAGGGTTTGAAGAGTACTCATACCGATGGGGACTGTTGTACTTGTTGGTTTGAAGACTGTTGGGATGACTTCAGCAATTTTATTGGCAATGGCGAGATTGATCTGGAGAGAGTGAAAGAGGGGATAGTGAAAAGAGGTGGAGCTAGCGAGATGACCGATGTGGCCGATTGTACGGTGGACAATGGAGAAGCGGATGAAGAAAGCGATGAGATGGACGATGGAAGGCCGAGCGCCTGGTTGGCCCGTGGTAACGCTCTAGCTTTATCAAATTGCAGTGAGAGGGAGTTCCCCTCGTTGACACCGGTAGGTATAGTGTCGTGTATCATCCGAGCTTACATATCTTGATTCTTCGACGCGCAACAAACTTCCGAATCCGAGAAAATTGCGCACAGGTGCACGTGCTATAGACTGTAAGAATAGGTGGATTATCTTTTCAAACAATGGCGTTCGATAGGGTGATCGTATTTCGAGACCCTAGACGTGCGTACTCAATTGCATACTCTGGCTTGTACGAATTGAAATATCTTAATCTCCGGAACGCCTTATTGTGGGTGCCTGATTCGGTCTCGTAGCTATTGAGCATGTTCTCCTCCCTGCTGAGTGACCGTGCAAGCTGACGACAAAGAAGATCGCTTGTGGCATATATAAAGGAGCGTGCCCGAGTGATAAAAAGCTCCAGCGTTGGCGATCGCTAGCCAAAATGGTCAAAAGACCGTCCACTGCAAGCGAAGTCCAGCCTCAGAACCAGAAAGTAAAGGCTGTATCACCGCTATCTTCTATCGGCCCTGCGACCAAAAGGACGCAAAGTGGTCGGTTGGAGATTTGGAGACACTCGTCGACCTCAAGATGGAGAGCGAGAGCTGGGACGCTATCAGCAAACAGATCCCGGGGCACCATGCTGACAATTGCAGAAGTAAGTGGTCACATCGCAATGATGATCGGAAGAAATCAGGCGCCGGGAGTGCTTGGTCAGAAGCGGAGGATCGATCTCTGGTTGCCCTCTTCACCGAAGGTCAAGGTTGGAAGACGATCAGCGGCAGAGTTGGGCGGAGCATCGGCGCCTGCATAATACACCTTGAGGACTATTCTCCAAATCTCTCCGCCGAGAGTCATTGGCCGTGGACTCATGATGAGGATCGACTACTCGTCGCTCTTCGACACGAAGGCATGGATTTTGAGATCATGCATCCATATTTTACCGACCGCACCGTGCTATAGTAGTGTAGAACGAGATAGGACCGGGACCTCAAACTTTTGCCAGAATCCCAAGTTTCCTGGAATTCAAAGGAAGATGATCGTCTCCTGGCCCTCGGCTCCATAGGAAGAAAAGGCGTTTATATGACAAGATATTTTCAGTTCATGAGAACCAGACTGCACTGGATTGCCATAGCTATTGGTTTGAAGAACGTTGGGAGATATTCCACGAGCTGATCATCGAGGAATTGGAAAAGCAAGGCTGGAAGGACGCGGCAGAAGAAGGAGAAGAAGGAGAAGAAGGAGAAGGAGGAGAAGAAGGAGAAAAGGCTGACGCGGAAGGAGATACAAATGACGAATATGTGGAAGACGAGGTAGAAAGCTGACCTATTGAAGGGCTTGCTAAGAGAAAGATCTCGAATCATGCATTTGCTGGACCGTAGTGGTCTAACACTCGCTGCATGTAAGGTGCAAAATGTATCAAATCAGTTTCTCCTCCTGCAGATTCTTCGTGTCATTTTGACTGGCGGGAAAATGGAGTGTTCCTGTAATTACGAGCTTCTTAAGTTCTTACTATCTCAATCACCCTCATCTGCCCAGCAGGTATGATGCGAGGGTAAGACAGCTTATGAATTCCTCTAATAGATGCCGACGCTCTCCCATTGATGCGTTGATGTTGACTGTTGAAACAGGAGATGATCGGGCAAGCAGAAACGAGCTAGCCGGTGTAGGCCCACAACGTCCCGATGCTCCTGATTGGCCAGAGATTCGAAGCTTGTCACAGCTCGTCTACAGTAGAGTAAATCCTATGCGCTGAACCATCCAAGGCACCTGAGAGACTTTGCTTACCTTTGACAGACTCCCTCAGCCAGCGCGACCACTTTGCCAGCTGGCTGGATCCTGTTGGCTGCCCCGCGGCAAATCGCCTGCATGCAGTATATATGTATCAGATTCAATACGGAATCGCAGATGCAAGCCTCCGCGCTTCTCACCCAATCAATCCTGAGGCGGAAGAAGAGCAAGCCCCTGACCAAGGCGTGGCAATATATCTCAGGTTCGGAGGAAAAGGTGCCTGAAAGCGTCCAATCAGTCAAGTTGCCCTAGCTTTGGGCACCTTAGCATGCCCGTCGCCACCACAATATCTACTCCTTCCCACCACCATCACCGCACTCAAGTTTACCCTTCACACTCTCTACGATACCAGGCGTATGAAGGCGGTCCAAAATCCACGGTCTCAGATTCAAGCCAAAGTGTGGTCGTGGGTGGACTGAGACGGGTCCTTGCTGGGGCCTGCAAAAGTCCTTCCGAGGAGCGTCGCCTAAGAGCCAAGGGGGCGATGACCTCTCATACACCTCGAAGAACGTATTCAGACTCTAAAACAAACGCGAAGGAGACGTATGGGAAGGAACCAAGGGTGGCAGTTCGAGAAGTGCGGAGGAAGTCTGATTCAGAACATCGGCACCATCACCGCAGATCCGAGAAGGAGGATGCAAGGGAAGGCGAAAGAGTCTACGTCTATAAGGCGCAAAAGAAAAGCGAGGGGGAAGCGGATCGGTCTAGGCCTAGCAGCCTACGGAGATCGACAACGAACGCCGGCGAAGCAAGTAGGACAAGGCATGAGCGGCAGCGAACAGGGGACAGAGAATTGCAAACGAGACACTCTGAGCGAAGGCCGCCTCACCACGAGGAAAAAACTCATACTCCGTTACGGCGCGAGAAGCGCTCTATCGCCGATTATGTTCCAAAGAGCACCCGGGATAAGGCTCCGGTCACTAGGTAGATACATACACCCTCCGAGGCATGTATTCCGAGTGCTAAATGCTTGTACTGCAGAAGCGCGTCTGTCCGCGAGACCATAACTACATCGTTCTTCAGGCCGCCCTTGAAGCGAAGTCAGACGTCTGCCCGTCAAGCGCGACCCCTATCGTCTGACCAGCCCACCTCACCACCCGTACGCGAGAAGTTGGAGCGAGCGCCTTCTACTACTAGAGGAACCAGACCAGCTGCTCGGCCCTCGAGTATTCTCGGTTCGATATTTGGGCTCCCTACACCAGCCAAACCGGTCCCACCAGCTAGGCCACCTAAGCCAGAGCAACAGTAAGCTTTATATACTTTGAAATCACTTTCGTGCTCCTGCTGACCCAGAACCTGACAGAGTAGAATGCATAACCTGCCTCTCCGACGACGTTCCAATCTCCAAAACCGCCTTACTGCCCTGCAAACACCGCATGTGCAACGCCTGCCTCCGCCGCCTCTTCACCCTTTCTACAACCGACCCACAACATATGCCTCCCACTTGCTGTACCAAAGACTGCATCGACCTGAAACACGTCGACAAGCTCTTCGACAACAATTTTAAAAGAAAGTGGAATCGCAAATATCAGGAATACACTACCAAAAACCGCATCTACTGCCCCGCAAGGGGTTGCGGTTCATGGATCAAACCCGCACATATCCACGTCGATACCAGCGGTGGCGCCAACGGAGGCAGGAAGTATGGCAAATGTCAAAGGTGCAAGACGAAAGTCTGCTGCACGTGCAACAACAAGTGGCATTCCAGCCGTGAATGCCCCAAAGACGCCGCCACGCAGGAGTTCATCAAGGTCGCGAAAGAAGAAGGGTGGCAACGCTGTTTCAACTGCTCTGCGACCGTCGAGCTGAAGGAAGGTTGCAACCACATGACCTGTCGCTGCCGCGCCGAATTCTGCATGATCTGTGGCCTCAAGTGGAAAACGTGCGATTGCCCCTGGTTCAACTACGAAGCCGTCGAAGCCGACCGCCTCATTCACATGAATGTCCCTCAAATCCGCAGAGCCCCGATAGGGAATCCCGCACGCGGATACCAGGAGGAGCTGGACAGGCGAAGGGACCAAGAATTGAGAGACGAGGCGTTTGCGAGGAGGATCCAGATCCTCGGCCTGGACGGGGAAGCCGACCTGATCGACCTCGACAACGCGCCCTACGTCAATGCTGCACCCCATCGTACGAACGAAGACTGGATCCGCCGCGCCGCCGAGGTTCTCTCCGCACTGCACAACCCAGCCCACGAGCGCGCCGCGGAGCGTTTAACGGCCGAAGCCCGACCGCAACACCGTCGTCCAGCACCGGCACCAGCACCACCGCCAGTAGAACCGCCCTTGAGACCGCACGCACCGCCCCGACCCCCGGAACCGGCACTGCGGCAGCAGCACTCGGCAGCTTCGAGACAGTACAATAACCGCCCGACCACCCGCGCCAGCGAGAGAGTCGTGCCGAGGCGGGTGGTGAGCGATTATGCGACCGAGGCGGCGAGACATCGGCCGCTGCCGCCGGGCGGGGTCGGTGCGGGGGCGACGGGGGAGACGAGGAGGGAGAGTTTGCTGGCGGGGATCGTGGAGGGGAGGACGGCGGAGGGGAGGGTCGCGGAGTGGAGGCGGCATGTGGGGCCGCTTGTTTGATTGAGGGGGGGCGGCGGTGCTTGTTCGGAAGGAGGTATGGGAGGATGTTTGTGACCATTTTCGAAAGCCATACGGCACGTGCGGGAAGGAAGGGGGAGGTGTTTTTCATATACCACTTGTGCGAGATCAGCTTAGCTTCTTCAGATGAGGCGATTGTAATATGTACCAGTATGATTAATCTCGTTTACATAGCAGGCTCTAATTCAAGGAGGTCTACGAGCACTAAAGAGCCATGACCCTTTTATCGCCAGCTGATATCTTCCAAACCCCTGAGAACGCCTGCCTCCGCCTATGCATTGTAACGTACACAGCGACTGCTCCTCTTTAATCACCGTTGACAAGAACCTGACTCTGGCTCCTCGCCCTCGCTGGCGTAGCCTCATTACTACTGTTCTCATATTTCTCCCAATTCGCCAACACATTGCCGATCCTCGGACTATTCGTCAACTTGTAAACCTCCTCAAAGTATTCCTTTGAGATCTCGAACGGCTTAGCCGTCACATTGGGAATGTATTTCCCTACCAATTTGCTAGGATCGATCGTCGTCCTGTTGATCTTCTTCAACAAGAAAGATCTGAAAGGTTTCACACCGGAGCGTAAGAAGGTACTGTGGAAAGGCACGTCGATGCCTTTGAGCGGAATGGTAGCGAAGCCGCGTTGGAGATCGATGGGTTGGGGTTTCGAAGATGTTTGCGCGGCGCACTCGCGGATGATCTCGACAAGCCTGGCTTTGACGTCGTCGAGGGAGAGGGTTTCAATGAGGGAGTTAATGTCGACTTTTTGGGCTTTGAGGAAGTTGGTAACATTGGTTAGGCAGTCGAGGGCACGGAGCTAGAAAGGGGATTAGTATGAGACGATGGCAGGGCCGGAAAGATGGAGTCGACTTACATCACCAGCGCAAACATATTGCATGTTCGCGACATTGTAGTTGACGATCTCCAAAAGCCACTTAGTCTCTTCCGCGATATTCTCAACCACATACTGTAGTGCTTGCTCGTTGAAGGTCTTAGAGATTCGGCTGGGGTTGACAGCACACATAGAGTAGTTGGAGCGGCCGGTTTCGTCCCGTTCCACGGCGACTTGCATAGTGAGACCGCGGTAAAAGACTACCGACACCAAGCTTTCAATTGGCATGACTTCTGCCAGAGCCGCCAATGCAGAGTATTCTCCAAGCGAGTGCCCTGCGAAGGTGCTGTCCCTCTGTACAAGACCCTTGGAGCGCATGTCTTCGAAACTGGCTTTCTCCATCAAAGTCAATGCAGGTTGTGTGAATTGAGTAGCAGAGAGGAGACCGGTGGGTGAGCGGTAGGTGTATGAGGCGGTGTTCTCGTTGACCTCCTTGAAAATCTTCTCTGACTTGATGGAGCCGTCCGCATTGACAGACTCGAAAGTCATTGACATGTAATTTTCACGGATTGCTTTACCGCGAGGACCGCCGAAATGGATGGTGAGCTCTTTCGGATTATTCTTGACAATGTCGGTGATTGAGAAGCCGTAATTCTCCATGAAATGGGCGTCGGCACGGTCCCACACTTCTTTGGCTACTGGGCTGCTTCCGTAAAGCTCCATACCCATCCCTTGTTCCTGTGAACCTTGTCCCGTAAAAACGTAGGCAGAGACTGGCTGCTCGACTTCAGCCTCTCCCACTAGAACCTTGGCCTCTGTGTCCTTATTGCTTGCTTCGACCTTGATGATCTTACGGCCTGACACCATCCCCACGTGCTGAAGTTTGACCTCGATATCATCGTTGGGCAGAACCATGCCAACCATGTCGCAATGAAAGCTTCGAACACGACCGACATTGTTTTCGGCAGCCCAGGTCTCGACTAAGCTACGAACAGCAGCGCTAGAGTACATGCCATGCGTAATTGTGCCAGGGAGGTTTGCGTAGCTTGAAAAAACGCGAGAAACGTGGATCGGGTTGTAATCTCCCGAGACACGCGCATATGTTTCATTCGAAGAAGGAGCTCGAAGGACAAGAGGAGTCTTGCCGCTAAGAGGGATCGGGTTCTCAAAGTTGACGGGCTGCTCGATTGATGAACCATATCGCTGGAGATAGTCAATGACAGGATTTCCGTGTGAGACCCCAGCCTGGTAGTCAACTGAAGCTACTTGGATAACCTCCTTGGTCGGCAACTCTAGTAGCGCTTCTCCAATCGTCTCGACTGAACTGAAAATTGTCTTGTTCTTGAAGTGGACTAATGTCTGCAGACGGAACGTCAATGTCTGATTTAGCAGCTCAATATTTGGCTCATCCACGTTGAACCATTCTTTGGAGCGCAGGACAGCCACGTCTTTCGACGAGCCAAGGTGGATCTGCATGGGTGTCTCGTCCTTACGCTCAAAGGTGTTGCCAAAGTCTGAATACGCGCCACGGTACAAGAATTGGGTCGTTACTAACATCACAGGCTTGCCATTACGCTTGATGGTCCCGCAAACTTCGACCTTCTTCCCGGAATCTTGGTTGATGACAGCATTGATCTGAGCAGTGGTGTCCACAACGTCGCCCTTCTTCAAGGGCTCCGCGCCAGGAACCATGCGGAAACCGTTAGAGAGATGCACCAATTTGAGAAGGTCACCATCGATTGATCGAGGAAAGATGGGCTTCGTGATAGCTTTCCAGCCAACGACGATAGCAAAGTCCATGGGGGCAAAGACCTCTTTTCCAGGTCTGTCAACGAATGCTTCTCCAGTGTTTCCGACGGCGTGAACAAAGTCCGCGATCTTTTGGCTAGTCACAGTAGCTCGACCTCCTTCAAACGTACTTGTGGCAGGAGTCTCGAACGGAACTTTCTCGTCCCCAAACCAGATGCGATAGTAAAATTCCTTGATGCGGTCATTTCGACCTTGCATCACCTCACGAATGGGAGCATAGCCAGCTTCAGGATGGTAGGTAAATATCAAGGGCAATGGCACAGCCCTGCCTTCTGCCGTCCTTTCCTCGAAAAGATTGACAACAATCTCTTTCTGGTTTGTCATGACGACCTCCACAGTCATGACCATTTTGCCAGAACGGGACACCTCCTTCACGTGGATGGCTGTCTTCGCTGGGTCTTTCGGATGCAGTATTTCAACGAGCATTCCTTTAGTAGGTGCAAATATCCTCTGGAAAGGGTTGGTCTGGAATCTTTGACCCTGGACAAAAACCTCTGTAGTAAACATAGCATATCTCCAAGAGTACGCTTTCCCCGCGAGGAGATGCATCCACGCCTCTAGATCAGGAAGCGATGCATTGGGTGCAGAGGAAAGGCGATAGCTGACTCGGTCGTCATCTTGCGAGGTCGTGAGACCATTCGCATCTTCGTCAATCCCATCATCGAGGAGTAGCTGTCCTCCGAAGTATTCGACGACCGGGATTGTGGACTCTTTATTGCCGTATACATCTCTTGTGAGACCTTTGATGTGATCCTCGTGAATACCGTCAAGGATATCCTTGATTGGCTCATCAATCGCATTAGAGTATTTTGCAGCAGTTGGGCCCTGGAGAATACATGTTCGCCCGACATCTTGGTCTACCACAGCCTCAAGATCTTCGGACTGCCAGAGCGAGTCTTTCTTGAAGAAGAACTCGAAGTTCTCGTCAAGGCAAGGGACAAACGGTACTGGCTTCTGTCCCCGCCGTTGACACAAGAGCAGGAAGTGTTGGACATCTTGAGCGTTGATCAGTTGATCGTTGGCCTCAGGATAGGCCTCGAAGACGCTATCAACAACCTTGTAAGGCTCGTCCAACTCCGAGTAGCTCTGAACTAGAGAGGACTTGCCAGGAGCGGCGGTGAACCTCTCTTCCAGTCGTCGAATAAAATCTCCAGTCAAGCGCTCAAGAGACTGATCAATCCAACGGGACTCATGCTTGACGTACATGAGATCCACCATGCGCTTCAAGACCTCACCATAGGTCATGTCTTCGAGGTCCACGACCTGGCCGGAAGAGTTGCGACCGAACCATACTTTCTGGAAGTCATCGTTGAGCTTCTTGATGATGTATTCACGCTGTTTCCTGAGTTCGGGCACGCGCTTGGCCTTGTCAAGGCTAAAGATCTTTTGGTCCATCTCAGCCCAGAACTTGACGCCTCTGGTTGCAAGCTTGTGGATTGGCTCGCCCATCTCAGATCGTACTGTGATGACTCCACCAGCTGGCCCTTTGTAAGTTTTCTCCCATTGACTGTCATCAATACCTTCAGCTTCCGCGATAGCTCTCTTCGCATTTTTAGATGTCTTTGCTTCTTTGGCAGTCATCATGCGACTACCGAAGAGGCATCCATCAAACGGCATCGGTGGATATCCAAATCTTGATGACCAAGTGCCGGTCATATAGGGATAGGTATCTTCAGAACCACCGAAACCACTGCCGGCGATTAAGATGAGATTACCACAGCTTCGAATCCTGCCGTACATTTGCAAAACAGGCTGGTGAAAATCTTCAAATGAATGATGGCCACCACCGCGTCCACCAGTCCACTGGAGTATGACAGGGAAGTGGGGATTCGATTGAGCGACGTTAATGACTGCTTGAATCGCTTCGACGGATCCAGGTTTGAATGCAATATGCTTGATACCGAGTGTCTCGATGTACTCGTTAGCAATCTCAATTGACGGTACACCAGCCCCGATGGTTAGCCCCTCGATGGGTACGCCATCAGCGCGGAGCTGGCCGATCAGAGGGATCTGCCACGCCATGGCTCGGGGATTGACGTAGATGAGATTGATCGTGATACCGCGACCTGCCGGAATATGGTCTTCAATCTTCTTCAAAGCTTCTGTCATGGTCTTTGCGTTGTAGTATCCACCTCCCGCAAGCTCGATCTGGTACCCAGCCCTCATGGTAGCAGCCACGAAATCCCAAGGCACGGTACATGGAGTCATACCAGCCACCATCACCGGAGGAACACCGAGGAGCCTGCTCATCTTAGTGTCCACAAAGGTCTGTCCGACGGATGTCTTGACCAGTTTTGGACCATGCTCTTTGACCCAATCGACGGCGTACTTGATCGCATGTTCCGAATCGCGATCGAAAAGCTCAGCCTTGTATCCCACCCCAGAATTTGTGCCATCAATTGCACCCGCAAGGATCACTCGCACGCCAGTGCCTTCCTTGATTCGGCTTGTCAATACACCAAGGCCAGAGATACCACCAGGACCAAAATCAATAATGTGCGTTGCTTTGGAGAAGACGGTTGCCTTGGCCCAGTCGACAGGATCCTGCGTTATCATTCGAACCAATGCTGGCACGATATTGTCCTCTCCTTCTTGCCGGACATCCACCCCAGTAGCTGTGTTGAAGACTGGGATAGTGAGATCCTTGACGCTAATTTGGATATGGCTGAGGTCTTCCACAATATGCTTGTAGGCTTCGATGAGGTATATGCTATGGAATGGGGAGGTAATTGGTAAGAAGCGATTCACGAAGCGGCTTTTTCGCTCGGTGAACGGGATGCGTGTTTGGTCAAGACCGGTAGGGGCTTTGACTTTTCGGAGGCGAAGGTTCAATCCATAGAGCGAGATGGGAGGACCAGTGACGACACAGTTGCGAGCGCTATTAATGAGTGAGATGGCGATATGGCGGTCTTGCGGTAGATGATGATTGGTCGTGTCGATATGCTCCTGCAACGCAGATCTCGAAAGATCTCGAACAGACAACATTGGTGTAGGATTGCCCTCCCCGTTATCTATCGAGTCCTGCAGGATCGAAGGGGCGAGTGATGTCCGTGGATAAGCCTGTTGACTTCGCGAACCAATCCAAAAGAGCATCGTAAGGGCCTTCCTAACTACCTTTTCATAGGATTCCCATGAATCCGCTGCTGCAATTGCGGCAGCTGTGACGATGCCTTGTGAATGACCAGTAGTACCGAGGAATTTCTGTCTGATGTCCCCAGGTGTCTGACCCATTGCCTTACAGGTCACCGCATAATGGGCAAACTGAACGAGCCCGATAAGAGGCAAGCTGACTGGCGCAGATACGAGGTAGTCTGTATCTGGTTGCGTATCTTTGTCATGAAGCCATCGCATAACGTCGAGTCCCTTGGAGTAGAGCTTCTCGGCTCGTGGGTCTCTAGACAGAGTGTGTAGGAGCTCGGCGGAATCTTCGACCAGCTCCTCCACGAATGAAGGATATGTGGTGTAGACCTCTCGGAGCTCGTCAAAGTACTCCTCAATATTCCCCTGACCTCCGAATACAGCGTATAGGCCTGCCTCTTCATCTTCCGCTGCTCTGAAAAGTGCGGATGGGTGAGACTTGAGCGGTCGGTTCGCGGAAGCTCTTGCTGCATAATATGACTGGACCACCACCAGTTTCTTCTGTGCTATCCCAGGGAGCGATACTGCCAAAGCGTGCACGTCGTTCCCTTGCAGGAATACGCGCTCAAACTCATTTAAGACGAGCTTGAGCACTTCGAGAAAATCTTCGCCATCGTCTATCTCTGAAGCTATGTGACCGAGGTAGCGTGCCACGAGCTCCGCCGTCGACGAAGGCTCGTCGTCCTGGGCAAGCTCGTCTGTGGGCTCTGGAAGGGTTGCTGTAAATCTGTCTTTTAGTTGCGAGGCGTAGAAATGTAATGCTGTGGGAATCAGCAGTGTGTGTTCAAGGGAGCCGTGTGTGAGGGAGAGCGGTCGGAGAGACTGTGAGGATCGAGGCGTTGATATGCCCGTTTGTGGGTTTGTGCCGTACATGTTGGAGGATGTCGAGGCAAGGTTTGTAGAACTGGTGAATGGCACAATGGGTACCTAGGTAGCTGTACAAACACCTGGTTTTGGGTACTGTAGACTGCGGCGTTATCGCAATTGATATATGAGAAGAGTGACGAGAGATTTCAAAACAGCCTACAGCTTCGTCCGTAAAATTGAAGTTACTCAGGAATTATTTATTGGGTTGCTACGAAGCGTTGAGAGTCGCCAGGCCTGATCATCCCGACGCTGAACCAGGCTGATCCACCAAGAGTAAAAATTCCTTGGAATTTCTTTAGTTGCAGAAAAGCTGGGGTGCGACATCCTACCGAGGAGAGATAATGGATCGGCGCTAAACCGCAAAGAGAGTTAGTTTTTTCAACGCCCTTTTTGCGTGGATGCGCTTCTGCGTGTCATTTCTCCGCAAGCTTCCCAACACTGAACAGGAGGCGTGAGAGTGTGAGAGCTTTGCTGACCAAACACGCATTTACCAATTGGTCTTTTGTATACCTAATCCTCTAATTGTTGGAGCCGGAATACACTCATTCTCCTTCCTCTCCTTCATTATTTTGGAGTTCTTCCCCCGGCACGTTTTATATGCCCACCGAGAACATCCCTTGTATACCTTTTCGGAACCAACTTTTACACTCAGGCAGTTATTGACAGCTACAAACACTGATTGGGCGTCACATTCAATACGACGGCTAGTCTCTGGTCCTCCTTCTACTACAAACGACCTCCCTCCGTCCTCTGGACGTAAAGCCCCTCTATCATGACGCCCGAGGTCGAGCAAGAATTAGCACATACGCTCCTCGTCGAATTACTTGCATATCAATTTGCAAGCCCGGTTCGATGGATCGAGACTCAAGATGTCATTCTCGGCGAGAAGGTCACGGAGCGAATCGTCGAAATTGGCCCTGCGGACACACTCGGTGGCATGGCCAAGAGAACACTTGCTTCCAAATATGAAGCCTACGACGCGGCCAAGTCAGTACAACGGCAAATTCTGTGCTACAACAAAGATGCCAAAGAGATCTACTACGACGTTGACCCAGTCGTCGAAGAAGAGGCGGCCCCAGCGGGTGGTGATGCGCCAGCTTCAAGCTCATCCTCAGCCCCTGCACAATCTTCTGCGCCAGCAGCTGCAGCCGCGCCCCCGCCACCGAGCTCTGGGCCGGCAGCAGCTGTAGAAGATGCTCCTGTTCAAGCGGTTGACATTGTTAGGTCTTTGATCGCCCAGAAGCTGAAGAAGCCATTTGCAGATATACCACTAAGCAAAGCTATCAAAGACTTGGTTGGCGGTATGTAGAAGTTCATTAATAGGCTTCAGAGAGATATCAGCTGATAGACATTGAATTACAGGCAAATCTACTCTACAAAATGAAATTCTCGGAGACCTTGGCAAAGAATTTGGTTCGACGCCTGAGAAACCAGAAGATACCCCCCTCGACGAACTAGGCGCCTCAATGCAAGCCACATTCAATGGTCAGCTGGGCAAGCAGTCCTCGTCATTGGTTGCAAGACTTGTTTCCTCCAAGATGCCTGGCGGGTTCAACATCACAGCTGTTCGCAAGTACCTTGAGACAAGATGGGGATTGGGCGCTGGACGGCAAGACGGCGTGTTGCTGCTTGCATTGACCATGGAGCCTGCGTCTCGCCTAGGGTCGGAGGGCGATGCCAAGGTATATCTTGACGATACAGCAAACAAGTACGCTTCGAACGCTGGCATCAACCTTTCAGCGCCTACAGCGGGTGGTGATGCAGGTGCCGGTGGGGGAGGCATGATGATGGACCCGGCTGCAATTGACGCTCTCACGAAAGATCAGAGAGCTCTTTTCAAACAACAATTGGAGCTTTTCGCACGATACCTCAAGATGGATCTCCGAGCTGGAGACAAGGCTTACGTTGGTTCCCAAGAGTCACAGAAAGTTCTTCAGGCACAACTGGACCTCTGGAATACTGAGCATGGCGAGTTCTATGCTAATGGCATTGAGCCTTCATTCAGCCAGTTGAAGGCCAGAGTCTACGATTCAGCGTGGAACTGGGCTCGTCAAGACGCACTCTCCATGTACTACGATATCATCTTTGGGCGATTAAAGGCCGTCGATCGTGAGATTGTCAGTCGGTGTATTCGCATCATGAACCGATCCAATCCTCTACTCCTCGACTTCATGCAATACCATATGGACACATGCCCAACCGAACGAGGAGAAACCTACAAGCTGGCCAAGGAACTCGGAAAAGAATTGATCAGCAATTGCAAAGAGGTCCTCGGCCAAGCTCCAGTATACAAAGATGTCGCGATACCTACTGGACCACAGACTATTGTCGATGGACGCGGTAACCTTGATTATGCAGAGATCCCCAGAGCCAGCGCGCGCAAGCTTGAGCACTACGTGCGAGAGATGGCGGATGGTGGCAAGCTCTCGGAGTACGGCAACCGGACTAAGGTGCAGAACGACCTCAGTCGGATCTACAAGCTCATCAAGCAGCAACACAAGCTCTCAAAATCATCACAGCTCCAGATCAAGTCTCTATATGAGAATGTTATCCGCTCTCTCGCGATGAACGAGGGCCAGATTATGCCGCTTGAGAATGCTAAGCCAAACGGGAAATTGACGAACGGCCATGCTAAAAAGGGAGGCAAGAATGGCTCACGGTTGGCGATGAATGGACACGTGAAGCAAGGCAAGGTAGAGACAATCCCGTTCTTACATCTCAAGAGGAAGGATGAGCATGGGTGGGAATATAGTAAGAGGCTCACCGGCATCTATCTTGAGGGCCTCCAGCACGCTGCCAACGAGGGTGTCACATTTCAGGGCAAGAACGCACTGATGACAGGAGCCGGTGCTGGATCTATCGGCGCCGATGTATTGCAAGGTCTGATCAGTGGTGGCGCGAAGGTCATTGTGACCACCAGCAGGTTCTCTCGCGAAGTCACCGAGTACTACCAATCAATGTATGCGCGATATGGTTCCAGTGGTTCGCAACTAGTTGTCGTGCCATTCAATCAAGGGAGCAAACAGGACGTTGAGGCACTGATCGAGTATATCTACGACACCAAGAAAGGCTGCCTCGGCTGGGACCTCGACTATGTCGTACCATTCGCCGCAATTCCTGAGAATGGTCGAGAAATCGACAGCATTGATTCAAAGTCAGAACTTGCTCATCGTATCATGTTAACCAACCTTTTGAGGCTCCTCGGTAGCATCAAGACCCAGAAACAGGCCCGCGGCTTCGAAACTCGACCAGCCCAAGTCATCCTTCCTCTATCCCCCAACCACGGCACTTTTGGCAACGATGGTCTATACTCAGAATCCAAATTGGCGCTCGAGACGCTCTTCAATAGGTGGCATTCAGAAAGCTGGGGCAATTTCCTCACCATCTGCGGTGCAGTCATTGGCTGGACTCGAGGCACTGGACTCATGTCTGGCAACAATGTTGTTGCCGAAGGTGTCGAAAAGTACGGTGTCCGTACCTTTTCCCAGCAAGAGATGGCTTTCAACCTTCTCGGACTCATGGCGCCAAACATTGTCAACCTTTGCCAATTGGAGCCTGTCTTCGCTGATCTCAATGGGGGTCTTCAATTTATCCCGGACCTCAAGGATCTCATGACCAACCTTCGCAAGGAAATCATGGAGACCAGCGAAGTCCGAAAAGCCGTAACCAAAGAAACTGCCATCGAGAACAAGATTGTCAACGGAGAAGACAGCGAAGCACTATACAGGAAGGTCACCGTCGAGCCACGTGCCAACATCAAATACCAATTTCCAGAATTGCCAGACTGGAAGAATGATATCGAGCCTCTCAACGGCAATCTCAAAGGGATGGTCAATCTTGACAAAGTCGTCGTCGTCACAGGCTTCTCCGAAGTCGGACCATGGGGGAACTCCCGAACAAGATGGGAGATGGAGGCTTATGGCCAATTCTCGCTTGAAGGATGCGTTGAGATGGCTTGGATCATGGGCCTCATCCGAAATCATAACGGCCCACTCAAAGGTAAATCATATTCAGGCTGGGTGGATGCCAAGACTGGCGACCCAGTAGACGATAAGGACATCAAGGGCAAATATGAGAAATACGTCTTGGAACATTCTGGTATTCGTCTGATTGAGCCTGAGCTCTTCAATGGCTACGATCCGAATAAGAAGCAGCTCATGCAAGAAGTCGTGATTGAAGAGGACCTTGATCCGTTTGAATCGTCCAAGGAAACCGCCGAGGAATTCAAGCGGGAGCATGGCGACAAGGTCGAGGTTTTCGAAGTCGCTGAGTCTGGAGAGTTTACAGTTCGCTTGAAGAAAGGAGCAACTTTACTCATCCCGAAAGCACTCAAGTTCGATCGTCTCGTCGCTGGTCAAATACCTACAGGCTGGAGTGCAAAGACCTACGGTATTCCCGACGATATCATCTCCCAAGTCGACCCTGTCACCCTCTATGTCCTCGTCTGCACTGTCGAATCCCTCCTTGCATCTGGTATCACCGATCCGTATGAGTTCTATCAGTATGTTCATATCTCAGAGGTCGGAAATTGTATAGGTTCAGGTATCGGTGGAACTACCGCCTTGCGTGGGATGTACAAAGACCGTTTCTTGGACAAGCCGCTGCAAAAGGATATCCTGCAAGAGTCATTCATCAACACAATGAGCGCCTGGGTCAACATGCTGCTGCTCTCGTCTACCGGCCCAATCAAGACCCCTGTTGGTGCATGTGCTACAGCGGTCGAATCGGTTGATATCGGCTACGAGACTATCCTGGAAGGGAAGGCCAGGGTCTGCTTCGTTGGTGGCTTCGATGATTTCCAAGAGGAAGGCTCCTACGAATTCGCCAACATGAAAGCCACAAGCAATGCCGAAGATGAGTTTGCTCATGGTAGAACACCAAAAGAGATGTCTCGTCCCACCACCACAACTCGAAATGGCTTCATGGAGTCACAAGGATGTGGTATGCAGGTGATCATGAGTGCTCAGCTTGCCTTGGATATGGGTGTACCAATTTACGGTATTCTTGGACTTACTGCCACTGCCACAGACAAAATTGGTCGATCCGTACCAGCTCCTGGCCAAGGTGTATTAACCACAGCTCGCGAGACCCCGTCGAAGTTCCCATCACCTCTTTTAGATATCAAGTACCGACGGCGACAGCTCGATTTGAGGAAAGCACATATCAAACAATGGCATGAGTCTGAGCTCATGTACTTACAAGACGAAGTCACCGCAATGAAGTCACAAGGTGGTGATTTCAACGAGTCGGAATACATGCAAGACCGGGCTGCGCACATTGAACGGGAGGCCATTCGCCAAGAGAAGGAGGCAACATTCAGCTTGGGCAACAACTTCTGGAAAGAAGATTCGCGGATCGCACCCCTCCGAGGAGCACTCGCTACATGGGGTCTAACAATCGATGATCTTGGTGTCGCCTCGTTTCACGGAACATCGACAGTCGCGAATGACAAGAACGAGTCCGATGTCATCTGCCAGCAGATGAAGCATCTGGGCCGGAAGAAGGGCAATGCTCTGCTGGGTATCTTCCAAAAATATCTTACCGGTCATCCAAAGGGTGCTGCTGGCGCCTGGATGTTCAACGGCTGCTTGCAAGTTCTCAACAGTGGTCTCGTACCCGGCAACCGCAACGCAGACAATGTTGATAAAATCATGGAGAAATTCGATTATATCGTATATCCGAGCCGCTCCATTCAAACCGATGGCGTCAAAGCTTTCTCGGTCACCTCCTTCGGTTTCGGCCAAAAAGGCGCTCAGGCCATTGGCATCCATCCAAAATACCTATTTGCTACCCTGGACCAAGCACAATTCCAAACATACAAGCAGAAGGTTCAAGCACGACAGAAGCGCGCCTACCGATACTTCCACAACGGTCTCATCACCAATACCATGTTCGTCGCCAAGACTCACTCACCTTACGCCGATGCACAACAAAGCCAAGTCTTCCTCAATCCCAACGCACGCGTGACCGTTGACAAAAAGACTCATGAGCTGACGTACCCCATCGTTCCTCACAAAGCCAACGATCCCAAGACCGAACAGGCCCGAGAGATGGCTGAGTCCCTGATAAAAGCCAATGCATCCGCGAACTCGAAGATCGGCGTCGATATCGAGAACGTGGATGCCATTAATATTGAAAACGAAACCTTCGTCGAGCGGAACTTTACAGCGTCTGAGCAGGCATATTGCCGCAAAGCAGGAAGTGCACAAGCCAGCTTTGCAGGGAAGTGGAGTGCGAAAGAGGCTGTCTTCAAGAGCTTGGGCGTACCGAGCAGAGGGGCAGGAGCCGCGTTGAAGGATATTGAGATTGGAAATGACGAGAACGGTGCTCCGGTTGTTACTGTGAGTCCATGCTCCAGTGATGCGTGTGGGTTACAAGAAGCTAACGAGTGTACAGTTGTACGGTGACGCCAAAGCTGCCGCCAACAAAGTTGGCATGAAGGGCGTGGAAGTAAGCATAAGCCATAGTGATGCCCAGGCTATCGCTATTGCCGTCTCGAAGTTTTGATCGAGTTATTTATGGCAAGAGACAGTGGCAGGTGGTGCCTATGCCAGGAGGCTTGGCTTGAAACCAAAAGGCGTGCTGGCGTGCTCGGTGTACATCAACTTATGCATGGCTTCACCTCTTTGTAGATAGCTGCCGCTACTATGTTGGCAAACGGGACTCTTTTGTTGGCACATAGATAAATTACGCACCGAGATACTTTATTATAATGCTTTTAATTCATCTCCACCTACACATAACACTGAGTGGTACCTTGGCGTAATGCATTCCATTTGAGATATATGCATAATACTTTTAAATACATGCATAAGCAGCTCATGTCGAGTCCATCATATCTCGCTGTATGAGATACTGCCAAAAGGCTAAGGCCCTCAATCTGTGGCCAACGCGTAAGGGATACCGCTCCTAGTCTCCTCGCTAGCATCATTCAATTCCTCCAGTAAGACCAAGCACATGAATGCGCACCATGCATTCTCCTCCGATCTCCTCCGCTCCGCTTACATGGACGCACTTACGGCACTTGAGAACCTCGCCTCACGGATCCACAGGCATCAATTTCCTAGTCGTTTTATCGAATCTCGAATACTGTCTCATCAACGCCGTGAACCGTGTTTTCTGCTCCGCCGTCGCGACAGCTCCTTTGAAACAGGCGAGCAGTTCGCCGACTGTGATGCCCGTGGGCGGGATCTTGGAACGGACTTCTTCGCCGGTTGGGAAGGGGGCCATTTGCGTTTCGGCAGGTGGTGGAGGTGAGGGACCTGTGAGGGGAGTTGTAAGTAACGGGATTTTAATCTTTGGGCTCTCGAAGAGGAATGGAGAGGGAGATAGTGGTCACTCCATGGGGCCACCAGGGTAGCGCATGGGATATCGCGCTTAAAGAAAAGGGAGGGAGGGATATACCAGGACTTCCAGCACGACTTGTGCCTTGAGCGGGCTTTGCACCATTGATTAGATCTGGACTTCCAGCTCTGCTTCCCTGCGGTGACACGTTCTTGCTCGACATAGTCAACTTGAGTTTTTTCTTGCGGGTGCCATCGCTCATGTCGCCGCCAGACCCAGCGTTACCTTCCGTGTCGCTACCTGATCCGTGACGGCGTTTGGCGGGGATTTTGGGGTCCTTGCCGGTGAGTATGGGTGGGGATCCTGGGCGGGAGGGTGCTTGAAGGGTTGAGGATGCCGAGAGTTGGGCGGTGGTAAGAGGGTGCTTCTTCTTTTGCTTCTTGCGGGTGGACTCGTTGCCGCTTGCTTCTGAATTGAGGGGCGATCCGGCTCGCTTCTTGAGATTGTTGGCCGAGGTTGAGTGTTTGAGAGGGTCGGCGTGCTTCGAGGGGCGGCCGGATGGAGTGTTGGTACCAGAGGCGCCAGAAGACTTGGATTTTTTCTTGTCCCTATCTGGAGTGTTTCTGTTTTCGGCTTTCTTGCGCTCTTCTTCTTTCTTAAGCTCCTCTTCCTTCCGGCGCTCAGTTTCTGTGTCGTCGGACTCACTCTGGAAAAGTTGTCAGCAAAGGAGCTAGAATTGTCAGCATGAAGTATACCTGAGATGTATAAGGGTTGCCCGATGAATCAGAATCGTAGACATAGTTCTTTTCACGCCTCTTGAGAGCCTTCTTGACACTTTTCCCAAGCTTCTTCTGAGCTTCCTTTTCCTTTTTCTCCAATAGCTCCTGCTTTTCGTACTCTTTCTCCTCCTTCAGGTCAAAGACATTCGCCTGCAGTTGATCTCGTTTGATCCTTTCTTCGGCTTCCTTCGTGTCGTCGTCCTCTTCAAAAACCATGTGCTCCTCGTCGTCTGCGAACCGATCTTCTATGAAGTCGAGGTCGTCGGCGTCGGCGTTCTCCTGCTTGACTTTGGGGACGGCTGATCCGCTGCCTCCACCGCCCTTCTCCCGTTTGCCCAAAAACAGTTTGCTGCCGGCTTTCTTGTTTTCTAGCTCAGTCTGCCTCTGTAGTCTTGCCTGCTCCGAGTCCATAAACCACCGCGGCTCCTTGACTTTCTTGTTAAAGCGGGTTTCCGCCTCATCTATTGTCAACGTCTTGAATTGATTTTTCTGGGTGAATTTGTACCATTTTTGCAGAGGCGCCACTCGAAAAATACCATCAGGCCCCTTGTGCATCATGGCGTAGGTGTCAGACAAGGCGGCTTCGTAACTTCCCACCCATGTGCTCTTGTTGTCAAAATCCTCCAGATGCCATGGTAGAGCTTCTTCGTAACGCAACTGCGACTGCTTCTTCTGTGCCTCTGTCTTGTCATTTCGGTAGACCTGCTCTGTCTTTTTCTGGAAATTGCTGAGCTTCTTTCCACCCCCCGTATTGACAGCCGGCGCCACTAGAGCCATATCTGCCGCTCGCTGGGCTTCTCTCTCAGCCCTCAAGATGTCTTGTCTCTCTTTTTCCTTGTCATCCACGCCTTCCGTGCCGCCGACTGCCTGATCCTCGCCCTTGACACCCCCTCCGCCCGCTGGGGGTGCTCGGGGATCCCTCCGATGCAGTCTGACAGGACGTTCAAACTCATTGGTGTTTCGAGGATCAACATCCCTCTTGCTAGACAACCGTGCGACATGGTTCCTAAAGCCTTCCATCAGAGCTCGCTTTGTCATGACTAAAGGAAAGTCGTGGTATTCTCCGCTTGGGGCAGATGAGAAACCGCTGTTGGCATTTTCTGAGTAGTTCATAGGCGCAGGCGGCGGACGGGAGAGTGCCGGGATTGGCCGTCCAGGATGCTGGGCCATCGCTTGTGTCTGTCCAGGACCGGGGGCTCTAATACCGTTTGCTTGCAAATTGGAAGGAGGGTATGAGTTGGCAGACTGCTGTGGACGCGGCTTCTGTCTGGCCTTAGGTCGCACCATGGGGTCTGCCTGCGGCCTACGTTTTATCGGCCCCAGCACACCGTTAGGTGTTTGCCCTGGTGTACGTCCAGGCGTACGCTCGGCTGGTGAGGCACTCATGGTGAATGTGGTCAAAAGAGGTGTGAGAAGTTTGAGAGGTGTTAAAAGCTTGTAGGACGATGATGGTGAGATAAAACGGGGGGGTGTTTAAAGTGAGAGAGGTTGGTGCGACTGGAGCGCAGTAGCTGATCACCTAGAGCATGGCTTCGTCAAAGGGTCTCACAATAAAGAAAATGCCAAAGAGAGCACTTGCAGTTGCAGGTTGTGAATGTAGATGATGTTGGGTTGTCTTTGTCCATTGATTCCTTCGGATTTCCCTTGCTCCCACGACCCACATGGAGTGGATCAGCCCTACTACCAGGTAGCGCTTAGCTTCGATCCGCGCGGCTCTTCCTAGTTTTGGAAATGCATACTCCGATTACTCCTTGAAACCGTTTAATATGTATAGAGTCTTGAAGTGTGCGGACAGGAACGGCCAATTTCACTGCTATTGGTTACAAAAGAGGAATAAGAGATGAAGAACATGCCTGATGATGATGAACACTCATCTCCCCCACGCCAGCTAGCGAGAGCGGATGTATGCATCACAAACAACACTATGGCATAAAATCAGCATGGAAGCCGCCACTTGAGTCTGCAAATCGTCGTATAGCAAAATGTATGAATCAGTACACCTCTCTTGCCAAGATACGCACCGGCAAAAGTGACTCCTATTCTTCTTCTATTCATTCTGTTTGACTAGCGGGCCAGCCTTCACTACCAATGATATATGTATCCACGGCCGGGTCTCACCAACACTTGAACACTATTGTCACCAATTGTGAATCACCTTCCTAGTTACAACACGCCAAGCAAACAGGTCGGCGAACAACCATAGATATCTGGTGCCTTGCCAAGAAAGCAGCAATCATGGCAGGCTTCGAACGAAACAGAGCAAACTACGATGGGTCTACACCCAGCCGATATGGAAGCAGGCCCTGTATCAACTTGCCGGCCATGCCTGCGCAGTGGGCTGCCGCCCCTCCCAATGGCTATTATGCGGCCTCTGCCGAACCAGATGCGATGTCTCTGAACAACTATTTTCCCAGCCTACCAGCGACGCCTCAAGTCAACCTTCCAGCGAGACAAGCCCATGCCCGCTATCCTTCTATTGCGCCACAACCGATGGCCACTGAAAATGATCTCGAGGGACACCTTCGCGGTATGATCCTTAGCAATGGCGTTCCAAATGGGCCCTTGCCCTCAGAGACCGTCCACAATGGAAGCTATGGCCCCCAACAACGCGCTTCCAGGAGGCCAAATCAAGCCCAAAGACGCCAACAAACGGTACAGTCGAACGTTAACGTCCCTTTTAATGCTCCAACCAATGGACAACCTCCCAATCGAATGTCTAGAGCGCCGGATCCTTCCCAAGATTTCCCACCAAGTCAAGGTGCAAATGTACATTACCAACTTCCGCATTTGCGGGCCCCCGCCCGCCAACCAGGCCAGACGGGCAACGACAACCAGAATCAAGGAAGCCACAATTTCCCAGCACAGCGCCCCGTCTCTGCTTATCATACAGGAACTATCCCGCAAAACCAGGCTTTCTCGGTAGGAAACCAACCCTACAATCGGCCACCGCCAACAAATAGACAGCTGTATAACCCGGGTCCCTATAGCTTGCAACCACAACAAGCCAGCCGTTCCCAGAGTCAGCCCTCCCGAGCAAGTCCAGATACACAGGTCCGTTATCTTGAAACCCTGGCACACGTTGAGATACTTAAGGTGGAAATCAGTCAGGAGGAATACCTAGAGAAGCAAGTATTACGGGAATCTTTGGAACAGGTGTGCCGAAAAGCGGTGTCGGAGTATGAGACACACCGAGACAGAAGTGCACCGTTTGTGTCTGATAGTGTGGAGTTGAGATGCTTTGGGAGCCTCAGTACAACGTTCGCTACGAAATCGTCTGACATGGATCTGGTACTTGTCTCCCCTATGTCAAAACCCGAGACATCTTCGCCGGATTCAGATCTTCCGAGATTGATTGAGAAGACATTGCTTGATGTAGGCTACGGTGCGAGACTCCTCACGAGGACAAGAGTCCCAATTATCAGGTTTTGTGAGAAGCCAGCGCCTGAACTAGCGACTTTACTTCAGGCGGAGCGCATAAAGTACGAGAAAGAGAGGGATGTACCACCCCCAGAGGCCAAAGTTGGAAAAACGCCCAAACGAAAAGAGAAGCGTCTGGAGAAGCCCAGCACAAATCTTCCTCAGGATCGACCAAACGTGGCGGCCAACCAAGCAGTTGTTGATGTTGAAGGCCTGAACGTCGCTAAATTTGAAGATAATCAAGGTCACGATACATCTGAAGGCCCCAAATTTTCGGGATCATCCCCATCGGACACCACTCGAGCAAAGAGTGGAACCCCGCCTCAAGTAGATGACGGCGGGAAATCCAAGAAACCCATGGATGACCGGGAGCGTGACGACCCCAGCCTGGCTCACAAATCTGATTTGGAGCGAGCTCGCCTATACAAACTCGCGATGCAGGATGGATGGTATGAAATAACAGAGAGACAGGTCATCAAACATTTCCTTTCGGCGTTCGAGAGGCACGGTGTCCCAAAACCCAAGCACGCCCAACGCAATGAGCTCCACATCCAACCCTCTGACGGGCGTGATCCCAAATCCGAGGACGACGGGCAGCTCGAGAAGGCCCGTGCTGCGCTTCAAGACCTGCCGAACGTTCTTGGAAGATATCGCCCACCTCCGGCAGCCCACCCACTCGATTTCCCAAAGGATGGGGTAGGCATCCAATGCGATATCAACTTCTCGAACTATCTAGCCCTACACAACTCTCATCTGTTGAAGTGCTATGCGTCTTGCGATCCAAGGGTCCGCCAAATGGTCCTTTTCGTCAAAGGGTGGTCCAAGAAGCGCAAGATCAATACTCCATATCATGGGACACTTTCATCTTACGGCTATGTGCTCATGGTACTGCATTATCTTGTCAATGTCGCCAACCCGCCCGTTGCACCTAACCTCCAAACTTCGCCGCTGATGCTGCAGGATGAGATGTCTGCCAAAGAAGTCTTGCTGGAGGGATACAATATTCAATTCTTCAGAAACGAAGAGAAGATTCTTGATCTCGCTCATCGAGGGCAACTAACGTTCAATCAGGAACCTCTTGGTTTACTACTGCAGGGTTTCTTCCACTACTTCGCTCAGCAAGGGTATGGATCCCCTTCTGGTGGCTTCGCTTGGACTCAAGATACCCTGTCTTTGCGCACAATTGGCGGCATCATACCCAAACAAGCGAAAGGATGGACGGGCGCTAAAACAGAAACTGTTGACTTGAGTGGGCCGGGTCCCCAAACAAAGGAAATTCGCCAGCGGTATTTGTTCGCTATTGAGGATCCATTCGAGATTGACCACAACATTGCACGGACAGTAGTACACAATGGAATCGTTGCCATACGGGACGAGTTCCGGAGAGCCCACACATTGATACAAAACGCGGGCATCTTTCCTGGTAAGGGCCCTAAAGACCTCTTTGCCGAAGCAGAGGAAAAGGACAATCTCCAATATCGACCCTTCGGTCCGCGGCCTAGGAAAAATGTGCCACCTGGTCAGAATGGGGCCAAAAAGGGTACCGGGCCTGTCTTTGAGCTCAAAGATGGGCGTCCTACCACGGTCAATACCATGGCCAAGGATACGGAGCAAAAGGATGGTGGAGATGGAGAGTCTGGTTTTCATCGTTTGACTACAGCGTAGCACAGGAATCATGTTTTATATCTATAATGATAGTGCATTTACGCAGCTAATGACTTTACTCTATTCCAATCGTATGGATTGTTGCCCACGGAATATGCAAATGCCGTCACCATGATCGATCTACTTCTCCCATAGTCGCTTTTCCCCTCGACGAGACAAGGCAACAGAAATGTGCCGCCCACTCACCCTGAATCAGCGAGAGCGTGGCCAATCCAGGGCCAGTTCGGCTACCCCGCATTTTGTCCGGCAGTGTTTACTCCAGATGTAGAAGAAATCGAGTCAAGGCTGTGATCGAAGTATTCATGCTCAAGCGTGTGTGCATCTGGTGTGGGAATTTATGCCCTCAAACCACCCCCCTTTGTTCTGCCGTGGGAAAGTGTGGGGTGAATCGTCGTTGTTGGAACATTGCGATTGTACACGCAAGAATGTGCCATCGGTACCTCCGAGAAGGCACGAAGAGGGTTTGCTGCGGGCAGAGTGAAAAAGGAGCTCTTATTCTGGATCGGATGTTTCGTTCTCGAGATCTGTTAGCTTTCGCTCTGGTGAGTCACTTCGGTCCCGAGGGCGTTTGATGATGACCATGGTTTGCCTTCCGAGGCTGGAATATGGCATCCGAGAGGTACTTCTTTGGGAATGCTTTTGTTTTTTCAACCCCGTCTCTCAAAATATGGCTCGTGTCTCCCTGGACGCCCCCATGGTCTGCATTCACCATACTCAATGCCAGAATGACGGCGAGCTCTGAAGTTCCAGCAGGAGGAAGCCTCGGTTGCACTGAGATAGCTGCTTCGTCTTCTGGATCTTGATGGTCGGAGCGGCTTGGTGCTTCCCCATCCATAGAATCTTCGGTATCGCTATCAATTGGCTGGCCCACCTCTGTCTCGACAACAAGAGTCTGAGCGCCCTCAGCCGGAGTGACCAGATTGCTCTGATGTCCATCCCGGGCTCTCGAAAGTTGGCCCTCGGAATTTCCTTGTGCTTCTGCGTCAACTAGTACAGCCAGACATCTCGCTTCATCTCGGAGAACATCCCTTTGGGGGCTCAACATTTCATCAGCCCCGTTCTCCCGCAACAGAACTGCGATCACACCGCGCTCTATCCAGAACTTTGCCAATCTCGCTGCAGTTCCAAGCAAGGAAGAACGGATGTTGGGCTCGTTGGCATATGTCAGCGGCGATCAGACTCGCAGGTCCAGGATATTAGGATTGGCGCGTGCATTACGTAACACGCTGACTGTGTGTGCATGCGGAAATGGATGATCCGATTCGAGCCTTCAACTTGACTCGGCATCAGCAGCGTTGGAGAGAGGCGTCCCCCCATCCTTATCTAAGCAGTCGAGTCCAGCGCTTCTGTCAATATGTTGGGTCACAATAGCTCGACGACCGTAAGCCGCCGCGATGGAGAGGGGCGTTCTCCCATTGTTATCTAGGCAGTCGAGACCAGTGCTTCTGTCAACAAAGTGTTTCACAATAGCTCCGTGGCCGTAAACTGCAACTAAACGGAGGGGCGTCTCCGGTTCGTGATCTCTGGCTTCGATGTTCGCTCCATGATCAATCAACAGCTTCACCATCTTTCCATGTCCACTTCGTGCCGCTTCTAGCAAGGGCATCTCACAGACTGCATCTGTGGTGATAGCTGAGTAATGATCTATCTGATCTCTTAGAACCTCGACTGGACCCCCAAAAAGTCGCTTGATCCCTCCCCGATATACATGACTTGAGAATTCCTGCTCTGAAATATTGCCAGAAGGTTGAAAGTTTGGCGATTTTGCAGTAATGCCTAGAGTGTTCCAACGAACTAAAGATGACTGGTACACCTAGTCTAGGGTTGATAGCGCAGTGGTTGGCATGTATCCCTAAAGCAAACTGCGTTCACCAATAACGACCAAGCCACGTAGGCGGACATAGAAGCTGCCCCCTACTCACTAAATTATTTCTCGAATTGGACCATCACTTACTGGCACTAGAGCTTGAGGCAGAGATCTTCCTTGTCTTAGTTACGTAGAAATGTAGTGAGGCCATGAAGGGTGTGGATATATTGGAGGGTTGGGGAGATGTCATGCAAAGGAGGGTAAAAGCGGTGATTAAAGCGGAGGGCTGCTACTTGTACACGAGATAATGGCTGGTAGTTGCGACTGGGTCTCAATTCTAGGTATATAACCTGTAGCGAAAGTTACATGACTTTCCTACAGTTCCTTGTAGAGTAATAGCAGGTGTTCTAATGTACTTAGGGGGTTTCTGAGTTTCATAAGCGGGGAGCGGCTATACTCGTAGTATCAGAAGTGAGTAACCTCGCTTAATAGCGCCGGGGAAGTTGATCAATCAAATTACGATTTTCGCGGTGAGCTAAGTAGTTTGATTGGTCAACTCTCCCGGCGCTATTAAGCGAGGTTACTCACTTCTGGATACTACGAGTATACTTTTGTCCTGCTATCACCCGCGTTGTGCCGTACTCTACGAGACTACGAGTAAGAAAGCGCCAATGACCCTAAATTTGCTTAGCAAATAGTTGATGATTTCAAGGAGATCGGGAATGATCTTGCTGTCAACTGTGCATTGGTGCCGCGGGGCAATTTGACTTGCTATGCCCACAGAACTCGAGGAGGTACTGTATTATAGTTCTACGTATTAATAAGGGCTAGTAATCTAATTGATGCTCACAGCTCGTTGAGTTCCTTCATCATGGCAATACCCAGATACGGCAGACCGGTACGGCCTCCTCCACACGACCTCTCTACCTTCGAACAATGGCGCTCACGACTTTCCAGCGGCGGAGAATCTCCTCCCATACTCCAAAATCCAGCCAGCGATTTTTAAAACCGCCAAGCTCATACCGGTGAAAGATCTGAAGCTGTTGGTCAAGGACTACGCTGTGAGCCACGCTCATTCTCTGAATCTTTGGAAGACGAGCAGGCACTAACTGAGAGCGTAAAGGCTATAGCAAAGAATGCCCTCACGATCCTCATCAACATCTCCAAGGATCCAGACGTGCTTGGGCTTCTAGCTGAGGATGATGCCTTCCTCGAGACGCTGCTTGTACGAGTAACAGTATGTCAGTTGGCCCCATCCAACCCTTCAACCACTCGTCCTTTCATCCTTTCTACGTTTTAGCACAAACTGACCAATGTCCATCACAGAACTCCAAAGAACCAAACGCCGATCCAATCTCCATGCTGCTAGCGAACCTCTCGAAGTCCCCTTCTATAACCCGCCTCGTCACACTCACTCGAACAACGGTGCCCGCACTCTCTCCATCAAAGCTGGCTGTTACGCAGCTGCTTGAGCTGTTCAATAAGGGTGCCGAAGGCGGGTATAACCCGGAGGCGAGATTTGATTATTTGGCGTGGTTTTTTGGGGATTTGGCCAAGGTATCTCTAACCCTTCGCTTCTCCCTTTCCATTGATACAGTATTACACACTGACAAGCAGACAGGATCCAGCATTCGTAGCTTACCTCACGACCCCACCCTCCCACACCACCCTCGACCCTCTGACGACGTTCCTTCCCCACACCACATCCCCCTCCCCCATCCGTCGCCTCGGCACCGCCTCTCTCCTCAAAAATACTGCACTCCTACATACCGATATACCATACCTCCTTCAACCTGCAGCATCCGTGCTGCCACCGATCTTACTACCACTCTGCTCATCGGATCAAGAGGCCTTAAGTGAAGTGGAGATGGACAGTCTGCCCGAGGTGTGTCAGTATTTGGGGGATGAGCATGTGCGGGAGAAGGATGTGAAGATTTTGAAAATCCATCTGGAGACGCTGTTTCTACTCAGTACGAGGGGTGGGGTTGAGGGTGCACGGCTAGTCAAAGAGTCAGGCACATATCCAGTGATCAGGGAGCTACATCTAGAAGTCGAGGATGAAGGAGTCAGGAGGGGATGTGAGAGGTTAGTGGATGTGCTGATGGGTGATGAGGCCGCTGGGGGGAGTCATGAGGTTGTGGATGGGAAGAGAGATGGGAACGTGGGAAGAGTGGGCGATGCGAGGTCTGAGGATATGGGTGGTGGAGTGGGGAGGATGGTGACGCAGGTGATGGATGGTGAGGAGGACGATGAGGATGATGAGATTGTGCCTATATTCTAGATGAGATGAATGATGGTGGACCTATGCCATGATGCTAACGATCTGTGTTTCGTACTCCTACCTAGTGACTCCAGGCGCCAACTAAGGAGAAGCGTGAGATTTGTATGCGAGAGATTGGCGGGAGATTGTTTAAAGCTAGCCGTCTCCAGTAATGCACTGTGAACTATTACTGCATGTGCTACATGGGAGATTTGTGGGTGGGAAACACATTTCCTCGCTGTCGACACGCCCTGATCGAATCAAGTGCCTCTCGCCGCTCTGGAAAATCACCCCGAAAGGGTGAGTTGAGGGTGAGCGGGTAAAATCGAAAGAGTGAGCAAGGTGAGCCGAGAGTGAAGGGGGTGAAAGATAAGCACCATAGGCTGTCGAGCATTCATTGAGCATTCATTCTAGAAATAATCGGCGTCTCACTGGTTAGTTTGCATGAGCTGATACTTGCTTTGCATACGGTAGCGATCGAGGGTGGTTTGCAGCAGTCCTTGGACATGCCGAGATTATTCCGGTTCCCCCACTAAAGATTCCTACTATTTGATAGAGAAGTCTACTTCTTTTCTATATAACGTCCATGATCGGATAACGAGAATGACTGGGCTTCGAGAATCTTGGCATACTAACATTAGCGCATAGAGATAATTGGTCAAATTTGGTAGGGCTACCACTAGTGTTCTCCATAATAAAGCTGCTGCTAGCCACCTTTCTCCGCTATTTCAGTCCATAAACCATGTGTAATGTAGTGAAACAATGATGTATTTGTCTATGTAGTGGCCTTCAAATAGGCCCATATGGTAGTCAATTGAGTCAATTGAGCCCCTCGGAGAACAAATCGCTTTATACAGAGAACGTCGCCCGAATACGAACTTTGTTGTTTTGCAGAAAGACCCTTGCTGACAAATCTATGCTACATGCGGTTAGACTACTAGATTTTGTATGTGCTTACTAAGATTCTCGAAGCCCAGTCATTCTCGTTATCCGATCATGGACGTTACCACTAGAATTCAGTGCTTAATCCATCACGTTCCTTACACTGTTCTACACGCTTCTGCATGTGACAGTCTTTATGTGGAGTGGTGTGGATGTGGAAGGAAAGAATGGGTAGAAAAAGGAGGTAAGCTACCGGAATAATCTCGGCATGTCCAAGGACTTCTGCAAACCACCCTCGGATAATTACCTTTTCAAATAAAGTGCACGGAAAGTCTTGACGCCCCGCCTGGACCACTCTAGAATTCTTCCATTATGTACTCAAGCCGGTTTTTAATGTTTGGCCACCTTACTACTTTGGGAACGCCTCTCAAAGTAGTAAGGTGGCCAAACATTAAAAACCGGCTTGAGTAGGGTTACTCGCAGGGCTTCTGCGGCGCTTGCCGGGACTTTCGGGTGCAAGTCCATGAACTCGGATAATCCTTTCGAGTCGCATCAACTCCGTGGAGATAGTGAAAGTTCGGACAGCTGGAATGGTAAGATAGATCTAAACGGGCCCTAAGCGTTGAATAGCCACGAACCCCACATACGAGTACAGCGACCGACGTTACACGTCTTACATTCGCAGAAGTCTGGTTTCGAGAAACCGTTGACCAGAGGGTGTACATCTGCCCCAGGATCAACGCCAGCTGTAAGTGTCTAGACTATAGGTAGGTTCTGTCATCTACTAGCGGATTACCAGGACGAGAAGATTATTGGAACAGTGATGTAGAAACCGCATGATACTCACAATCGTGCCCCACACTCAGCCTCGTTCCTCGGCTGAGGAACGAGACGTCTTGGCGGAATCAGACGATAAAATTCGATCAAGGGAAGCGCCAGACCTGCAGACATGCAGCACGCTCTAAATCGGGTGCTCTAAATTTGGTACCCTCCACCAGCAATCTTCCTTCAGCCTGATCTAAGCAAAACCTCTCAGCGCTTTAAATCCCCGCCCCCTCTCGTCGACATCAAGGAAGCATCACCACGAAAACCCCTTTTTCTCTCGCTTTCCAATTACCTCGTTTTGGAATTTTCTCTGTTCGAAATGAAGCGACCCCGTGATTTCGTCAAGAAGCGGGTACAGAGAGTAAAGAGTGCTGTCGAGACACAACAACCTACAGCCTCTGCTGCACAGGAGACACCGATAACAGCAAACCCCGCCGCTACGGCTGAAGCACCTGTACAGCCCCGGATAGATACAAAAATTATCAACAGTGATAATGCGCACGCCGCGATTTGGCAGGAAGCTCTGGAGACATTGCAGAAAGATGACCCAGAAAAGTACCAGGTCCTCGACAAAGTATACAAGAATGCCTACATTTCCAAGAACGACAAGGCTAGCAGACTGTTAGAGCTGAGCGAAAGCAAACCAGATTATAGGAGTCTGTGGCTGAGAGCGAAAGCCGCCGGCCCAAGTGTCAGCACGGTCAGGCAGGTCGCGATGACCATCGCAGGTGTGGATCATCATCAGACAGCTCCCATTGTGGTTGCGGCCACCTTTTTCGTTATCGATGTCAGTGGTCTACCACCTGCCTAAGAGCTAACTAACTCGAATAAGGTCCTGCTTGGCAGATTGTCAATCGAAGATAAACGAAAAATACGAAACATGCTGTACGAATGCGCCACTGCTATCAATGAATGGATCTCCTTCGAAACGAACTTTGTCAAAAATATTCCTGCAGTCGAAAAAGATGTTCAAGAAGTAGAGAAACTACTGCCCGACCTCTATGAATGCGCATTGCAGCTCCTGTGTAATCTACTGATCGCTTGCGATGCGTCATGGTTAAAAACAGTTGGTGAGCATGACATAACTGCATACGTGACCTTATGCTTACAGCCTGATGACAGGCAATAAGCTCTCAGCCAAAATGGTGGAATGGCAAGAGCAAGTAGAGAAACTGAAAGATCACCGCGCAAAATGGACTGCCAGGAGGAAAGTAATGGAAGAGGCACTGTCTCGTCAGGAGCATATTGCTAAAGTTCTCGACTGGATCAAGAAAGGTGATGACCCCGAACAATCACTACGAGCGCTGAACGACCGAGCAACGTCAGAAGGGCGACAAAAAGACTCTGCATCGTGGATTCTCGACAATCAGATCTTTAAAGCTTGGTCACAAAACTTGTACCCTCCTGAGCCTCCTGTGAGCACGACCTCAGATGTCGTGTCTAAACGTGTGTTGTGGGTTAGTGGATCCTATGGTGTGGGTAAGACCACAATAGTGTAAGTTGGGCTTCTAACTTCAAGGGGTCTACTAAACAGCATATAGTCATCGCGTTGTCTCTGAACTGCAGAAATTGGCTGATGGCTATCTCCCACGTGATGACGTTCTGCAAGTCATATCTTATTTCTGCGACACCTCAAAGCGCGCAAACTATGAGACGGTCATTCGGTCGATCGGTCGAAAATTGTCGCTCTTACCGGACTTCACTATCGCGCGAAAAGCTCAGGATTTCTATAACAAGCATACGTCAGGGCTCACGGCTACAATCTATATCAAGGAGTATGAAGACCTTGTGCGTGATCTTTTGAACGAGCGCTCGAAGTCGTACAACATCGTGCTGCTTATCGACGCTCTTAACGAATGTGATCCATTTCAGGACGCGGAGCGTCTATGTGCTTTCATAAGTGAGATTGTCAGCAAGAATCCTCAAGTTTGGGTTCTTTTCTCCTCGCACGAGCAATTATCCGGAAGTGAGCAGTTCAAGGAAATGCATCTTGAAAAGATGGAAGTGGTTGCAAATGCACCAGGGAATGCGCTAGAGGACTTCGTACGGACTGAAATCAAGTTTCGGGAGGATAAGCTGAAGGACAGCAGAAGCATTTTCCGTAAGTGAATGCCACTATGAGTATATGTCAACAGCGCGCGGCTAAGTTGGTTGAACTGCAGTAAATTCCGACCACAAAGATCTGCTAGTCACGCTTGAGCAGTCGTTAATCGATCGTGCTAAGGGAATGTAGGTTATGCGATTCAAGTTGAAGCATTGCACTGACAACTTCCAGGTATGTCTGGGTCCAAATCTGGTTGGATATCACGCTCCCTCTCCAGAATAGTACTAGGACTGTTGTTCTCAAAGACAATGCTCAGGAACTCCTCAAAGATTTGCAGGAGACTTCCACTAAGAAGAGTGAAGCGAACGGACAGTTGCAGGCCGGTTATCAGAAACTTTGGGACTCTGGAAGCTTGACAAGGTTTGACGAAATCCGAAAACGCCTGTTCCGCTTCGTTCTTTGCGCTTTCGAACCTCTAAAACTGAGTACTGTTGCCCATGCATCGCGCATCGGTATCGAAGAAAACGAACCGTCATATCGAGGAGAGATTACTATCGAGGATATCGACAAGGTCTGCTCAAACTTCCTTTCAAAGGACGTTTCTGGCCATCTTAGTTGGACTCACGATTCTGCAAGAAACTTTGTTGTCAGAGTGATTTTGGACCCGGGGATCGGTCTCGAGGGAACCAGCGCTGAGGAGACTTCGATGAAAAGCAGTCATCTTGCAGTCGCCAACACTTTCATCGCGGTAATGAAAGACTCCGACCATCAGGTCTGGAAAGAAGCGGATTTGGATCCTTCTGAGTGGATGCTACCAAAACGAGAGTTTAAACCGGATTCCCAAAAAAAGATTGATTCAACACGGGTGATGATGAAAATCTCGAACGCAAAGAGTAGTCTGGGCTATTTGGGCAGGCATGGATGGCGCCACTGTGAACTTGCTGCTGACAAGCACGTGATCTCTGATCCGTTGTGGACTAGAGTCTTGAGAGAACTGTTGCTGCACCCCAAAACCGCATTTGCTCTATGGTGGCAAATTTGGTTCAAAGACCCGTTGCACCCGTGGGAACCCGGCTACAGATACCTCGAGGAGATTCTCGGAGATTACGCCGGGGAGCGTGTTATCCTGATCTCACATGCTCTCGTCTTTTTGAAGCTTAAGACCGACAGCGTTTGGGATGTGCAACTCGAGAAGGCGGCAAAGGCTCCTCTAGGGCGAAGTATTGAGGAAGACCTGGCAGAGTCTCTGGTACGGCATGCGGCTTGCAAAAATCTCAATGGCGCCAACGCATTGCATCTAGCATGCGAGGCCAACAATGGAAGTCTCTTGAACCTTATGCTTCAAGCTATACTTCAACGCCCTGGTGGAGTTGCTCGTGTATTCGAACTCCTCGAAGAAGAATACAAATCTCAAACTCCATTCATCTGGGCGATTAAATTCGAAGTAGATTGGGCCCACCCTCAGTCATCATATGATTTCGATGTAAAGGGAGGCTTCCTAAGGTTCGAAAATGATAATCCGAGGCCGAATGGTTGCGACCAAAGCAGCAATGAGGCTGCGTCTCTTTGCCTCTGGTCGCAGTCGTGCAAGTCTTGGAGCGATTTCGAAACAGCTTTGATGCAGGCTCTATATTGGCTTGAAGAGAACGAGGTTATCCGCCTTCTTGACATACACAAGCCTTGCAATATCGACGTCCAGGCTGGAAATAGTAAGAGAACGGTTCTTCACCTTGCTGCAATGGACGGGAAGATTCAGCTAGTAAAGGTATTGGTAGAGGAATGTGATGCGAACGTCGATGTGCGTGACGGTGAGGATAAAACACCTTTGCACGCTGCTCGGGAGACATTGGCATTCCGACGACGTACCCACAGCGTTATGTCCACGTCGTTCATCGAAGAGAATCTGGAGCTTGCTAGGGTAATCGAGTATCTGGAGTCTATCAATCAGAGCGACTCAGGCGAAATGGCCAGAAGGATAAGATGAGAGGCTTTTAGTTAGGTATATTTTCATAGACTACAGCAGCATAGATCGAGATATGAGAGCGAGGGACTAGGAATAGCAAGTACAAGTCGCAAGGTGAGGAGTCGAGCGGGGGCGAGCAGGACCAAAGGAGCGTTCTTGAGGAAAGCAGAAACTCGAGTTGCAAGAGGAAGACGGAGGGCGAGTGGAAAGGTCATCGAAAGACTGCGCCTGCTGCGGTATCGAGTTGGCCCTGTCGAGCATAGCCTTGAAGATACTTATGACGGAGCTTTGAGACTGTTGGTGTGCAGATATGCATGTCAAGGACTTCGCGAGTAGTGTAAGCTGTTCGAGTGCACTCGTTGCAAGCAGAGCGAGATGATGATATAATCGTCCTGTATGGGGACTACCCGTTGATTTTTTCTGATATCAGTAGCGAGCGATCCCGCACCACTGCCTTCTTTCCCGGTCGTCACTGTGGGAGATGGGCCAGCGGTAACGTGCAATGTCCCCGAGACACTCAATGCAGACGTCCTCCAAAGTAGGAACGGTTACCAACAGAGTTGTCATCATGGTGTAGGACATGTTGATGAAGGCAAGCATAAATCTGTCGACGTTCGAGGACCGGTCAGGGAGGGGCTCAAGCATTTCTCCGCGAGCTTGTCGAAAGGCTTCTGCAACGGATATGGCGGAAGTGAACTTTTCAACATCGTCTTCGTCACGATGTGCCTCCCGTTTGAGATCGCGGAGCGAACGACCGATACAGAGCTTCGTACCCTCGGCGACGTAGCCACCATCGTCTACGACGATCGATTACTAGACGAGGACGCTCACTACACCTGGGGTATCGACCACGCCAAGGGTGCCGTGGTGGTAGTCCGGCCCGATCTCTGGGTGGGAATAAGTGCTTTCCCGGACGAGACGGCGCGGTTGAAACATTACTTTGGAAACTTCCTACTCCCTCAAAGTGAAGCAACGGAAGCCGAAAAGGCCCCCAACGCCATGCCAGCCGATAGAACGGAAGCTGATACCGATGTCGGAGAGCCGACGAACGACCATCTTGTCGACGGATCCGTGCCAGACTCCACCGCCAACGGAACCACGACCGGGGAAGAAGCCAAAGAGGCAACGACGAGTGGATCTTCGGCCCCTTGGCTCCTTCCCTGTTCGTGGGGAAAGGCAACCAAAGAGGCGGCGGTTGGCGGAAGCGAAGCGGATTCGAATGCACGTAAGGAGCCAATGGATGAGCTGAAGGACAAGGTCGCAATGGACGCTGCTCATGATGGTCCTGCATTTGAAGAGGCGATGATTGAGATCCCTGTCAACGAGCCAGGAGCCTCCACAGACGGTGGGAAGGGCGAGTATTTTGTGACCGAGTCCGCCAGCGTCAATGCCACTCACTGATGGCTATGCACTTGATAGATGTTTAGACGTTTTGCACTCTAGTTGACTGGATTACAATATCGTGTGAAGTTGTCTGGGTGCTGTGAGTAGATTTCGGTTCAAAGTAAGAGAAAGGCTTGGAAAGGGTGACGTTCAGTAATGAAAGGCTTACTGCTCTGGCGGAAAAGGCGAACGGTAAGATTATCGCCAGGTGGTTGGATCTGCGCTGCATTCGCATCGCAGCCAACACGTACAGAAACCAAAGCAGTGGGCTTAGCAGCTCGACCGGGAGCTCGAAGGTATCTTACGTTGAGGTCGAATCCCAGACCCTGATTCCCCAAGTCCGCAATATAACAACAACAGTGTTGCTTCTCATGGCTACGATGGCCCAATTAAAGGATGAGTGGGAGGATCAACGGAGACCTGGCGTTGTGCTGGTCTCCTGCCAGATGACAGAGCCTAAATTCCTAATCCAAAATGCTCCCCAGGCGCCAACGTCTTATATGGACATCCCTTCCAGTCACACCCGTCTTTGTAAACGCTCGTCCCCCACCACTCCAACTTCCCCAGCCACCCCCACCCCGGATACAAAAAGCAAAAGAACACCACCAAGACCCCGAACGCTAACCCCGAATCCAGCGCCGCGGAAAGCGTCATTGTGTATTTCCCCCACCAAGCCGGAGCGCGCCGGCGCAGGTGCGAGTTGAAGAGGAAGCAGACGAGGGCCCAGACTGAGAAGTTGAGACCCGTGGCGGGCGGTATCCAGCTTAGACTGCCGAAGAGGACGGGGAGGTTGATTTTGCGCCATGAGCTGCTGGCTATGCTGCGGCGGCCGATTAGCCAGATGAGGATTGGGGCGATAAAGCCGATTAGGAATGCCCAGATCAGTGGTCTGTAGAGAGCGCCTTGGCCGAAAAAGCGTTGCGGACCTACTACGCCCCAGAGGATGGAACCGTTGAAGTGCACGCGGGCTATGGGGCATGTAAAGCCGTTGATTGCTTCAGGAGTGCAGATGTTTGGAATGTAGGTGAACATCCAATTTAGAACGCCGATTTGGACAACGCTGGAGACAAGGGTGGCGGCTAATTGGATTTTGAAGAGGAGCTTGGGCGGGATCTTCATGTAATGGCCTAATTTGAGATCGGAGGAAAATTTGATGCCTTGGGCGGAGGAAATGTAGCAGTAGGTGACAAAGACCTGTAAAAAGTGACGGTCATTTATGGTCAGTGACGTGCTCAACTACTTTGGGAGCATAGGTGATTGGGACTTACCATATTAGCAACAGGCCTCCCTGGAAAGACGAATCCGCAGATGATCTGGCAGATTAGATAGAGACTGCTGTGCTGATTCGTGATAGCCATGACGATGCCGACCGGTATGAAGAGGAGGGCGGTAATGGAAACGGCGAGCAGTAGACCATACCATGGGAGGTAGACAGGGTAGTACTCGACGACAAACATACCAATAGCAAGCATTCCTACAAACGTGGCAAGATACCAACTGATCGGAGCGTCTTCGTAGCGTTGCATCAGACGACAATGGACGTCTTCGCTGCCTATACTAGCAGCACTGGAGTCTGGCTCTGTTGTCGAGCGGCCACTGTGGGTGCTTGTTGTTGACTTTGCACTTCTCACGCCGGACGCCACCGGCTGGTAATGATCTTTGCTTTCCCGGACGTCTCCGGAAAACGACTTCTTGGACTGCTGCCATATGTCTGGGCCATGCCAGCAGATGGTATGTGTGACTAAAGCCGAGAGACCTGCAAACTGAACGCCATAAGACAAGACATAGGTGATGGGCAGGTAGACCTTGCTGTATTTAGTGTAGGCCTCGTGATCGAAGTGGTAGTCCTTCGTGAGGATTCTGCTGACATCATACGGCTTGCCGGTGTCGTCGAACACTGCAGATGAGATGATGGGCATGAAAGAAGAGAAAAGCGCGTTTCTGTAGTCTAACATTCCTTAGTAATTGTGTCCCATAATATCTAACAGAGTCTTCTCACAAAGAATAGGAGCCATGATCCACATTACAATCACAAGTCCTCCCACTACATTAGCCGCCGCCCACCAAGGAGTCAACAGAGGAGATCCAATGTAGGCTATCTGAGCCCAGTCAAATGTCACTGGGAAGAGCCCCAATCCAGAGGAGACGCCAAACTGGCTGCTGTCAGTGACAGCGACAATGTCTGTTTTCAATTCCGAGAGCAGCTCACCAGGTTTGCAACGACAACATTCTTAGGAGCAAACCACGTAACAACGCTAAAGTAGCTCAGGGCAGGCATCAACAGACCGGGCAGAAAGTACCAAGCGAAAGCTCCAGACCAGACAAGAAGGAAGAATTTCCAGCGCGAGATCATCCAGCCATTAGCAATTTTGTTTTCCGAGCTATGCATGGTAGTGAACATTGCAGTAGACATTAAAGTACCTGGCCAAATCATAGAAGGCGGTCGAACAAGATAGCGACGTGTAAGCCCCGCGAAAGAGTAGCCCAGAATTTGGGTTGAAATGGTGAGGAGAAGCTGGTACACTATGCTTGGATCTTGGTGATAGAATTTAGATTGCTCGACGATGACCTCGAAACTTATCAGATTATAAAGTAGCAAGTCAGACAGCACATACATCAGTGGCGAAAGCAAACCCGAATGCTACATTACTGCTGATATATACCTACACAGTTTTCCGAGTCAGCGTAGCTTCTTCAAGGCAAGAATCTAGTCATGAAATAGACCTGACCAACAAAAGAGCTATGCTGCTCTCCAAATACAATTTCCGGCCCCAATTCTGGCAACAGTAGGGAGGCATACCCCTAAGATCTACTTACACAAGCGTGCTCTTTGCCATTCCAACGGCCCTGGGCCAGCCAACGTCTCAGGCGCAACATTCTCGAGCGATAAAGTACGGGATCCCGTACTTTGACTGCGCGGACTCGATTACCATACTCAAAAGTCTCCACAGGATCGTCCGGTGATTTAAGCAGCCGATCCCAAGCTCGTCCCAACGGATGCACAACGACCAGCGCAATCACTGGGGTGATTGCGACGCTAGGATAACGAAGAGAGAAGAAAAGATTCGTTGCAGATCCCAGCAGAGCACATAAAAAAGACAAGATCCACATTCGGGGGGTGTTGATCGAAGCAGAGATATCATCGCTCGCGGCTACTGAGGCACGCACTTGTGGATAGGGTGAGTTGTCCGGTGGATCCAAGACATCCTCATCATCATCGATACTAACGACTTGGTCGCCTTCATCTTCGTCTTCACTGGTAGCAGCAAGTGGTAGATCGTCTGCCAAGTCCCAGTCTGCGGACTGGGATCTCGAACCTTGGTTAGGTAGGGCACCGTAGGATGCTGCATCCTTTGTTGACGAGAAACCTCTCAGAAGAGGCAATTGAGACATTAAAGTAAAGACCCGCTGGAGGAGCCCCGGCTTGGCTACTTGCTGTCCAGTGTCGGAATTGTCTCGGTCGATTGACCGGTGCCTGCGGAGAAAGGCTGCGTCGGAGTCGGGATTGATATCTTCGTCGAACTCGTCATCCCAATGTTGACTCTTCGAGACTCTGCTGGTAAGAAGATAACGCTGGTAAGACTGGTCTTTTGCACTTCTGCGACGAGTACGACCTCTTGGAGACATTTAATGGCCGCCCCCGACGCATGAAGTAGGCGCCCGGCGGGTGGAGATCATTGGTCAGCCCCAGCTGCACAATGACGCCTGCACTCTTTTGATAGAAATGTGATTATGAGAAAACGAGGGATAAGATGAGTGCATGAGAAAGGACAACATGAAAATCAAACATCAAGACTGGCTATTTTCGACTACGTGTGGCACCTGGAAGCATCCTGTCTATCTCCGAAAATGCAAGACACCGATTACTCAGTCAAGTTCTCACTACGCCAAGACTTTGATGCTGCTAGACCAATCTGACCTAGCACTAAAGTGTAAATTCCCCGTAAATTCCTCAGCCTCAGCCTCAGCCTCAGCCTCAGCCTCAGCCTCAGCCTCAGCCTCAGCCTCAGCCTCCGCCTCCGCGCCTCGTCTTGCGGCTTCAACAAGTCTCCCAGTGAGGCTGCTGCCCCTCGCGGCTGTGTCAGTAGGATTCAGTTCTACATCAGAGAAGAGAAATAGCAGTCGCGCTGATCCAGCGCTCTTTCTATAAGAACCTTCCACTTGTACATCAAGCATCTACCCGTCCGACGACAAGCCGCCTACCATCTCTGATAGTGATTACCTCGACAAGAAATCCACCATTCTTGACATAACAAGATCTTTCAGAATGGCGCCGACCTCCCTACACGCCCTCCTTCCCCGCCATTATCCCTCCTTGGGCGAAATGTTTCACCAGTTTCCCGCCAAAGTATGGCTGATTCTTAAGGAAATCATCTTCGGTCTCGCCATCATCCTTGCTCTGGTTGGCTTCATTCTCGTTATCATTAGCATATTTGTGGGCATCCGCATATACGGACCGCATGTCGTTAATAGGCTGAGGGGTGGGGAATGGAGGGACGTCGTGGAGGGGTTGAGGGAGAAGGTTGGGCGCTTGAGGAAGATTGAGAGGGTTGATAGGATGTGGAAGTGGTTGGAGCGCAGGATGGCGAGGACCGACACCGATAAAGCTGTTAGTGCAGCAACGCTGGAACTTTTGGATAGTAGGGAGGGAGAGGGTAGCGTGGGTGGGGAGACATTGTTCGAGGGCGAGGAAGATGAAGATGAGAAATGGACACGCGGGCAAGAAGGATGAAATCGAGCTAAACAGCGAGAGATACATGAACAGCAAGTCGAAGTTCGGGATCAGACGTCAGGCAAACACCGTCCCTACAAGACCCACGTCTCCTCAACGGTGCAAAGGAGATGCTGTAGATGTGAAATTGTGCAAGATCATAAATGATATCCTCGAGACTTTTATGGGAATGTTTCAATCCTGAGCTTAAAGGAATCTTTTGCTGCATATAAAGGGGCAACAGCGGGGTAAATAGAGAGGTGCCCGTCAAGACCTCTTCATTGTAGGCATGGACATAGGCATTGATTCCGTCAAATTTTAGCCGGGGATAGGCCGAGATGTCAATTTGTGTTGGACAAGCATTTCACGATTTTTCAGTAATCTCCGCCACCAGTTATATCAGGTGAGGAAGAGCAATGTTGCCAGATATGTATTGCCCAAGGTCGAGATCAGTTGGAATCTACTTTTTTATGTACATGGACGCGTCATGGATATCAAAGACCACAACGCAAACGGTCTTGGGAATGAAACACCTTACGTAGCCCGGGGCCCAGCTCGAGCTTCTCATGATGAGGACTCAGCATCTTACATAAAGCCCATCATCAAAGAGCTTGTCCGCACCCAAGTTTGTTTTCCCAACATTAAGCTTCTAGTGGACAAGATCTCGACCGTAAAAGTCCCTTCTGCTACCGAGTCATCCGGCCTGGAGGCGTATCGTATGCATCTGACAGATAGGGAAAAGACTATACAAGGTTTGTATACTCACCATCTCTACCCTAATGAGGACTGTTCTGATATTTCTAATCTATCAGCTGTTGTAAAGCGCCGCTTACACAAGTGGCTCACCACGTTCAATGTGCGGGAAGGCTCGTATGTCGTTCTCAAGGAGTATAATCTAGCGAGGGGGAAACGGTTGGGTGGGGAAGGAGACGTCTTGTAAGCTGTCTGCGGGAAATCCGGGATCGCTGCTTCTGACTCGGGCTAGCTATCTCGCCATATCTGACTTCTACTCAATCGGCGAAGAGCAGCGTTACAATCGTAGTACCGACCCAAAGAGTGTTTCTGCAAGTGCTGAGGAAGGTGATTCAGGTCCACAGGACCAAGTATCTGCCAAAGACGAAGATCAAAGCAACGAAGTCGACATAATCAGGACAGAGCGTTCACTACCTAGGGCTAGTCCTACCGAGACCCATGAGGATATCGCCAGCAGTAAAGACTTGTTCTTTGCGAAGTCAGCAATGGCGGAGCTAACGAAGAGGAAGAGAGGAATGGCTCCGCCGGATCTCGATCCAGACCTAATTTCACTGGCTAGCAAAGCCCAGAGGCTTCGCGAGACTCCATTAGCTAAGATGACGAGAGAAAAAGAACACGATAACGCCCAACCAAGGTCTACTGACGACCACTGCAGCAGTGCTTCTACGCCCAACATCCCGATAACACGACCTCAATCTGCCCAAATTCGGGCCTCACCCGAACAAGTTCCGTCGCCTTTGCAGCTGTCAACCTTAGCATCTGTGACAGGAACCAACGCCACACGCAACAAACAAGTCAACATCCTTGCTATGATTGAGTACGTGAGCAATTCCACAGTAAAGCCCACAACAGCGCCCCTCAAGCGTGATGTTCGTATCGTTGATGCCAGCACCGACAAGAAAGTCACTCTCAGTGTCTTCGTTGACCCCGTCAATTTCATCCCTAAGGAGTATGACATAATGCTTTTTCGAGACTTGACCACTCACGACTTCAGTGGGGGCAATCTCAACGCTTATCCTAAAAAGTGCAGGGGCAAGGAGTGGTACATCCTCAACCCATACGATACTGAAGAATGTGACATGAAGTCTATGGAAGTATTTAGGACAAAGTATCGGAAGACAAAAGCACAAGGGCCCAAATGACAGACCATGAAGAACTTGGGGCTTGATTCTTTTTGAAATCCTCGACTACGTTACTTCTCCGAGGTTGCTATCCGCGGATTCGAATCCCACCAAGTGATACTGCTTCCACCTGTTTGCATACGCATGGATTGCCTCGTGAAGAATTGCTGGCGAGATGCAAAGTCCTGACGCAGTGGACTACCAGGAGCTGCTTTATGCCACGCGTCGATTTCGACATCTGCAAGATGCTGTGCGATCGATGGGTCATAGTTGCCTGGGGAAGGCGGCATAATTGACTGATCCCAAGCGCCCGTCACCGTAACGGTTAGAAATGCACTCGAGATTGCTGTGGTATTGCGGCCGAATTCAGCCTGGAACTCTGAATGCAAAGCTCTTTGCAAAGCTTACTTACGATACATTCCGCCGATATTTGCATCTGGCTCCGTGACATAGGCAGTAAGTTCGCTGATATCCTTTGTCGCGAAGCCACCATGGCCCCTTCCATTGCCGCCGACACACTGTTCTATGACCCATCCTGCCATTTCTCGGATCTCATTCGGAACAGCTTCATAGATTTGTGGGGTTGCCGGACCTGCTATTTCGATCCATATCTTGCAGTTCCCTGCCCAGCAGCTGTAAGAAAGGTGAAGAGGTTTCGAAGACAGCGGCTACTCACCAAATATGGCAGTGTATGGCAGAGTTTGAGGGCCTGGGACACCACCACGTACAGTATACGGGACAAGCGAATCGCCTTTAATCAGTGTTTCTGCTGCCCAACCGCAGAGCAGAGGTGTCAAGTGATCTCCATACCGTCGATCGCATATGCCATAGTCTGGGGCTGTAGGAATGACGGGCGATGGACCAACCTGGAGTGGGAGGCTGACGGGCCCATGTAGTGATAAGTTGAGCATGGTTGAAATGCGAAACTGCTAGCAACTTTACCAGGAACGATTATGAGGAACGTCCAAGCTGGTGAGGGTTGAAAAGCAAAAAGGCTGGAGCTATAACAACATTGCTCCAGAAACAGTGCCCCCACTGTCCCACCAGGATCGCAAGCCTAGTATATGCGCCAATTTACCCGTTGTTCGAGCCGTCCCATCCCTTCTACGCGCAAAACGAATCGTGGCGACTGGAATTGACTGAAAGCAGGAGGCTGCATACCTGTAAAGGCAATTGTGGAGCTCAAGGCCCGCTTACTGTTGCATTTTGCTGCAATGGCCTTCCAGAATCATGAATTATTGGAGTTTACCCATCTTCGCTGGAACGTCGCGTTCGGAGACTCATCCGGCTGAGAATTCCATCTGTTGATCTCCATTAACCGCAGCCGCTTTCGCGCTTGTCAAGATCTTCAGAGCCGGACAGGTCTTCTTGCTCCGACCCAAGGGTTCCAATCCTACGATAATAAGGGTTTGACGAAGTACTCATTTCTTGTGATACTACTGCTACGAGTGTGAATGATTCGCTGCCATTAGATACGAATCACGTGTCGCCGGAACGACCCGTTCCTGGCCTTATAAACGTTCCTTCAACAGTAGACGGCGAGACAAACGGTCAACTTGACCACTGACAAATGATTACCATTACACAACTCAACCCGCTGGAGAACCTCAAAACACTCCTCCAAATGAATTTTCTCCTGTATGCTTTCGAAGGCAGAAGTGATGGATCTCTATCGCCAAGCACCAAACTAGTCCTGTTCGAGAACATTTACTTCGCCAAGATATATATATAGTATATCCCTCAGCGTAAATCATGGATTTTTTTCTTTAGCGCACCCGAATGCTGTATTTTCCATTATACTGGCCTCGTTTGAGCAGATTTGCTTCCATGACTGGGGCACTTGGCCCTGAAAAATTTGATATGACTCTTTTTCTCTTCTTGGCTCGTGGGATCATGGAACTACTTATTGACCAACTTCTTTCTCTTCCCTGCCATCATTGATCTTCCACACATTCAATTCTTCTTCAAAAAAGCAAGAGCTTTCCGAATCATCATCGGCGAGAATCATCATCTATATAGACATCAAAAAAATCCCGCATCCTCTAGGTATCAGCCTATTCCCCAATCTACAAGATGAATCCCTACGCGAACTGGCCTAAAGATCCCTACGCAGACTCGTCTGTGGAACGACCACGGAACCGGAAACGGAATCCTCTTGACCCACGTGAACCGTACAAAAGGTAAGTCTGTTCCCTCATTGTTAGCGCTGGATGTCAAGTAACCTAGGATTTAGGACCTTTACACAAGCGCCCGTCACCAGACCGTTCCCGCCGACCGGGTCCCTATACTACAGATGGGGGGTCTTCAATGGGCGCTTGATGACCCCTAAGGAGCAGCGCTTCGAGCACTTCATCAACGATATGCAAGCGAGACACGACGAAATTAGCGAACTAAGAGAATGGAGAAGGCTGAAAGATATCGAAGAGGAAGCTGTGTTGTTGTACCACGAACTCGGCAACGTAGTAGAATACACCAGGCAGATGAGCACTCGTGATCAGATGGACACGGAATACCAATGCCAGAGGAAAAGACAGAAGGCTGAAGATCTTAACCCTTGGGCAACGGCACTGAAACATGGACAGGAAAGACTCAGAGCAGAGGCAGAAGAGAGAGCAAGGGACCAGGAAAGGATTAGAAGCAGTTTCAAAGCTCGTATTCAGGCAAGTAGCTATCCAGCGGCCAATACAAAGATCGCCACTAATGCTGCAGGACCACAGCAAGCAAGCCAGCAATCTGGGCTCACACCGCCAAAGCCAGAGAAATGTGGCAATACCAGCCAAGCCGTCCCTTCTACTGAAGCAGGCTCGTCAAGGCAGCAAGAGCAGAAGACACAGCTCAGCGCAGAAGAAGTTCGCCGTCAATTCCAGGACGAATTTCGATTTCAGCTAGCAACTACAACGACACGACTAACGACGACATCAAGTGTACGATCAGTATCACTCGAGACTGCTACTTCCGCACGAGGAACTCGTGCCAAGGAGCTCGATGTAGCGATGCCCACGGCAAGACAAGACTCTGTGAAAGCAGAACTTCCAGGATACCAACCACCAATGGGCATAATTCAAGTTACGCATTTACCCAAGGGGAGCGTACTCGTATCAAAGAGACCCGGTCTTCCCGAACTGCATCTAGGGTGTCCATCCGTGGCAGAGCAGAGTCCAACACTCAGCATCGGCCAACCGTCTGACACTTCGCAAGAACACCCAATCACAGGATCAATCGAGCATCGCTCAACCAGCCCATCCTCGCGACAGACCAGGAGCGAGGGATCTACACCGCCCTCATCAGTCCCCTCATCACCGCCGAAATCACCAGTAAGTTCCCCTCAGCACACATGAAATGCCGGCGAAGAAGCTAACCACTGATGACCAGAAGGAAGAAGTAGACAACAGCAGCGCTCTCCTAGAGCTCGAGTGGAATGCCCATGGCACGGTAAAGTCGACCAGTCGATGGGAGAAATTGAAGCCCTCCACGAGGAACAACCCGTTCCTGAACTCCCTCATTCGCGAACATATTGATCGTCAGAGGATGAACAGCTGGGCTTTGATGGAAGAAAGGAGCAAAAATGAGCGCAGTCAGGGCACACCCAGCAGCAGGAGTGAAGGTAACATTTGGGGTCCGGCGGGGTTGTCGGGAAGGTTTCTTGGTAACGGTGCGATGGGACGTTGACGAGTCGGGGCATTTCGGAAAAGAGACGGCGCTTTGAACGGGCTCCTGTACGCACGTGTATTCCGTAGACTGGATAGATCAAACGGTTTTCTCTTCATCCACATCCCCGCCGGCTACCGTGTGCCGGTACCGGTGGGACGCATTTTCGGAATCCAGCTCTTCTCAAACGTTCTAGCTTCAAGCCAAGGGTCTTTCTCACTCACTCCCCGGACAGGCCTAGACTTTTCACCAACCGCGACGTTTCTCGAAGCATGGCCAAGCGACCACGAATTTTTGATCAATTTCGACGTTTCTCGAAGCATGGCCAAGCGACCAAGATTTTTCATCAATTTCGACGTTTCTCGAAGCAAAGCCAAGAGGCCAAGAGGCCAAGACTCCTCTTTGATGCTCGATCTGCCAGGTAGGTTTAATGCACTTTTCCGATGACTCCAACCAGAGTTTGAAAATTTCCTGATCGTCGAATTTTTTCCCCTCGATATATTCCAATATCCTGAGCGCTTGGATATATATATATCAATGCACTGCTTCTGTCATAACTCCTTCACCCCTTCACCAACACTCCATTACAATCTCCAGGAAATATTCCAAGCCGAAGCGCAGAAATGATACATCGAAGCTTCACCACCATGGAACCACGTACCGGTCTTGAAGCTAGGAGACACGTATCGTGGCACGCTCCGCCACTACAGAAGTCGCAGGATGTCTCCGTCTCGGCAACGATGAAGAATCCGGAGGGATGGTGTGGCCGTTCAGGTCAAATACAAAGGACCAATTTTCCACGGACACAATATCCTTCCCCACCAATGTCCGAAGACATTCGATGTGACGAGCGAAATATAACAGACAGCATGTCTCACTCAGACAGACCCCATCGTACCAATAGCTTCCCAAAGACGCCATATCCAGCAGTATCATCAACAACAACAGCCCAGGCATCTCTCTATGCCGAGCGCGACATCGCCGACACGACCACTTCCCCACCCTCACCCACCACCGCACCCGCGAACGGACCACCTCACACCAACCCGCCCTTCCCCCACACGCACTCCCCACTCCCCGCCCCCTCCTCCTACCCAATCCCTCAAACCTTCTTCGCATACCCGCCCATCGCCCCCTTCGACCAATCCCTCAAGCGCCACCCCAACTACTACCACAGCACGCACAACCTAGCCCAAGAGATCGAACCCGAGAACGGCAGCAGGGCCGTACGCTTGCGGCACCCGGACCACCTCCTCGAACGCCGGCGCCAGAAACTCGGCTTCGCACCGACGGCTTTGGTGTACGAGTACGGACAAGAGGGCCGGCGGGACATGCCGATGAGACCCGCGGGGACGAAGTTCCACGACGATGGTGGGGACGGGGATGGGGGGTCGATACTCGCGGGGCCGTGGCCTAGGTACTGGTTCAGTGGACGGATGAATGTGTTGGATCTCAAGTTTTTAGGCCAGGCGCACGATCCTGTGGCTGGCAGGAAGAAGGTTTGGTATGATAGCGTGAAGAAGGACTATGTGTGGACGACGTTGGAGGAGGCGAAGGATATGTCCGGTAGGGAGGAGAGGATGAGGGAGAAGGCGATGGCGAGGCGAAGGTGTGATTCGGAGGCGGATACGGAGATGGTGGAAGGAGAAGTCGGTAGCTGGGAGGAGGGTTAGGGGGTTGTTGATAGGGAGATGGAAGGGAATTGGTCGTGTACGAGGTGTCAGGGATTGGCATCATTGCAGCATGGTGGTGTAGGATTTGGAGGATCGCGATAGGCTGTAGTGGATCTGATTAGATGCTGCGAAACTCGGTAAATAGACAAATGGAAGACGTTTCGCTCACCCACGAATGCCCGGAAGTTGTTATCGTCTTATACTGAAGCAGTCCGTCATGTTGTAGATCACGGGGGTTCTCCCAACAACCATCGCAATGCCACGGTCTCCACCTAAATCATCTGTCAATAACGCATTTTGACCCTTGACCCACACCGTTTGAGCTCCCCTTATCCCTGACTCGCAACACTTGAAGGGATATAGTCCGCTCTAGCATACTGCTCGAAGCCATCCCAGAGCGTGGCCGCGTGTTCTTCATAACTTTACACTTCTCTTTCGTGCCAAAAGCAGGAGGGTCCCAATCCAGTGTTGACATTCTCCGGCATTCCTCCGCCAGATCCGTTATCCCCTCGATAAAATCAGTCGTGCGTAGCTAAGGCTTGGGGGGGGATGACGCTTTCAGCTGTATGTTCGCGGTAAGTTGGGCCCTGTATCTGTTTGGCACAACCTTTTGTCAAGTCTTCTATCTGCAACAGTATTCAAGCGTGCTTTGGTTGATGAATTGATGGCTACGGCTAGTTCACCGTTCTTAAATTGGGTATTGGCGCTGTTTCAGTCTCCGAAGAACTTGTCGTAGTAATCGGGGGACCCTTGTCATGGCGGAGTGTCCTTGAAGATACCTGGAGGACTGCTCGAGGAATTTGGAGGAGGGGCGATCGTTCTGAGACGCAGTCCTCGAGATTGGCTTGTGCGGAGTCTTTCATGCCCACAGCGATGTATCTGTCGGCAAGAACATAGAAGCGTGCGTTGCCCATGGCTTGGGTTCCTGGAGTTTGAGCGGTAGTTGGGGTAGACTCAGAGTGCTCGTGGTTGCGGAAGTAACGCACCATGCGCTCCACTATGACCGGGTCGTCCTCGAACATTGGGTATCCGACAGTGACGGCCTCCTGGAGCTTGTTTACAAAATACTCGCGTCGGGGGAGAAGGGGAAACCTACCCGGAGGTATCCGTCATGGCCTCTAGCAAGAAGAGTCTAATTTGGGCACATGATAGCGCGATGAAGGCGACACTTCTTTGAACCACACACGAGCGTGTGATCGCAGTAGTCGCCGGATTCCGGCAACTTGAGGTCCGATGCCACAAGGGCGGCAATTTGGGCATCGGTCCTGTTTGGTATCTGGTGATATCCGTGGGATATCTAGATGTTTCGGGCTCTGACGGAGGGAGGGCAGTTCGAGACTGGATGGATGATGAGGGAAGGAAGGAATTGATGGTGGCTCGTGGTGGAAGAGAGAAGAAGATGTGGTATTGTGAAGCAGAAAGATGTTGTGAGCTGTGTAGTATGCTGACCACTAGCTAATGAAGTCTGTTCTTTGTTGGCAAGCACGACCAAGCAAAAAAACATGGACAGCGTAAGTGCTCGCTTTCTTGGACGCGAGAAAGATAAGAGAAGATGGTATTGGACACAACGGTTCTGCATCAGTTCTGATCTTCGATACATTGAGATTTTGAGACGAAGGGCCTTAGGTCCACCGGCCGTAGAGAGTGAGGAGAAAGTATGTGGAATGGCTTTCGCTGCAATACATATTGCGGATGTTTTTCGTCATGGGATCAAGCCATTCCTATCTGCTTCTTTAGTGTTTGGGCGGCAGAAGATGCCACAAACGAGGGCAGCGAACTAGGAAAGCACTATGTCTCACAAGAGATCTGGCCGCCAGCGCTGGCTCCCCTTACATTTTTGCCACATCTTGCTATCACAACACCTCCTTCGTCCGACAACTTGCGCATCTGAGCAGCATGCCGAGCCCACCGAAAGAACCAGACCGTTCGAGAGTCCACTGGAACTGTTCTTGACAATGCCTGCATTTCTGGATATTATTGGCACGTTGGAGAAGAGAATCGAGCCGCGACGCCCAGGCATCCTTTTGGTCAAGAGCCACTTGTGCGTCGTCTTTGGCTTCCAAAAGTTTATATTCCAGCTCGATTTGTTTAGCTAGAGCACCATCCAACAGCACCCTGTCTTGGTCGTTATTCCGTACTGCAGCATCTAACACGGCAACTGTGATAGCCTTGGTGTTCAGAACAGCGTCCCTGGACTCTTCATCTTTCAAGATGTCTTGAAAATGTTCGCCGCAGATGTCCAAGATGATTTGACGAAGTCCCATATCTTGGTCAGGTGTCGTAGAGAAGACGATTTCGGTAACCGCGTGAAGATCGTCGTGTGGCCACTTGGATCTGGCCAAAGTCTGGAACTTGCACTTTGCTAGTTCCTTTAACTCAGGGATGTCGTATTTATCGGCGACAGCGTAAACGAGAGCATGGTTCATCATCCTGGGATCGTGTAGAGTAGTGCCCTCGATCAGCCCCAAAGTCGTGCCCAGATTTGTGTCTTCTTCGGTGGTCGTTGAGATGGTGCGCAGCAAATGAGGTGGGAGCGAGCTATCCATAGCTCCATGGTCTGCTGGAACGTTGGGAACTTCTTCATCTGGGTAGTCGAGCGTATAGAGATAGAGCAGCATATTCTCAACCGCCTGTAGATCATCGTCATTCATCGTGATCGTAGCAGACTTTGCTTCCTAGTCAATGTCAGCTTTGCGACCATCTTCCTCCCAGCTGATACTCACCATGAATTCTCCATTGCATGCTGCGGCAAAGAAAGTTGAGCGAGGACAGATGACTGAACGGTGAACTTTGTATTCCTTTGAACCACAACGTATAGTCATGTCCGAGTACTTTTGAGAGGTCCATAGGTACTCGTTGCTCGCTAGGAGGCGATCTTTATGGATGTCTGCCATTCTGCCGAGTAAATCTAGGCTATTGTGCTGAGTGAAGGATGTGCCTGGCTGGCACAGTGCTTGTCGAGGTGAAAAGGAATGCAAATTGAGACTCGTGGAGTGGGTGAAGTCCCGGCTCTGGCCATTCAAGCTCAGCTGAGTAGGCTGCTTTTGCAGATGGAGAATCACCCTTACCTTGTCGGGACAGCTGAGGTATCTCGTCGTTCAGTTTAGAGATTGTTGCGTCTCACTATGTTGCGTTTGGATTGAGCAGTGAAAATGTTGTCCGTGAGTGTTGTATTGATACAAATACTTTAGACGCGGCTATTTTTGACGCTAAGAGCCAGCATTAGTCCACTCACTGTGGCCTTCTGCAGCAATAGGTGCGATGGCACGAAGGTAATTGATAAGGTTCAGCGTAATCACTCGAGTCGAATCCCATCAATCAATCAATTGAGGAACTCCATTGCATTGCGAGAAGCAGTTCAATCATCATTGCATGCATGTACAGAAAGCTTCTCAGAGAGATCTCAACTGAGCAACAGAATGCCTGCTAATTATGCTATTACTATGGCATCGAACCCTCATCAGCAGTATCAGGCTTTACTAAATCTTCAGCTTTCATAGGACTGGAGGCCTAAATTGTCATCAGGATCGTTATGCAGGCTTTCAAGCACAGGGATAGTCGTCACGGTAGGAAGCTTTTCAACGGCGGCAGCAAGAGATGGCTGGGTGTTTACAGCGTCTGTGAGGAGAAATGCTGGCAGACTACTCTTGCTTTGGTTTGACAAGAAAGGAGGCCGGTCAGGATCTGGAACTTTGGTGCAACCTTGCTCAGCCACTGTGTCTGGTCAGTGCTGCTCCCAAGTACAGAGGGTCTAGGGTACTCACTGGCAACGTAAAATTGGTAGTTCTGGGGGTTGTGGACCGAGTCCAACGGGTCTAAGGCCACGCAATCGTTAATGGGATAGACCTCTGGTGGATCAGTGAAAGCCCCCAAGGAAGCCTTTCCCAGATAAAAATGCACCATCTCATGAATGACCAGGTAGGTCAAGTACATGCTGAGAGCTTCCCCGCCACCTAAGAATTGGTTTTCTCTGACAGAAGGACAAGTGTTCTTATGCGGCGCAATTCTGCCCCACCAGAAGCTTGAGCAAAGGAAGATATAGCTGGAACCTCCAAGGTAAAAGGCCTGCCCAGCGTCTGGCCGGCTGCATATCTCCCATGGATCGAGCTCGAGAAACTTGTATTGGCTTACTGTGCTGCGTGTGACACAAGCGAAGCGAGGTGCAGACGGCACAGATGGATCTGGTTTGAGACCCTTCAATGGCTGAGCTGAAGCGATGGACCGCAAAATGCCTCGGACGTAAGTCGAGGTTGCGCCATCTTTGAACAGTGCTCTGAAGCCATGATGACTATCAAGTCCAAGCCCCACATCGTTCAGCGCCGGCGTGAGTGCTGCGATGGCTTTAATTAGTACATCCACCAGATTTCCTGTGTATGCACCACATCCTTCAATGACGAAAGGAAAGCTAGCTGGAACCCCAGTAAGATTTGTTGCTGCAATAGTGGTATTGTCTAACGCTGAGAGTCCTTAGCATATCTTGCATAAGAGAAAATAGACGACAGGATTCGTACCTGGGAATTGGAGGGGAACATACTGCGGGAGGCAGAAAATTGGACGGAGGACCGTAGCTGTAACTCCTACTACAATATAAAGATACCGCATCTTCGTAAAACATACAGAAGACCCTCAAAGTTTGCAAATGAAGATAGAGGGTCGGCAGTGTCTGACCTGATAAAGGTATGGTTATAGTCCATCTCCATTGCCGATGATTTGGGGGATCTGCACTTGAAGTAGTATAGTTCGAAGAACTTCTTTGATGATTCGTAGCAAAGCCATGTTGAAGCTATACCCGACTCGCCATGTCTGCCGTGAAACGTGTTGGATCTCTTCCCCAGTGTTCCCCAAAATCCAATATCCATGCGATACCACGCCGGCCAAGCGCTTAGGTGTAAGCGCCATTGTCATCTCCCGAGGGTCGTCTCCAAGCCCCAGATTTGTTCATCTCAGGCCCACAGCCGCAATGCTTCTTGTAAACATTCGCCCAAGTACCGCACGTGGTATAGGGCGGACAGGTGGACAGGTGCAGGTAACATATCAGACGGCGCATTTGCGGCTTTCGCATAAAATAGACACAGGGTCTAGGCAAGGGCTTTCTCATATCCGAGACGGCAAAGGGTCTGGTAGCCGTTCAGCGAAAGGATTAAGATTATCGTAAAACAACCTGGAAGTTGACAGCCTCCTAGCGGAGAAACGATTGAGCCTCAAAATTGAATGAAGTTGAAGGTCTTGGCATGATCGTCGTAGGGCTGAGAGCAAGACGGCCTTGCACGCTCAACTTGATCAACACTTGAATATAACCACTTTGTCTCCTGCCTTGACAGATCTGGAAATCTCCCGAGCGCATTGACATTGTGTCTTCCTGTCTGTTGTGACCATGCCACCCTTCAAAGACGAACATGTCTTGGTAAGCCTGTTCATACACCAGTCGTGCCTGGCCAAACACGCCAGCTTCAGTCAGTACGACTTTGGGATCCAGCTGACCTTCGATGACTTCTAGATCATTGCTCCGGGATCGCAGATCTCTCTCGCCCAACTGGGCCTCCCTGAGTCCTTCACGCCCGCTCGCCTCCGCATTCCAACACGCATGTTCCCCGCCGAGAAAAGGGGAGAGTGGGAAGCCACCAGAATTCGAGAGCGGAAAGTAACGAATACTCTAAATAAGACTGAAGCCAATGGACACCCCCGTGGGGATATCACTATGGGCGAGGCGAATATTACTATGGATGGTCAAGCAGCGGCGGAAGATCAAGAGGATGACCCAAAATATGAAGAAGATCCTACGAGCGAGGAGGGCGCGGTATATCCATTGCGGGATGGGCGAATAGTAGACTGGGCGTGTTTTTTCGCTCTCCTTACTCACATCTACAATACCATGGGCCCTCCATTCCACACGCCGATACTGGTCATCTCACAACCAGCATGGACGGCCCAAGATCACGAGAGCTTGGCACAGTTCATCTTCGAAAAGTTCAAGACACCAGCGTTTTGCTTGATGGACTCGGCATTGGCAGTCTGCTATGCATATGCTACACCTACAGCTACGGTCGTGGATGTCGGGCATGGAAAGTGTGACGTTACAGCGGTGAATGAGTTTCTCGTTAGTGATTTCGGAAGAGGGTCTGCGTTGCCAGGCTGTGGTGGAGAGGCGATGACACAAAGGCTTCACGACCTACTCGGGGGAAAAGGATTCACAAGCGATGTATGCGAGCAGCTGAAGAAAAGTCCAATCTGCGAAATATTACCTCCTGGAACGGAGATGCCAGCTGAGGCTGAAGCCTATGCCCACGCATCAAATCCAGCGGCCGCAGCTTCTACTGGGGCTTCTGGCTCCGGCACAGGGCAACGAGGAAGTATAGCCGCCCAGGGTGGGGCACCTCGAGGTCCTGGGATCAACACCGAGGTTGGAGACGCGGATGAAGATCGAGAATTCAAAGACGGCGAGGATGATGAAGGTGTCCTGGATGTGGCTGCGATCGTTGCTAGCGGAAAGACCAGCGAATTCCTCGCCAAAAAGGAAAGGGAAAAAGCTGCTAAAGCAGCAGCCAAGAAGGACGCTGCCGATGCAGCAGCAGTGGCTAAGGAAAGAAGCCTACCAAACTCGAAGCGCGTCAAAGCCACGTTTCATTACCACGAGCGGAGACCTTTAGAAGAGCTCAATATGAACGGCAAGCGAGCTATGGATGGCGACAGTGGTCAAGATGGCGGCGAGCCAAAGAGACAAAAGACTCCTGAGCCCAGTGTTGACAGTGCCGTTCAGGTAACAGAAAACACAGCTGCGGCGCGTAAAGAAGAGCGAAAGGAGGAGAGACGGCGAAACAGAGAAGGCACTGCTTTTATCCGGAAAAGTGCGGACGTCGGCCTGGAGAGGTTTCAGGCTGCCAGTGGTGGAATCCTCGATCAGATTGCGGACGCGATACATCGATGCATTCTTTCGTATCCTGATATCAGCAAGCGCAGCGACCTTTGGGACTCTCTCATCATCTTGGGCAACGGTAGCAAAGTGAAAGGAAAGGTGACCCAGATTTCTGGTTTTAGCTGAGACTAACAATCGCGTAGGTTTCAAGGAGGCTTTAGTTGGGACCCTGAACTCAAGATATCTCATATCCCCTTCCAGTGCTACAATCTTCACCTCAGAGCTCCCATCGAACTTCACGACACCTGTCGCTACTGGAGCAAATACTCCCCAGCCTCAACATCACCCTCCGTCACACCATGGGCCTGGCGTCAACCCTCTCCTGCTCGCCGCAACCACAGCCTCGAATCCCAATCTTGCTCCACCTGGACAGTCACAACAGCAATTGCATCAACAGCTCCAGCTTCAACAGTATCATCAGCAGCAAATGCAACAAGCTCACCAGCACTCGAGTCACGCGCAGACGCCGACGAGTATCAAGTTGCTAAAGATGCCCGACTATTTTCCAGAATGGAAAGATGTTGGGATGGAGGAAGCTGGCTTTCTAGGTGCGCAGGTAGCTGCTAAGGTTGTATTCGTGGTGGATCAGGGCATTAGCAAAGGGTTCATGTCAAGGACGGAGTATAATGAGCTGGGTCCCCAAGGCATTCACGAGACCTGCCTTTAGATAGATTTCATCCATTATTGGATAACTACCTGGTAATGTCTGAAGCTATTCCCACTGTTATCGAATGGCCACATATCTCCGGAATCAAGTCCTGTTCTTCAATGCGGCGCCGCGAGATACGGTGGTCGTTCCGAGATCCTTTACCCTCCGAATGGTCATCTTGTTCACTTCTTCCTTGACGCAAACACCTTACTCATACGCCTAAAGCCTCATCATCTCATACACCTGGGGCTTGTCACCCGCCACTCGGTGCTTTCGATGTGCTCTTACCATTTTCTCTCGCAACATCTCAGGGCTTTTTGGACAGTATGGGAGCAGAGCATTGCACTGCATAAACATTGCGAATGTAGCCGGAACTTTTGCCAAAACCGAAGAATCCCGGCTTGGTTTGTGGGGGATCCCAGCTCGATGACGTGCGGTCTTTGCGCAAATGTTTGCTCGGGAAATTTAATGGGCTTGGCTTCGGAAGGCTGTCCAACTTGCACGCTTTTGAACGTCGTTGTCGCATTGTGCGAATCCTAAAGGGGCGGAAGTAACGCCGGAGGATCCACTCTTCTTCTGAGTTTTGGACTCCATCCAGGAATCTGAGAGGTAGACCCTCGCTCTCATGGCCAACTAGCTAAATCTCGCACCTCCCACCCCAGACGATCAACGAATCATCGCATCGCCGTCCCAAAAGCCGCCCGTCACCTCCACATCTCCGGTAGCCAATCGACAAGCGATGACAGCGCCAATATTCGGATCCCTCCCCACCCCCTTGGTGATGTCAGAGGACATCCTGTCGATGCGGATGCCGCAATGCTTACATATCATAGTCCGAGAGACTTTCCCATGGTAAGGAAAAGCTGATAGCTTGTCGCTGTCACATTAGGGCCGAGTCAGCTCTTGGATGATTCGCTTGCGTGACTTGATTAGGCGGACGTGCTTACATTACATTATGCATGGTGGCTTTGCCAGGATCATCTCTCAGAATGCGATTGACCATGATAAACTTTTCCCTCTCTGTGAATCATCCGTCTTTACCGCGCAGCAAACTTTTGAGACCAGTCCTCTTCGTCTGAGTCGGGGAAGGTGGGAGGTAGAGCCTAGGAAGTCAGTATGATACGGTGTGTTTTCAAACATTTACTAACCGTGATAACATACCTATCAAAGCGGTCACACCGCCTTCGATAGCAAACAGCCAACGCCATCCTGCCAGACCATTCTGCTCTCGTAGATGTAGAATTCCGTATGCAAGAAAGGAGGCGATGATGTTGGTAGTGATCAAGGACGTCCAGAAGTATGCAAGCCGAACAGGAAGTTCACTATTCTTGTAGAAATAGCTCAGGTAGAGTAGAACCTACACGTATGACGTAATTTAGCAAGGCGTGCGCTGAATGGAAGTTGCGGCGGAGATGGACTCACATCCGGAATGAAGCCTCTGAGCAAAGAGTCTTGTAAGCTTTCCATTGTCTGACGGCGACTAGCGTACGAAATGAAACATAGCCTTCGAGGAGCCCCAGAAGCGCCCGAGTGACGAAGAAGGTGGTGCGACCTGAAAGATGGCTTTGCGAGCTTGCGACGCCACTGAGATATAGCGTCAGTGGATGAGACCCTCAACCGTACCAATATGGGTAACGTACCTCGATACGAGCATCTGAGCACTTTCGAAGGACAGTGCTTAGCAAACGTTTGATGTTAGAGTCCCATTATCACCCACGGTATCCAGTTATCCGGCCCAATCTTGTTACTGACAAGCTGCGAGGGAAGCTCTGCGAAAAGAAAGGAGCAGTAGAATATTGTCATTCCGTTGTTGTAATCGTCGGTAGTCAGACCAAGGTCCCCTTCAATGTACTTGTCAGCGCTGTCTCAAGACTATAGAGGTGGCAGACATACCAAGCATATTGTCCGACAGGGCTTGATTGATGTTGCCCCTGTCAAGCTGCAAGGCGAAGAACATTATACACGCCCGTAGACAGATTTTCCAATCAAGCTAAGACAGATAATAATCAGTAAAGGCGCATTTCCCTCCTATTAAGCCAAGAACATGACGGAGCTTACCCTGCGGACCAATTTCTTTTCTTCTTCGTCTGACCAAGTTGCATGGAGGTCCAACCTGTGGCGGCCTCCGTACTTCTCAATTGGCTTGTAGATATCGACAGCCCTAGGGTCAGAGAAGACATTCCCGTCGGCATTGTGGTCGTCATCGATCGTTCTGTCGCCTTGGAAATCCTTGAAGGTGGACTTCGACCCCTGGAGCCGACTTGGGACGAAGATGCGGTCGCGACCACTAAACCTCCACCAGGAGTTGGCTTTCCGTGGTGTCTCTTGCTCCGGAGGAGTGAAAGAGCCTTGTGATCGTTCCTCCCCAGATACAACTGCCAGATCTTTGTCACTAGATGAAGACATTCTGTAAATGGATGCTGCTTGCTAGATGCAAGTGAACTACGACTTCATGTACGTCTGTCAATGCTGCCTCGGTGTTTTATATTAGATTATTGCCCGTAAATGGAAATCAAATCGCAGGATCAATCACGACATTGCCTAGGCTGGAAGACGATGTCTAGACTGATCTGCATACTTCCAAAACTGGTAGGAGGTGGTATGAGAATGAGCAATGGGCTAGAGAACATGGGATCTGAATTCACGTGAAGGCTGACAAAAAGTATGCAATGGCTCTGAAAGAGACGAAATCGAATGAAGAGCCATTGACAGGCGCAAAACAGGTGGGTATATAGCTCGTACTGGACACCTGTCCCCAACCCCTTGCCGGGGTACCAACAGGGGTACCAACAGGTACCAACAGGGCCATGATGTCATGTGACCCACTAACCCCCAGTCCCACTGTGGCGAATTATCTGGTATGAGACTGACAAGGCATGACGACAACCACAACGAACGGCACAATTGTATGTAAAGGGGAAGGTACACGGCCATACCACCATCACATTGAAGGCTAATTCAGCCACAACACATGGTGTCATCCGTATTTCCCCCGGTCTCATCGTTGGTGAAGGACATGTGATTCAAGGCCATGGGTCAGCAAATCATTATCCGTTGCGAACCCATCCGCATGGATCACTCTAGCCAGCTGCCGTTTTGAGTAAATCTGCCCTTGTATTGGAAGCCATTGTGGTTTTGCATCCTATAGAATGCGAATTTAGCGTTTGAATTGCGTGCTCGAATACGCGAGAAGGACTTGAGGGATTTCGGGGGGTATAGGAAACAATCAAAGGCGAGTTATTACACGTTGACTATGCAGTTCCCTTTGTATCATCTACAAACATCTTCACCTAGAAGTATATTCGAGTAGCAAGGGTGAGCAAAGTGAAGCTGCGTTGAATAGCCTTTCGGTTCTTACTAGATCAAGACTAGTAGTTTTACAGGGAGCCAACTGAGGTAACGCTTACTCGTACCGCGTATTAAATCTCCAATTGTCGGCTTGCAATGTCACCTTGATTCTGAATTACTCTCTCCATCCATCTTCTGAACTTCTGAATACAAGTCGCCATCCGACGCTTTGCTGAAAATCCTATCTTCCGCAGTTGCATTCGCAGTATCATGAGGCGGAATCCAACCCGGGAAAGGTCATACTACCTCGGGCTTCGTGATAACAGACTTTCTTCGCTTTTTGCACCGGGTTGCAGCAACTCGAAAGAAGCTCTATCTACGTCCGTCCAGAAGACGCAATTTGATCAGCATCTGGCGTGAGACGGGCGCGAGCTCTGATAGAACGAGATGCCGTGCTTGCATTAGCGTTTTCTGCACTTCAAACGCAATACTGGCGATCTCTCAGGTAGTTCTGGCAGCTTGCTAATAGCTACACAAAAAGAACCCCGGACTTGTCACATATGCAAAGAAATACCAACATAACCAATGACCCACAAGGGCAAAGTGGCCGATATGGTTGGCATTGTTGGCTTCATGATGCGCTCAACTTAGGATGACCCTTGGAGTAAGTCCTTGCGTCTATCACATCACGTTGAGTGGCAGTCTAGAATTGTCCTCGACCTTCCCTAGGCAGCTTCGGCATTTTGTCTAGAACGCACGCGTGACCAAGCTCTTGCATGAGCGGGGTTCATGTCATGGCGAAACCGGCAGTTCGATTGCGAGTGGCTGTTCTTAAACCCATAACCAGACCTATATGTAGACAAATTTCCCGGGTTTGCCATCATTAAGCCACGTCCATTGGCTTCGTAACCCATCAACTGCCCGAAAGAATTGGTCCAAGACCTCAAAACCTTTTCAGACTCTGAGATCATGGCACCTCATGCGGATGATACAACTTTTGATTCTGAGATTCCGGTACCCACAAAAGCACTTCCTACGAACGGTGATACTCAAGCTCAACCGGCTTCTAACGGGAATGCCAAAGAGAACGCCGCAGCAGCCTCAAACGGCGAAGCGAAAGAGATTCCTGGGCCAACGCATCATGAGTCTCCCAGTCCTCCACTGGAGCTCAAGGGCGTTCTCAACGAGTTTAAGTCTTTCGACGTGACTCCAGTCATTGGCAAAGAATTCCCAGAAGCCAAGCTCGCCGATTGGCTTAGGGCCCCCAATTCTGATGAGCTGATCAGAGATTTGGCTATTACGAGTCTGTTCGTCTCCGATCATAGTACAGGGTCGTCAACTGACAGCTGTCTAAACAGTCTCCCAACGCGGTGTCGTCTTTTTTCGAGCCCAAGACGGTCTAGATGACAGCCTCCAAAAAGAACTCGCGCAGCGCCTTGGCGAACTCTCCGGAAAACCAGCATCGTCCAAGCTGCATATTCATCCGGTCATCAACTCGGGCCGCGACGACGGCGGAGGAGATGACGAGGTCAGCATCATTAGTTCTCGCCAGCTCAAGAAGCTTTACAAAGGTCAATTCATGTTTGCGGGTGAGAAAAGGCAGAGTGGAAAAGAGGGATGGCACTCGGACATCACATTCGAGCCCGTGAGAACATTCAGCCCAAGTCTCGATTCCAACTCGTCTACGTCGACTAATAGCATTCGAATACCCACAGGTGCCAAGTGACTATGCCATTCTGCGGCTTGTCGAGCTCCCAGGTACCGGAGGAGGTATATCTTCCCCCCTTCTAGTGGCCTCTGATTTTGCAATGCTGACAATGAATCACCACCAGACACCCTCTGGGCTTCCGGCTACGAGCTCTACGACCGCCTTTCCAGCCCCTACCAAAAGTTCCTGGAGACCCTAACCGCCACCTACGCGCAGCCCAAATTCAACGAGACCGCCAAAAACGGCGACTTCAAACTCTACTCCGCCCCCCGCGGCTCCCCCTACAACATCGGCGAAGAACTCTCCGCTATCCATCCGGTCATCCGCACGAACCCTGTCACAGGCTGGAAATCCGTCTTCGCAGTCGGCACCCACGTGCAGCACGTCAACGACGTGACACCCTTGGAATCGAAAGCGCTGCTGGAGTGGTTCGTGAAATTAATTGTGGATAACCATGATTTGCAGGTTCGACATCGCTGGCAGAACCCGAATGACGTGGCAATTTGGGATAACAGAAGTGTTTATCATGCCGCGACGCCAGATTATGAGGGGTTGGGCGAGAGGTTGGGTCATAGGGCGGTTAGTATTGGGGAGAAACCGTTTTTGGACGTTGGGAGTAAGTCGAGGCAGGAGGCATTGCAAGGCTTGCCCAAAGAAGGGAACGGGACTGTCGAATAGCCCAGGGGAGTCCTCAGATACGCAGGTTCAAGCAATCTACACACCAGACTAGAAATCTCAGCACTGCCTTGAAAGCCGCACCCACCTCTCTTGTATTTTTCCTACCCGATATTATAACCTTCAAACGGAGCAAGATCCAAAAGCGCCAAGAGGCAGGCAAGACACCAAAAAGCAGGGTGTTCTCGGGTGTTGGCGATTATGCGAAGAGGTCCTGCCGTCATACGTAGAAGTGGTCCGAATGAGGATTTCTGGACGTCAACCTCATCATTCGTAATATTGGTATTGGCAAGATACAGAAGACTCCTGCCGCTGCAACTGCCAATCAAATCTGACAGTTCGCCTCTTGTAGACAGGAGATGCCATCTCCAGAAGTCAGTCCTCCACCCCTCAAACGCCGCCGTATCTCCGATCCAAAAATTCACCATCCCTCTCCACCATCCCTCCCATCCATTTCCGCCCATGACTTGCCCTCCACATCCACAGATGACAGTCTCCACATCTACTCCTGGAACATCAACGGCATCAACCCCTTCCTTCCCCCCTCTACCCCACCAATCACCAACTTCCTCAAGCCAACCTCTGCCCCGAACACCCTCTCGAACCCCGCACCGCCAAAACCCTCACTCCGCGCAAACCTCAAGAGGTGGAAATGGCCCCACATCCTCTGCCTCCAGGAAGTCAAGATCGCCCCGACCGACACGAAGACCCAAGCCTCGGTCCGCCGCGCCGTCAACGCGCCCCTAGACTCCGCCGATGACAACGACGGCGACCGCCACCTCTACGATGCCCATTTCGGCCTTCCGCGGGACAAACACAACGCTACCGGCTTCGGGGGCAAGGTGTATGGCGTCTGCACGCTCGTACGGCGCGATGTACCCGAGCCTACGACGAGGACGGTAGGATGGGATCTCGAAGGGCGGGTGTTGTTGGTCGAGATACCGGGATGGAGCGTGATGGTTGCGAATGTCTACGCGGTCAATGGCACCACGAACGACTACCGCGACCCTGCTACGGGAAAGGTGGTCGGCGACAGACATGATCGGAAACGTATCTTCCACTCCCTGCTGAGGGATGAGGTTCGTCGGTACGAGGACAAAGGGTGGGATGTCGTTGTCGCCGGTGACATCAACGTCTCGCGCTCGGTCATCGATTCCTTCCCGCGGTTACGGATGGGCGAAGAGCACGTGCGGAACCGGGCTGATTTCGAAGAGAAGTTCATGAGGGATCTGGGCATGGTCGATACGTTCCGCTTGGTGCATGGGCCGCGGAGGAAATTCACTTATAGGCCTAGGGATAAGCCGTGGGGCTCGGGTGGGGACAGGGTGGATTTGATACTGGTGACGAGAGGGTTGGAAGCTCGACGCGGGGTCAGGGGGGCGGATGTGTTGGATAGTGAGGAGGAGAGGGGACCGAGTGATCACGTGCCCTTGTTTGTGGAGCTTGGGGTTGGCCGGGTGGAACGCGTGGATGGAGGTACGGGTGAGGGTGAGGGTGGGGAGGGGGAGGTTGGGTTGGATGAGCGGATAGAGGTCTAGGAGGATAAGAACTTTGAATAGCGAGTATAAGAGCTTGTTGGCAGCAAGCCAAAAGGCACAAATTATCCTGGGCCAGTGCACATGAGCAGTGAAAATGTAGGCTTTGACAAAGCCACGGGATCCTAGCCGTCAACTTGCCTCGCGAATTATAACATCCTTTCAAGTCTGCGGTCTTTTATCTAATGGGTGAAGGTGAGAACGCGTCGCTTTGTCCCATAACTCAATACCGTTGGCTCATCCCTACGCCATTTAACGGAATTTCCTCTACATTAACCACGGCCAGACTTTCCTCCGTGTTTTTCCACCATCACCATCACCACCACCACCACCATGGACCAGACATACGCGGAAAGAAGAAAGAGCAAGTCCACCAGGGCCAGTTTCCTCGGCGCCGGCGCCGGAGCCATCATAGGTGATGCGCTACTCGGACCCGGTGTCGGCGCGCTCAACGCTGGTCGCGAGCTCGCATTCCAAAACCCTCGAAGTACAGCATCCTCGATGGCGAATGATGAGTCTAAAAGCTTTCTTAATTTCTTTCGCCCTACTCATCATCGGTGACCGCACAAGCGTACTTTCTTCCGTAAGTGTATCGAGTCTGCATCTGTCCGGACGAGGTTGACCGATTCTAAACGCTGGATTGGAAGACGGCTGAACACACGTCGGGATCGAGGAGCGGTGGATAAGTCCCAGATCTCGGGCGGATTTTGATGTTATTGTTGCCGACAGGTGACCAAAGATGAGCAAGTACTGAGCTGTGTGGGGTCGGTCTCGGCGATCTTCAAGACTGACAGCCAAGGCGCTGGCTTTGTCATTGGCGGAGGCTTCGATTGTTATGCCGGCCGGCTGTGATTGGACTATTGGTGTATATATCATGAATGCAAGGGCTTGTCATGCTCAGAAGTATTTCCTGTTACCCACTCAGGAGGTAGTATTTCTACCGAAGGTCGATGAGGGAGATGTTTAAAGATTGTGATACGTGGGAGCTCCGCTCAGATAGAACAATGGACTAGAAGGTATCTTGAAGAAGATCAGCGACAATGTTGTCTCGTGGGCCAGACGTCCGTGCGTCACTGAAACCAGTTTTTCTTTGAAAGCGGCTGGCTGAAAATGCTGATCTTCACGATATCCAATCGCCAAAGTCGTGTAATCGAAAGTGGCTGGCTGAAAGAGGAAGGTCTCGAATCTAGTTATCCGTGGCCGTCTGAAAGGCTTCATGTTCTTGACACCTTCTTCGCAATCATTCGTGCCGCATACCGCGGAGGTTCGTGTGGCTGGCTGAACCGGCCTTGCTGTTGACGACGTCAGCAAGTGTCGCCTTGAGGTCGATCTGTTTCATCAAGCAAATGGCTGGTTGCGTAGAAATGATAGGACTTCGCACGAGTAATCATATATTCCTGGCGTCACTTGTGATCCTTGAACGACCCGTCTCTTCATCATGCGTAGCAAAGCTGGTTATCTTGTTCTTTCCCTGGTCCCATCAAGGGAAACCACATCTTCTCTGCCGGCGAAGTCTCAATCAACAACGCAGGCAAGGAAGGACCACATCATAAGAACGAACAGGTCAAGCTTACAACACCCACAATCCTTCGAGTAGGTGCGCTCCGGTCTTCATGTCCGGTACACCGACTGACTTGAATGTCCTTGCCGTCTGCTTTCGCCACCTCGAGTTTGAAAAACCCCTCGTCATCAATACAGAAGACAAGCAGCTTGAGAAAGAAAAGGTCCGGACGACGAAAACGAGGAAAAATCTTCATCGACCACCTACATCCAGAAAATGTCACGAGAGTGCAAAAAGGTCAAAGCGTTCCGAGACAAAGAATGGTTCGTGTTGTCCGGCGAATTTTCTCTCTCGACTCCAGAGGTTATGTGAGGAGCTAGACAAGGCGGAGGAGCTGTAGGGCACAACGATCAAGGAACTTGAAAATGAAATCAATGCCGGCGTGAACGTCTTTCCAGACGAGAATGCTTCTGTAAGGAGCAGGTGGAAAGCTTCTTCATCGAGCAAACTTTGCTTAAGTTCCCAAATTTCCTCATAGACACGCGAGAGATTGATCGAGCTCCGTGGATAGAAACAGGGCGGCATGCTCTCGGTTCTACCAGGTGCGAGAGCATCGGAAGGCGCACTCCCAGGAGGTGAGCGGACGGAAGCGACGGCTTGATACTTTACTTTAGCGAGTTTGTGTGTATGAATAGGGAATGAAGCTTAGGTCGTAGTCTTGGTCTGAATATCATCATGTGCGTGTAGGCTTAATTCTAAAAATTCGCAGATATTTCGGAATAAAGGTCACGCATTGCTGGCTTTAGCTTAGTTTGAATCGGTGATGCACAGACCCTAGGCCATTGAATTGTGTGTTTCAGTATCCATACATAGCTCGCTGATCTTTTCTTGTAGCTCGTCTACCTGCTTCAACAGGGAGCCGGAGGGCCCGCCATGGAATGTGCATTGGAGTCAGATTTTGGACCAACCAGTGCGGCCTGAGCCCAGTTACTGCGGAGCTCATCGCAGCCATTGTAGATGATACAGATTTGGAATCAGGTTAAGTACAGTGAGTGGTGTGTAGCTTGCATGAATTATTCTATCTCAGAGCTCCCCTGGGCCAGTATTTGTACCCCTCACAAATTAGGTGGTTGTTCCAACAGGTGGCTGGGGGGAGGCTGGGAACCTTATTTCGACAAGTTGGGCAGATGTGTATGATTGTCGATAGGATTAAATCGCTGTACCAAGAGGAGTTCTCGCTATGACTGAAGGGGCTCGGTTCCGTCACGCAATACCTACCACAGTATCCAACGAATCGGCAACGCAAGGGTGCGAGAAGAGTCAGGTAAAATGTATCGTTAAGCCTCGTTGCACATTGCTAAAGTTCTGGTATCCAAGTATTCCGATATCCCATTCACGTCTTTCGAACTCTATCAATCCCACCCCGCTACTTCGCCTCCCCGTACATGCGCATCCCAGCTTGTACAGGCCTTAGAATCCCCTTCCCTTCCAGCTCCGACAATAAGGCCAGTAATCGGAGATCCGTCTCGGGCGGGCTCAACATAGACAGAGAGACCGGTAGGAACATCTCAGCCTCTGTGACGCGCGACTGGCATGGCACTTCTCCGACAGGGACGGTGCAATCCGGACACCCTGACAGGTAGCTTAGGCTGTAGATCGAGAAAGAGGAGAAGAATAAGGGTCCTTTGTCCGGGTCATCGCGGTAGGTTGGGGAGCCCCAGCTCTGGGGGAAGATGAGCAAGGGAAACTCGTCTTCGGCCGATCTGGCGAGGACGATCTCTCTGAACCACTGCGAGAACGTTTTGGCGGATTGTACTGCGGTTTCGTATTGCAGGGTGGTGGTCGATCGGCCGTGGTCTTGTCGAGCTTTGACTACGGCGTCGATGAATGGTGAGCGGCCATTGTTTGTGGCCTTGAAATCAGCTATGAATGGATCGATGGTGTTCCGGACGCAGGAGTGGGTAGTAAGCACTGTGTATATCCCGCCAGTGGCCTTGTCCAAGCTTTGATCCTGTCCGGCGGGACGAGTTTGCCGCCACAAGTCATCGAGATTGAATGGGCTCCGGGTGCATTTGAGGTGTGATTCAAGCTTTTGGATGGTCTCCTCGAAGAGTTCCTCAACGTCTGCCGCAGAGCCTGGTTCGCCGGGATACGGGAACCAACGACGCGAGTCTTGAGGCTTGGTGTCCTTGGCTCGGACGGGGTATAGAAGCTTATATTTCACTCGGGGTTTCAATGGGACCGAGGACAACTCCATCAAGCTTTTCACGACGGCTTCCACGACGGGAGCAGATCGAGCGAACACTCCAACGCTGTCAAGGAGCGGCGACACCGAATATATGCCTGCAGTCGAGACGACGTTGGTGGAAGCTCGCATGCCATACGTGCCACAAACACCTGCCGGGTGTCGAATGGAGCCCCCGGTGTCAGTTCCGATGGTGAAGTCGAGCCAAGGGTAGGCAGCAGAAGCGACAGCGGAGCCGGCGCTTGAAGAAGAGGGTGATTGGTACGAGTCGCCGCGGGGGTTGAAGGGGGCAAGGTAGTCAGTCCTAACAAAGCGAATGAGTAATTGTAATACATCAATGACGCTAAAAACCAGCCACCCAGGATACGTGCTGAGGAGCTTATCATTCAGTCAGTCGAGAATGTCAATTAGAATTCAAAAGGCCTCTTAGCGGGCGTAATCACTGTGGCCAAATCCAAGATTTGAGAGCCTCCTCGGCCGTCAATATGGTTGCCGTATCCTTGTAGGGCATATATGTACGAAAGAGAAGAGTATGGTGGAAATTGAAGAAGGAAACTGTACCATTGTATGGGTGCTTCCCCCTCAGCAAATTGGGTTGTCTTCGTCTTGCCCACTAGAACCGCACCTGCATCGATGAGGCGGTCGACGCACCGAGCTGAAGAAGGCCGGCCCGGGTAGAGCCTCCGATAGCTGCGGTTTCCAAGACCTGTTTCGAGACCGGCCACATCAATGATGTCTTTGACAGCGAAACGTAACTTGATATCAATCAGCTAATACCATCCAGTATCTTACTTTCCGCTGAAAACCATACCCCTGCTAAGGGTTTTGTAGGTGTACACTCTGTGTCAAGTCTTGAAGGGACAGCTATACGACCCTAATTAAAGTCAGCGAATCCGCCCTCGTCAAGTCAGATTTTCGCACCCCTGTGATGAGCCACTGGGAAGAATGAAGCTGAGCGCTGGATGTGAGAGATCCTCCAATGAACGCGCTGCAATCATCTTCGTATAAACGCGATACATGAAAAATCTCTCCAGTTGATGGCCGGATTGCATAAGGACCGGTCAGCAGTTGAGTAGCCTCTAATTCTAAGAGAACAGAGGCCCCATCTTGCGCAACACATATTTTCGAAGTCTGGGATTTTTGGAGTATGACGACTGTTGACAAATGTTACATTGTTAGCAATCCTTGGTTGCAGTTTTGGTACGACGGCTAGCCTCACCCTCGAGAAACGCCGGCGTCCAAACATCATCACGGAGAACAAATTTGGCACTAATAGCATCCAGGTCTTCCTTGTAAAGCTGGTCTTTCGACCAATTGATTACTGTGCACGGAAGCAGGTTTTCTTGGAGGCCATTGGAAAGCCTGTCCGTGGGCTTGGAAGGCTGAAAAGAAATTACGTGGGCTGGGGCTTGATCAAGATAATAATCAATTCCACCGAAAGTTATAACAGTGGTAGTACGTTGTTGATAAACCTTCGAGTCGTGTGTCTCTTGGATTGCTTGCACAATAGTAGACATGATGGTGTTTCCCACCTCAAAGTAGGGCGAAGTCAGACTGCAATGCGAGATCAACCCCTCAAAGTCCGAGCTGTTCGTCGCCTCGGTCGGAAGCGAGTGGTAATTTTAGCTGCATGGAAGAGCGCCTAGGCCCAAAAAACGATGCTGCATTGGGACAGATCTTCTCAGCGTAGCACAGCAGTGGTGATGATAGAAAGCGTGTAGATTCAGTGGTGGGGCCATCAGCTATTATGTAGCTGATGGAGAACAAAGCCACGGCTATCTATGGCTAACTACATGAAAGGAACAATGATGGAATATGCATGGAAGGATGGAAGGATGTAGGAAGGACGCATGCATAGAAGGAACTAGACACGCTGACAGATCTTACCTGCGGTGGCGATCAATCATGCTCTGTAATCCAGAAATAATTTCCGCCATCTCCGGCAAGCGGCAAGGTTGCTCGGTAAGACCACTTGGAATCTCAGGAGTAACTTCGATATCATATGATTTGTCGATGACAGAGAGAGGTAGTGATGCCTGCACAGGACGGCACCTAAGCCGGGTTGCAATGGTCTTGGATAAGGGCGGTTAAGCTACCCGGAAAGCCTCCTTCCCGTATATTTCAGCACAGAAAATCAAGTCGCACGAGCTAAAGAATTGATGTTAATGCACCGGAAGACATCTGGATTCACTTGCCAAACAAAGACATGTTAGAAGAGCTTTTGGGATTTGAATCGAGCCACAAAAAAAAAGACCAGCTGTCAATGGGGGTTGGACTCGAAATGACGGGTGACATTGCCTGCCCCTATAAGGCTGGAGGATCAAAAAGCAAGGTCCACAGGGCTATGTGTGCTGATCAGCTCAGGATTGCAGGATCGAATTGGTGTGATGGTGGGTAGTAATTGTCGATCCTAGCCGCTACATAAGGTGCGCGGGCTCCTACAGCATGTAACTTTCTCATCATCGCTGAGCCTCCTGGAGAATAGGTGCTTCTGGTAGAAGTTCGTACAAAGTGAATTACAAGATAGCATCATTGAAGATTCCTATTCCTTGATGGCGAGCAAGTTAGCTGGCAGGCACCCATCGGAAGATTCTCGACAGGAACTTGACCTGATCCTTAATGGAGACCATGAGAATTGTTTCCATGCCCAAGATCACTTCACGGTGGACAACTCCATAGGGCACGTCTTCGATGTGATTAGCGGCAATGGGATCATGAGGTCTGATGTTGGCGGTGATGAATTGGTTGAGATTGTTAAGGTTAGCTACCTAGTCTACCGTCCCTTAGCCTGCCTTAGACTTGCGCGGGTATTTTTTCTTTTCTAGGGACCCCGCCGCCCGGGTCCTTAGAGCAAGGATAAAGCCGATAACCCCTGGCGCATACTTTTGGTTAACGCTGCGACAGAACGACCGACCCGGGAGCTATGATACAAGAGTCATGCAAGTAACCTGGTTCCCCCTGTTGCCAGAGGCTAGCAAGATGATTCCAAGCACAATGATCCAAGAGATCTAACGGATTTTCCTGTGTCTACATAGTTTTGTCGATTGCGTTCAGAAGGATCAGGAGAGGCTTTCTGTCACCTCAGCCCATCTCCGCTCCATCTTTGATACGTTCGACATCTCTCCACGCTTTGCGGGCTTCATATCCCGTCAGCATATGCCGGGAAGTGCCACGCGTTTTGATCAATCCACGTATAAGCCGCACCAGCACGGTAGGTGCCACAGCTGGTGTGAACCTTTCCTATCAAGCAGACCATGAGCCCTGATCATCACGACAGAGCTGTGGTACTCTGCCGTAATTCGATCGAACTGGCTTCACGGAGATGAAACAGCCCGCGATCTTTCTCGCAAGGTGGCCGATTGGAGACGCTTCTCTCTATGGTCCAAGTACGACCTGTTCACCAAGAGGCTGCATGTTCTTGTGCTAGGATGGCCACCGGCAATGAGAGAAAACTTCCAATCCATATTTCAGGGAAAAACCGGTCTACAATTACAGCGACATCCAATGATCCTCCACGCATACTTTGCTAGAGCTCTCCTGCACCAATCATACGATTTCTTGCACGAGTTTTCGGATCCTCTGTACGAGTGGGCAAGTATTACCCTTTTGACCCTGGCTTGACCTTTCGGTATTGAAGACGTTGACTAATCCATCAATGTGGGAGTTCAGGAGTTCAAAGCTCAGCAATTGAAAACGGCTAATGATTACACAAAGAGGGTACAGATCTTCCTAGCGTTTTCGCGGCAGATCCAACAAATCTCCACTGACTATGACGTTCTTGATGGAACCCTCGAGCATTTAAGAAGACAGAATCAGTGGTTTGAGGATAACCTTTTTTCAACGGCCATTCCAAGAATCGCTTCAGCGACCTCTATGCGGGATGAAACGGAGCTGCGTGCACCGCTCCGAGAGACATTCAACTCTTTCCTGAGAGAAGCAAAGCTTATTCGCACCTATAGCAACCTCTACAATGAGAAAACCAAGATTGGTGTCAGTGAAGGCTTTGCGATGGTCAACCAACGAGACGCGGAAGTTTGTGAGCACGAGTCCAGCTTGGCAGGTTTCCGCTAATACTCTCTCCAAGGTGAATCTCAGAATGGCAACCGAATCCACACAAATCGCACGCGCTTCCCATCAAGACAGCCGAGCACTCCGCATCATCCAGATCTTTTCGATGCTTTTCTTGCCTGCCTCCCTCGTCAGCAGTATCTTTGGCATGGGCTTTTTCAGCACTTCCCAAGGGACCGATGGCCAGGCAATTTTCACAATTAGCAGTAGGTGGTGGTTGTACATAGCGATCAGCGTTCCCTTGACGGTTTTGTGTTTAATGTTCATGGGCTTTTACAACATAGTATCCAACTTGATGGCAAGACGAAAACTCCATTTAGACACGGAGAAAGTACCTTTGAGTGAGGTTAAAGCGGAATGAAAACAGGCGATATACGTTGTAACAACAATGTGGTTTTAGATACATCATCAACGCTGCCATACAACTCTCCCAGAAACGGACAAGAAATGAGACACAGGTGGGAGTAGATTCCAGAACCTTTAGCATTCTGAACTTTCCTGCTTAGATGGCGAGGTTTTCCTCTTCAACTCACCCTGGCCAAGATGAAGAGAGGAAGAGGAAGAGGAGAGAAGTACCGGCAGCCGTCCACCTTGAGCCGAGGAAAAACGACGTCTCGGGAGCCCAGCGTGTGACTACACCAAGCGGAGTAGCCATGTTGCCACGCAGCAGAAATGCAAAGTTTAGAGACCCATCGATGTCCGCATGATTCCGGCGGTGGTATGGGATCCCATGCCTGGCGCGTATGTCGCCGGCGGATTTTTCAATCAGGTAGGTGGTTTTCAGAACTCGATTGAGCCTCCCTCAATCCACATGACTTCTGATAAAGGGAAGGCTACGAGGCTGGTTCAGAAGAAGAAGAACACGAGGCTGAATCAGAAGAAGAAGAAGACGATGCAAGGCTGCGATTCGTACCCCGCGGTACATCGTGGTTATTGGGCCTTGATCGAAGTTGAAGGGTGGTGTGGGCTCGACCGAGACGCAGAGGCGTGCGGTGATCTGCATAGGCACGGCACTGTCTGCATTTTGCACGGCCGAGCCCTGCCCACCATTGATACCGGGGCTCTTGCCTCTCACTGACCAACCCATATCCTGCTACAAAATGTTTCAATCAATACCGTACTCTTTTCCACTTCCTGCCTTGATATTAACTACATACTCGATCATGATGTCCAGAGTGAAATCTAGACGGTGTAAGCAATTGATTCGCTTCATGATGCCTATTCTCGCGCACTGACAGAGAATGATGCTAGGAGATACAGCTACTTGCTTACGCGGCTCCTTCGGGAAGAATGGAAGAGCACGAAATACAAATACCTTCGGCGAATCTTGACGACCACTTTAATAATAGGAATGCCCAGCAGAACCTCAAAGATACTGACAGTCGTAGCAGTCCTGGGACGCATGTTGGACCTTTTCAGAGCAGGGATGATGTAGATCGCCATGTTGTGGATGCTGCGATCGTTGCTGATTCCCATGAACATAATGAGGAACCAACCAAGTCGCAATCTGAAGGAGTCGCAAGATTGCTGTGTTGCGCGGACTCCTGCTTGTACTACCTCTTTCAACCTCGATCCTGATCCTTTCCTCAAGCTGTTCCAAGTATATTGGGCAGATTCGACGCTCCACATCAAAGGTTGACATTACAAGCGTTACAGTTCTTGTCCAAGGGTCATGAAAGCTTGATGGGAATGTCTTTGATGGCCATGGTACTGCACCGCCTACATTGATCATACGATGCATTCCGACCGACAGAACAAGAATCACGAAGCCGGTAGAGGATCATAGAAGAATGACTGAAAGATTGCACAAGGGGAATACTATCGCAACTCGAGAAGAGCGTTCGGTTCCTCATTTCTGCGCACTTACACAGTTTGCGACAGAAGAGGACGCCGACCTTGCAGCCGTCCAGTATCATAAGTACGTGCATCAATTCACTTATCGACGAAGAGTTTACGTGACGTTAAAGGGGTTATCGGCATGGTACCTGCGTCTGTGGTTGAGGAAGACCAGATCGCAATCGTTTTGGGCGGAGACACTCTGATGAAATTGATGACGGCTTATTGTTTTTCTATGGAGTTTGTGTGCTACTTATAGTTGTTGTCAAGCACAATAGAGCTAAGATGCTAAACTCCAATACTCCCCCTGTAGCGAAGGTTTATTTGCTTCCCCTTTGGGACTGTAGCTGTAGCTTTCCATGAATTCCATTGCCTGTGTTTTGCTTTGAAGCCTCCTTAAACCCGTAAACCTCGCTCGTGTAGGGAAACCGGGAAGAGTGCTTTGGATGTGAGTGTGCCTATCGTAGTAGGGCTTTCCGAGATGACTTGCTGTAGGGTATATCGAGTGACTGGTTTATAGGCTTTAAGTGGGTGTCTGTTCCTTCATGCCTCTCCCTAAACTGTCCTCCCCTAAAGCCTTGTCGAATGCCTTCGTAGAGAGAGGACTTTGTGGCGTGTTGTAGGGTATCGAGTGACTAATTCGACTTCGAAATGTATAGGCTTCTGGCACTAGCATCGGGCATAGGCGACGTTGACTCTGGCACTGGCATCTGACACTAGTATCTAACATCTTTCTAACTATCGAGTCCTCCCCTAGAGCCTTATCTGATGCGCTTCCACCTTTCCTCCCCTAAATCCTAGCCCTTTAAGCCCCCCCAATCGTCTGCCTTTAATAGTGCTGTAATCGATATCGTATCGTAGAATATGTGAGGTGTGGAATTGCGCTGAGAAGCCGTAGAGGTGTGAGTAGCAACTTGTGTTAACGCAGCGGACGTCGATTGGGATCTCTATGGCTGAATTATACGACGTAAGAATATCTTTAGTAATCTTACAAAGGAAGCCGTCGTGATAACGATTTCGTCAAACCGGGCTTATAACCTAATGAAATTGATGACGGCTTATTATTTTTCTATGGAGTTTGTGTGCTACTTATAGTTGTTGCCAAGCACAATAGGGCTGAGATGCTGAACTCCAACACACTCCGTTCATCCTAAGAGAAGTAGAAGACGCACACGTACTGATTAGGGACGCCTATGTTTATGGACTCATGTATGGAGAAGCGCTTGGAATGGATGGATTTGCACAGCAAGAGATACAGCTTTTATAATCATCTTAGCAAGGCTCTGAAGGGAATGTGGCTTTACGTTGGTACTGGAGCTCCAAACTCCCGCAATCACACAGACTTCTCCAAGTATGCGTCACCTTCGAATCCTCCCTCTTTACTCATTTAAAGTACGGGTGCAGACAATTTGTATGCACGCTTAATACGGATATCTACTCCAACGACCAAGCCTCGAACGCCAGAACATCGCCCAGTCCGGATCCCAAACAAAGCCAACGTCGCGAAGCTTGCCCCACTGTTCGCGTCTGCTGACCCCATTGTAGCGCGCCGTGACCTGGAAGGCGTCTCTCCGCTCGAGCTCCCGAAAGAGCGCATCCTCCTGGGCCGGAGTAAGCTGGAACCCCGGCGGAGCTTTCAACTCCGGACGCTCCGCTCCATCAGGCCGGAAATACTGGTAAAGACGATACTCTCTGAACCGTAGGGTTTGGATCGCCCCCGCTGTCACTTTGACTTGGCGCTCATCCTCGAGGATTTTTCGAGGCGTCAGCTGCGAGTTCGAGAGCGCTGCTCTGGCGTGGGCTCGACTGCCGGCGTCCCATTGCTCTGCGGCTGCGATCCAATCCTGCTGCCACTGCCGCCATTTCCGTTCGATGAGTTCGTCTCCTTGTAAATGCAAGATCCAGAAGGTGATGTACCAGTATTCGTCCCAGTCTTGGTTACGTTGGATGTTGAATGTCAAGAAGAGTCTTTCTCCTTCTCCTTCTTCTCCTTCTCCTCCTTCCATTCCTCGGTCGTCTCCGTTCGGGAAGACGAATTCGTGCCGGCAAAAAGGGCAGGTTTTCCCGTGTCTCAGCCATTCTGACAGGCATTCTGATCCGAAAATATGAGTATCGTTGCAGGGTAGGCGGACTGCTTTTTCGAAACTCCCGCTGTCGGTGGTTTCGTTTTCGTACGGCTGAACGCAAATCGGGCATTTTGCATTCGCCGGGAGTTCGTAGATCGGGATTTTGGGCAGCTGGCGGAGGAATGCTGTCAAAATAAGGTTCCCAGCCTCCTCCCAGCCACCTGTTGGAACAACCACCTAATTTGTGAGGGGTACAAATACTGGCCCAGGGAGTCCTGAGATAGAAGAATTCATGCAATCTACACACCATTCATTCTACCATACCTGATATTCTGACAGGTTATGAGCCCGGGCTTGACGCTTAGGGTACCACCACTTTTAAGACATACGCTATTCCACATCTATCCTAGCCAATCATGGACCCCGAAACCTCCTCATTCAAGTCACCTATCCGTCAGCTTACGGACAACAACTATTCTGAATGGCTTATCGATGTCAAGGCCCTTCTTAGGGGTAAAAAGCTCTGGAACTACACTCAAGAGGCCCCGGATCCTGATAAATCAGTCACGGCCCAAGCCAAATGGCGTGATTCAGCAATGGAGGCTGCAGACCTTATTACCCCTACCATAAGTGGCCCCGTCAAGCAGAAACTTCAGGCTAACGCTTTTGACGATGGCTACCTTATGATGACCTCCTTAGTCAATATCTATGCCCCGAAAGGTGACGCCGAATTCATGCGATTGACCCGGGAGTACTACTCGCTCCGGTACGAAGATTTCGACTCTATGACTCACTATCTCACTCAAATTAAGACTCTCGAGGAGCGTATTCGCGGCACCAACGTGATTCTCGACGACGATAAGCAGACTCTTCTATGTCTTGGCATGACTCTCCCAGAACGGTTTCAATACTTCACCAAGATTTGGGCTGTGACGCTGGGGATGACTGCTGATAAAGCGAGAAGTATGCTTCTGGAAGAAGAGAGACGTGAAAAGACTTTGGACACTGGGGGGGTAGGATTGGTTGCAACAACAAGACATCCGGGTAAGAGGATGCCAAGTGGAAAGGCCATTCTGAACTACGAGCATGAGGTAAAATGTTCTCGTTGTGGAAAGCCTCATGAGGACGAGGTTTGTTGGAAGTTACATCCCGAATTAGCCCCGGAATGGCTACAAGAAAGGTGGACCATCGAAAAGAGATCTCGAAAGCGGAAATGGGACGAGTTACAGCAGGATCAAGAGGCATCAGGTGAAAAGGAAGCATTCATTAACTTGTGACGGCCAGGAAGGCTTGTCGGTGACGGCCAGGAGGGCTTGTCGGTGACGGCCAGGAGGGCTTATCGGTGACGGCCAGGAGGGCTTGTCGGTGACGGCCAGGAGGGCTTGTCGGTGACGGCCAGGAGGGCTTGTCGGTGACGGCCAGGAGGGCTTGTCGGTAGCACCAGGAAAGGCTTATTGATGACGGCCAGGAAGGCTTGTCGGTATCAGATTTGGGTATAGCATCATGTTTTTGATTGGGCTAGGGGAGGCAGGTCACAGGGGAGTGTCAAAAATAAGGTTCCCAGCCTCCTCCCAGCCACCTGTTGGAACAACCACCTAATTTGTGAGGGGTAAAAAATACTGGCCCAGGGAGTCCTGAGATAGAAGAATTCATGCAATCTACACACCATTCATTCTACCATACCTGATATTCTGACAGAATGCTGTCGCCATGGTGGAAGATGCTTTTTTGTTCTGAGGACTTGAGAGAGCTTTTGATGTTGGTAAGCCCTCCTGGGTGTTCGTTGTAGAAGATTGAACGCCTTGGAGATAGCGTCTCCGAGGTGAGATCGAAAGGCTTGCGGAAGATGTGATGCAAGCCCAGAGCTCTTACATAATCCCAATGTTCTCATGACCTGCTCAAATAGTGTTGTTATGACAACAGTGTTATATCTTTGCGAAGTCAGAACGTCATTGAAACCCCTGGGACTTCGAACAAGGACCATTTGGACAATGACACCTCATCAGTGGGAAGAAAACAGGCGGCAGGCTGTATATACCTCATTGTTCGATAAATTGCTTTACATGCATACAAAGACATCGCGTTGATCTCAGATCCAGCCGTCAGGTACAGTCAGAAGCGGCCTTTCAAAGTCGAGTAATTCAACATCAATCGTTCCAGCCACTCATCGTCCTCACCTATCAAATATACTACTCAGAAGCAGTTTCCCCAAACCCCAGAAACCATTCCCATCAAGCAACCCTGCCCCAACGCATCACGACGCAGCATATCCCTCAATCCAACCAAAAGCATCACAAGCCTCCCCAATCCCACAAATCACCCCGACCTCACCACCACCACCCACCACCGCTCCTCCAAACCCCACAAAGCGAGCGATCAAACACACGCACTCCAACATCCTCGCCGCCATATCCGACCCCGGCTTCCAAGAACCCATCGACCACCTCACCCCTCCCCCTCGACCACGACGACCCAATAAACATCGAGCGCACGCTCACTTTCTTCAACACCGCCGGACCCGACCAAGCGAACCCGCCCGTCCGAGCCAACTCCCTTCCTCACGCCAAACAAACCTGTCCACCCCATCGCGGATAACGCCGCAAAGGTCTCCGACTCCGATCGCACGTCGTGGGGCGCCCCTGCGCTGTACGATACATACCGCCGACGTCGCACACAGCCTAATTTCTTTCGATCCTCGCACAGACGTCTCCTTTCGTCTGGCAACGACGCGATCGGCATTTTTTGTGTTCTTTTCAAGCTTTCGCAAAGGGGTGGTGGAGGGTGTGAGGGATGATGGCGGCGCGGTCGTGTGTAGTGGTCGTTTGCGTGGGAGGGTCGATGGGGCAGGTGGAGGGGGGGGTGGTTGTGAAGGGGGATGAGGAGGGGGAGGAGAGGAAGGGGTGGGGATTCTGTGGGGATGGGTTGTGAAGGGTTGGAGGTTGGTTTGGAGGGGTTTTGGGGGGAGGGGGAGTTGCTGATGAGGGGGAGATTTCGTTTCTTTTCATTGGTTGGATTGGGGGAGTGGTGATGGTGGGGAGTGGGGAAGGGGGGTGGGAGATGAGGGGGTTTTGTTCGTTTTGGGGTAGATGAGATTTTTGCGGGTGAAGGAGGTTGGGTTGGGGTTGGGGTTGGGGGGATTTAGATTGCTAGGGTTTGCGGTAGAGAGGAGGGGATGTTTTGAGCGTTGTGGAAGGTTTTGGTCAGGGTTGCTTTTGAGATCTCCACGCAGAGTGCTTTGGGGGTTTGCTTTATCATTCCGGATGCATTTTCTAATCGTGCAATTTTGCTGATTTAAGGTGAAGAAATTCATTATACATTATCAACCACACAAAACACAAACGCTGGTCTAAGAAAGCCTGCTTTCCATCTAGAAACGCAAACGCAAACAAAAACAGCACGAACTTTTATCATCGCTGGCTAAACCGCACATGAAACCAAAAATTCAGCGCAACTCCACCCATGCCCGTGATATCATCAGTCATTCACGTCCGGCAATCTACCTCTTTAGCGTCAACGTCCCACTTCCCCCTTCCCCTCCTATACTGAAATCCTGACTCGCGAAATGATACCCAATGCCCAACACCTTCGCCTTGCCCACCCACTTATGCGGCGCCAGCCTCTCAAACGTATCCCGCCCCTCATGCGATTCAAGATGCTCCGCGACATCCGCCATCTGCAACCTGATCTCGCTCTGGTGATGTTGGAACGTGGTTGCCTTCTCGCTGCTTTCAAGTGGAGTCGCGAGCGCGGCGTCGCAGACAGCTTGTGCCAGCGAGCGCACGCGGATGAGGTCGAAACTGCCGTTCCAGCCCGCTTGCGACGGAAGCGTCTGCATGCGGCCGGCTAGGTCGGAGAATTCGGCCAGCAGCTCGGGCGTCGCGGGGCTGTCGGATGCGGCGGGCGTGACGCGGTGGATGTGCACGGGGAGCCCGAGGGCGCGGGAGGCGTTTTCGAGATAGGCTTCGCTGGACCATTTGGATGCGACGTAGCCCATGGAGCCGTCGACGGGAGGTTGGAAGGATGCCATTGACGATGCGGGGCTAGCGTTTCCGGCCAGTTGGAGCACGCCGCCGCTGGAGATGAAGTGGATGGGGATTTGGCGTGGGCATGCGAGGCGTGCGAGTTCTTTGGTAGAAGCGAGGTTGGGGAGGCGCAATTGTTGGTAGTAGTCCCAGAAGGATCGGTTGGCGCCGCTGTGGATTATGACGTCCACATCACGGGAGAGGGCGGAGAAAGAGGTGTCGGAGAGGCCGAGCTTGGACTCGGTCAGATCGCCTGTGTGGATGTTTATTTTATCGGACTCGACGGCTAACTGGCGAGGTTCAAAGTCGGAGTTTTGCCGGACGGCGACGCAGTGGACTTGGGATACTCGCGGGTCGGAATTCAACTGTTGGAGGAGGTGGCGGCCGAGGAAGCCGGTTGCTCCTGTGAGAAGAACGACCAGTCCTGAACCGGTGCGGGGAGAGATGACACTTTGTCTGCCGTCGATTGCTTTGCTGGCAATCAAGTCGGCTTGAACAGCGGTCTCAGCTTCCCAATCGATCGCGACGACCGCGCTTGCGTTTTCAATCTTTGATGCCATGCTCCCGAGAGTGCTGGCCTCGAACAGTTCAACCATTGGTAGAACAGCGTTGAAGTTCTCGCGAATGAGTGCTTGAAGTTTGACAAGGAGCAAGGAGTTACCACCAACGTGGAAGAAGTCGGTGTCCCGGTCGATTGTAACGGTAGCTGCGATGTCCTTGGATACGATTCCCTGCCACACTTTCTCCAGAGCCTGTTCCGTCTCGCTGAGAACGACGTTACCCCCACTGGTGCGGGATGCCGATGGCAATGGTAGTGCGTTGATGGCCAGCCTGTTTGTTTTGGAGTGACTGTTGAGTGGGATCATGTCCAGGGCAATCATCCTAGCAGGACGCATGTATTGCGGAAGTGGCAGTCGAACACCCAAAGTCTTTATGAACTGCTCTCGCTCGCCATTGGGGTAGGTCGTTGAGAATTCCACGTGGGCGACAAGGAATTGCGGATCTCCACGAACGGAGCAGACAGCTTTGCAGATGACACCACCTGCAGCTTCGATGATCGTGTTCTCAATATCTTCCAATTCGATCCGGATGCCTCGCAACTTGATCTGAGTATCGCCTTCGATTCTTCCCTCGAAGATGAGCGCACCATCGCTGCGTAGGTGACCCAAGTCGCCGCTCTTGTACACGGTTGTCCAGCCTCTGGAAGCGTACTCTGGGGATGGGTTAATGTCCGGGATGAATTTAGTCTTCGTCAATCTGTCGTTGTTCAAATACCCGAGGGCGGATCCTGCGCCGCCGATGAGAATTTCACCAGTGACGCCAACAGGAACGGGGTCCATGTTTCTGTCGACGATATATAGTGCGTAGTTGGGTAGGGGGAATCCGGCTGGGATTGCTTCTTCAGAGTTCTGCGAAGCCTCCCAGTATTTGATCTCCGATTTTGTGCAAGAGATCGTCACCTCGCCGGGTCCGTATGAATTGAAGAGCCGTAAACCTGTGTTGTTCAGATCGCGGAAACCCTGAACGAGAGTGCTGGTCAATGCCTCTCCACCACCGAACGCGTATTTCCATTGAGAGGCTCTAGCAAGAGATGTCCAGCCATAACGAAGCCAAGAGGAATACTCAGAGGGAGTCGCTTTGGTGTAGGTGATCTTCTCATTGTTGATCAAGTTCGCCAGTTCGGCCGGGTCTCTTCGCTTAGACTCTGGCACCACGTAGACTGTGCCTCCGTTGGCAAGGCCGGAGAGCATTTGGTCCAGAGAGAAATCGAACGAGTAAGCGCTCTGCTGGAGAACTGTCTCCCGGCCAATATTCCATTCTTTGCTGTAGCCTTCCATTTCGTTTCGGATGCTGGAGTGACGCAGGATGATACCCTTTGGTACACCAGTAGATCCGCTGGTATACAAGATGACAGCTGGAGCTTGAGGTTGTGCTTTATTTGCAAAAGCTATGATCTCATTGGAGTTCACATTGGAAACGTTGATGACTTTTGCCGACTTGGAGCCCAAAGCAGGCACATCGTTGGCGGTCTTATCGTGGCAAAGTATCGCGCCAGGTTGGCAATCTTTGACAATTATGGCAAGTCGAGGGATTCCGTTGCGTAGCTCAAGAGGAACGTAGACACCGCCAAACTTCCAGATGGCTAGGAGGCAGCAGATCCAATCTGCTGATGGCTCCTGGAATACCGCAATTGTTGAACCAGCACTCACACCAACCTTAGAAAGGGAGGTGCTGATGGCATCGGCACGCCCGGCCAATTCACTGTATGTCAGTGCAGTGCCCATACCATCTTTGACGGCGATACTTTCGCCATGCTCGATCACCATGTCATCAACACGGTGCGCGATGGTTGCAGGCCAATCAGATTCCATAAGACGACCTGTTTTCGAATCAGTGCGACTCAACAAGACTTCTGAGCTTGACATACCTCGACCAAGATTGATCGCAGCTTTCGTATCGGCAGAATCAAACAGCTGCACTTTGCTTGGTGCGACATCGAAGCTCGAGGCAAACTCCTTTACCAAACGGACGTAACTCTTGAAGAGAATGTCCGTGCTGGTCTGCGAGTACAGATACTTCTGTGTCCTGAATGCAATCTTTATCTCATCACCCGAGACCTCGTTGACGTCCAGTGTTAGGTCATAGGCTGTGCGTCCCGTCGATGCTACACCATCTGCCTGAGCGCCCAACATCTTTGGGGACTTTACCGCGAGCTGGCGATAGTCCATAAACACTTGGAAAAGCGGGCTGTGCGTTGAAGAGCGTGGGATGTCGAGCTCCTCCAAGAGGACGTCGAAGGGCAGCTTGGAGTGAGCTAGCGCACTGTATGCCTTGTCTCGAGCCTCTTTGATGGCTTCGGCAAAGTTCTGCTTTGAGTTCGCCTTGAATCGAAGTGGTAGCAGGTTCAAGAGGAAACCAATGGTACCAGTGGAATTGCTGTCCGTTCTGTTTGCATCTGCCATGCCGACACACACATCCTCGATGTCTAGAAAGCGGAACAAGAAGATCTTGAGGACGGCAAGGAAGAAGTGGAATGTAGTCGATTTGTATCGACGGCATGTGTCTCTAATCTGACTGGCAGTCTTGGAGTCCAGGATCAACTCGGTCTGTTGGTAGTCATACCTCTTCAATGGAAGACGAGAGTTAACCTTGGCCATGGGGAATAGCGGCAAGGGGTCTGGGAAGGTGGAAAACATTTTCTTCCAGTACTCGAGCTCTCCTTTCATTGCACCGCTTTCGACTTCCTTTCGCTGGTTCGCAGCAAAGTCGGTGAACTGGCAGCTGACGGAAGGAAGCGATTGCCCTGCGTAGAGCTTGTTCAAGTCCGATAGAAGAATATTGAAGCTGAATCCATCAATGGCGATGTGGTGGAATCCGAAGACGAGGAAATGCGTGGTTGGGTTGAGCGATAATAGAAGGATCCTGATGGACTCTCCTTGTTCCAGGTCGAATATGTGTTTCATCATGATGTCGCATTCCTTGATGGCATCTGCCTCAGCCGCAATCGATTTCTTCTCTAAGTGAAGCCTCGATGAGGCAAGCACTCCTTGCGTTGGCTCGTTCATGCGCTCAGTGTTGGCGAAGAAGGCAGTCCGGAAAGCTTCGTGCCTTTGCCCCACCGCTGAGACTGCGCGTTCAAGTTCAGCCACCTTGAGGTGACCGCTCAACTTGGTGCGGCAGAGGAGGTTGAAGGTGGTCGGGTCCTCCAGGTATTGCTTCAAGAACCAAAACCGTGACGAGCCGTAAGACATTCTTGTTGTCTTTTGGAACGACTGCTTCTGGACCACAGGGAAAGCATCATCCTTGTGCTCCAAGATGTCGTCAATGTTCGAAATGCTGATCTCTGTAGATGACTCTTCTGCTTCGACTGATGGTGGTGTCGTCGATGATTGAGATGATTCCGAATCTTCATATGACAGAGAGCCATCTTTATCTCCCTCGGACTCGGTCGTCTCCGCCCTGGATTCGAGAGTCGACTCGGTTGTTTCTTCATTGATTTCGATGGCCGCATCGATAGTGTCTTCCTTGGGCTGCTCTTCGATCGGCTTGGTCGGATCAGCCTCGGCTTCGGAGCCCGAAACAAGATTTGGGACCAGCTCTGCTGGAAGTCTCTTGACTGCGTCCTCAATAAGATCCGCCACACTTGCACCTCCAAGGATCTTGAGAACTGGCATATCGAGACCGAGCTCGTTAGTGAACCAGGATCGTAGATCAACTGCCACCAGTGAGTCCACGCCTAGCTCGACTATCGTGGTTTCTGGAGAGATGCTGTCTTCGGGAGACAAATGCAGACGATCAGACAACATAGAGAGCAATCCATCTGTGACTCATGTTAGACTTTAAACTACCTCGGAGCGATCGCGAACTAACCTAGCAGTGTTTGGTAGACAGCCTCCTCGCTTGTCTGCTCTTTCAGCTGCGTCTTGACGGAAACACTACCTTTGGCAGCGCCCCCAGCGTTTTGTCCGATAGTCTTGATTCGTCGGTAATGGGAGAATTTGGGGATGCTCAACCACGCCGGTGGGTTGGCGTCATTCTCAGGGTCGAAAGACTGGAGACCAGCTGATAACTCTGGGCTCCTTCCAGACTCAGGACGTCCAGCGTGGACTGCTTCCGCGAAGAACTGGTGGAAATCCCACTCCGAGATGTTGGCGTAGCCCATGTTGCCTAGACGGTCCAAGATGCCTTTGTCTGTGCGAGTGATGTAGCCAAGTCCAAAGATACCAGCCAAGTTCATTACACTTCCGACGACACCTCGCTTTCTTCGCCCAGCGATCAAGGCGGCCATGAAGGCATTGGCTGCTGCGTAGCTTGTCTGACCGATGTTACCTGTGACCGAAGCAAGGGAGGAAAAGAGGATGAAGAAATCGAGGTCGTTCCCAGGGAAAAGTTCGTCAAGTATGATACTGCCGTCCACTTTGGCTCGAAGGGTCTTGTTGAACTCTTCGTGTGTCTTGTTGGTGAAAAGACCGTCTATAAGGACCATAGCGGCATTAGCAACACCGGCGATCGGAGGCATCGTGCTGCAGATGACTTTGTGCACTGCAATGACAGACTCCTTGTCGATGACATCCCTGTGAAGCTGTTAGCCGGTGTCTGCTACGCATTGTTTTTTCAGTACCCACATTGCGAAGGGCCTCACAACAGCACCCATCTCTTGAATCATATTGAGCCAACCCTGGTCTATGTTTGGCTTCCTGCTTGTCAGAGCGAGATACTTGGCACCCCTCTTCACCATCCAGTGGCAGAGCGATAGCCCAAGTTCACCAGTCAGTCCGATCAAGAAGTAGGTCCTGTCATTTCGAAATTGAGTGTCACACTCAGCAGGTAGGATTCTGACTGGTGCTGTGGCGGCAGCAGTCCAATTTACAGTGCAAAGAGTTCCACTCTCTACCGGATGCTCCGGAATGTCTTTCAGAGCAATCTCTTGGACTTGGCCAAATGAATTGCCACCCGAGAGCTCCACCAGTGACCGGGCATAGGACTTCTGAAGAGTTTTCGAGACTGTGACTCCAGAGTGCCCTGGTCGGATAAAGGACCGCGGGTTGAAGAGTGCGGCGGCTTTGCTCCGTTTGCATCGCAGTGGGAGGTGCTTTTCAATGCGAGCTCCAATCTCGTTTGGATCTGCGCTTCCGGAAAAGTCGACGAATATTGAGACCTGCTTTGGTATGCAGTGTTCGATGGCTCGGTCTGGGGTGGATGGATGAAGACGGTGAATCCCAGATTGGTCGGACTTTGTAGTAGTGTACGCCACAAGTAGAGCTTTTTCCTTGGCTAGCCTGCTGACTGCTGATTTGAGCAATGGTGTAGGCTCGTGCACAAGCAGTGAGCTTCCTTTTGTGGCTTTACCAATGATAGCATCGGCTAAAAGGTCATTTGCGATTGCAAGAAGTAGGCGGCTCTCCTGATCCTCAGCAACCGGGCAGGGATGGGTCCAGCTCTTGGGGCAGGAGACGACGGATCGATTGCCCTCAGATATAGCAATGACCTTTTTCTGTGTCCCGGCAACCACACCTATGACGATGTACAAGTATCCTACTGACTTAAGCTTCAGCGCAGTCAAAACGGACCGGCTGACTTCAATCATCAAGCTATCATCATCATGGGTGAGTTCTGAGATCTTCGGTGCATGGTACTCCTGAAGATCGTATGATGAGTCGGAAGAAGTGATGGTCACGACCGAGGTTTTGATGGAGGCATCTTTCCTGATCAATCTCTTTGCAGAGTTGAAGCGGTCATTCGGTCCATCGTTTGGTATGTAGCGTGGAATCTCAACGCAGCCCTTGGAGATTGCGAGCTCTCGCTCGACCGTCCATAAAGGCTTGTAAGAGTCATTCGTAGACTTCCATGAGTCTGAGATTTGCAGTCGCAGTAGAGTCTCGGCAAGGAGCTTCGCGTCGGGTTTCTCAGCAACGTCTACATCGAGGAATTGCAGGCGAAGATCTGGCATCTCAGCAACCAGGCAACGGGCGACTCCCTGCATCATGTTGGCGTATGGTCGGTCTCCCCTGCTACCTTGGATTATCCAAAGGACATTCTTCGACTGATCGAGAAGGGTTTGCACGGCTTTGAACTTCGCTTCCGTGAAAGGATTGAAGACTGGAGCATCCAGCTCTGTAAGGCTTAGGACCGTAGGCTTGGAAGCGATAATAGACATGTCCAGGTCTTCCAATCTGTCCACTGTCGCGATGTTCTTGCAGAGTGGCTTGAGAAGAGAGGCGACATCATCGATCAGACGAAGAGTTGGCAATTTGGCTCCACCGAGGACCAGCAAGTTGTCGATCACAGGTTTCGAGCCAGCGAGCGACAGGGGCTTCCTGATGTAGTTCATCTGCGTGTCGACGGCTTGAGTAGCCATAATGGAAAAAGGAACCAAGAAAACCTTGGAATCGGGAGTAGCTGTGTCGATACCCGAAAAACCGGTCTTGCGAAACGTCGAGTCCCACACTTTCTGGGATACCAATGGGCTATGGACTCGGTTGTCGTCTCCACCAACCCACCAGCCAGGGATACCGCTGAACATGAAACCGATTCGTAGAGGCTCATTGTTGGTGATTTCGAACAGAATCAGAAAGCCTCCAGGCCTTAATAATTTGCGTGCATTTTTTAAAGTCTCCTCGAGAGATCGGGTCGCGTGGAGGACGTTGGATGCGATCACCAAGTCATAAGAGTGCTCTGAGAAGCCTTGCGTAGTAGGATCATGCTCAGCGTTGAGAGGCTTGTAGATCATCTTGCTGGAGTGATCGCTAAAGAGCTCCTTTGCTTCCTCAAAGAAGCCAGCTGAGATATCGGTATATGTATACGACGAGTAGTTGTCACCGATGTGGTTTAGTGCAGCGCGAGTCGAACTTCCAGTACCAGCGCCTGCTTATGTTCAGCACCTGCAAACAAAAGCAGCGTTAGGAGCAGGCTTACCTATCTCTAAGATATCCATGTGTTGATAACGGTGAGCAATTTGTTTCACCATGCGGCCAAGGTAGACATTATACTCTGGGAATCCGTAAGTGTCTCTGTAGAAATGCTCCAACATGTTGTTCTCTCTGAATTGCTCGATGAACGAGAGTTCACCTCGAGCAAATGGAATCAATCTCTCGCCAACAAAAACCAAGCTGTTGAAATCGTCATAGAGCTTTGCCATCCTAGGCGCTCATGTTAGTGTCGCTTCAGCAAAAGTAGTTCAGACGGCTTACTCAGTGATTTGTGCGTGGAGCTCATCATGTGTATCATTGAGCCACTCCTTCTTGCAAGTCGGGTGTCTGCCTTCAGAGGTGAGCTGGACTGTGTGAGCAGCCCAGTTCAAGACCCTCGTTTGGTGCCAGTCACACTTTTCGCGCTCCTTTGCGGTGATCGTATCATGCAACTTCTTCATGTAGAAGAGACAGGTACGTTCAACCAAGAGAGATCCGGTCTCCTCAACATCATTCAGAGTCCACTCTTTGAAGCCTACCTCGCCATCCGGTTCAGCGACATTCCAGATGGTCTCAGCAAAGATTTGTTTGTCGTCAACTGCGGTAGGCGTTGTAAGAGGTGTCACATGGAGGCCTTCGACTTGAACAATGGCATTAATGCCGCTTTCATCGTAGATGTCCACGTCGCCAGAGATCCCATCAGCGACTGAGGCTGACAAAGACGCATCGAAAGGCAGGCTAACTCCAAGTCCTGCTCCTGGTGGGCAGGCGAATGGGTTGATCGAGATCTTGTTGATCATGGTGGGAACATGAATTGTCCAGAGCCTGCCGTCACCTGGAGATCCGATGGCGGCGAATACTGATTGGAACGCTACATCTAGCGTTGCAGGGTGGAGAGTGAACGGGCTTGGTGCATCAGGATTCGCAGCACTGTGTATGATACCGTTCGCTGCGTCTGTTGTCCTTTTCAGCGAAGTTATGGCGCGGAAGATCTCGCTGTAGTTGTAGCCAAGGTTGGTCAAATGGGTGTAGAACAGATCTGTGTCGACATCCGCGAAGTTGACGCCTGGTGGAGGTCGTTCAGGCAATGCGACAACAGAAGGCTCCCCAAGACACAATTTGAGCTGTCCACTGGCCATGGACGTGAGATTGCCTGAATCTTTGTTCTGGCAAGCAAAACAGGAAAAGTCGGCGAAGACAGATCTCTCATTGTTGCTGTTGTCCGTCGTAACATTGGTGAGACTGAATATGGTCTCAACGCCAGCTGCCTCGTCGTAAAATGCCAAAGCCCTATGGATGCTGAACTCACGAAGTTCAATCAAGCGAACTTCTTCGCTGGGCGCAAGTACTCTTGACGATTCAATCGCCATTGCAGCGAATCCTGCAGCTGGGAAGAGTGTCTGGCCTTGTATCTGATGACCTCGGAGCCAAGGCATTTCTGTCGGTTTGAGGAAGTTCCTCCAGCGGTACTCGCCTTCCGTATTGTCAGCAGTCCTAACACCTAATAGCTCGTGCGTCGCATCTTCTCGCAGGCGAATGGCTTTCGATTCTCGGGCCTCATTCCAATAAGTCCGCTCATGGTCCCAAGTATAAGACGGCAAGTTCTTCGACAACGTGTCTCGAGCCCCTTCGCTGAACAACTTGTCGTAGCTCGTGAAGTCGACGACGGCGGGCCCGAGAGTGCTCCAAACAAACCCTAGGCCATCCGAGAAAGCTTCAACGTCATTGTTCCCTCGACTCAAGACTCCGGAGTATGGAACGGGATTACCAACGACGTCTTCGACGGTCATCATTGCAGGGCCTTTCAGTGCAGGATGCGGCCCAACTTCTAAAGCGATTGCAGGAGCTCTACCGTCGGCGACGGCAGCCTCGACAGCCTGGGAGAATAAGACCGGCTTGAGCATATTGTTCATCCAGTAGACGGCTTTAAGATCATCGACGTTCTGCATGTCCATTTTCTGGCCACCAAGCACAGAGGAGAACCAAGAACAAGACCCAGACGGAGTCTTAATATCGATCTTGCAATGTTCCAAAGAACGTTGGTAAGGACCAGAACAAGGATGCATGTGATGAGAATGGTATGCCGTGTCAACCTTCAAGAGCCTGGCGAACTTGCCTTCGTCTTCCAGAATTTCCTTGGCCTGCTCCACAGCTTCTGCGTTACCGGACAAAGTAACGCTTGCTGACGAGTTACTGGCGGCGACTTGTAGCTTTCCTTCGAATTCGGGAAGGGCGCAGAGTTCGCCGGCGTCCTCCATGGATGTTCCTACTGCAAGCATAGCGCCAGATTCGTTGTCAGGGCCGCGAGCAAGTTTGCTGTACACGCCTCTGTAGTAGGCAATGCGGATTGCGTCACGCGCACATATGAAACCGGCTGCGTAAGCGGCGGCAATCTCTCCACTGGAGTGACCGACAACATTATCGAATTCGATACCAGCCTGGCGGAGAAGGTCCACTAGGACGACCTGTACTGCTGTGCACAGAGGCTGCGAGAACTCCCCCTTGTTAAGGCGAGACGATGTTGCTGGAGCAAGCATTTCAGTCTTGAGAGACCAGGAGGGACGGTCTACCTCTGGGAGCTCTGCCAGGGACCTTTCAAGCTCATCGACGATGCTCTCAGCGAACCTTGACGCCAAGATAAGCTCTTTACCCATAGTAGCCCATTGGGCACCTTGGCCAGTAAAGACACCCAAGATTCCGCGATGCTTCGTGATTGGTCGAGTCGCAATGGAAGCAGATCCGGAAGATTTCTCCTCGAGTTTAGCTTCGATTTTGGAAGCAAGATTTTCTGCGGTAAGGGCGGAGAATGATGCTCGGAAAGGAAACGCCGATCGTCGAGACAGCGTCAAAGACATATCTCTAAGGTTGAAGCCGACGTTTCCGCGCAAGAAAGCAACGTAAGTCTGGAGCTGGGATATGAGAGATTTCTCCGAAATCGCTGAGAAGGTAAACGGAGTGGCGACGGTAGAGTCCTGCTTGTTAACCTCGTTAGAAAAAGTGTCGTTGGGCTCATAGTTCTCAATGATCGCGTGTGCATTGGTGCCACCAAATCCTATAAATGGTCGCACATGTCAGTACTGAACCCGTTGATAAGGATGATGAACCTACCAAAGCTGTTTACACTAGCCCTGCGGGTACCCCCCTCAGGTAGCGTAGGCCATGCCTGTGCCGCTGTAGGCACTTGCAAATGGCCATAGAATGGCTCCAGGTCGGGGTTGAGAGTGTTGAAGTGCATATTAGGAGGGATAGTCTTGTTTCGGATGGCCATAGACGCTTTCAGAAGGCCGGCGATACCAGCAGTACCCTCTGTATGTCCAATGACAGTCTTGATAGAGCCGACAAAGAGAGTCTCGTTGGCATCCGTGGTGTCCTCCTGAGAGAAGAAGGCCTCGTGAATGGCTCTCGCCTCCTGGGGGTCACCGGCCTTAGTACCGGTACCGTGAGCTTCGAAAAATTGAGGTCGATCAGCCTGCTTCGCCAGGTCCAAGCCAGCTCTGGCGTAAGTCTGACGGATCAAACTGGCCTGGGCTGTGGAGCTTGGCATAGTAATACCAGTGGTGCGACCGTCTTGGTTGACACCGGTTTCTCGGATCAAACATTCGATGGTATCACCATCTGCGATAGCAGCACTGAGGGTCTTGAGTACAACAGCTGCAATACCCTCTCCTCGTGCATAGCCATCCGCATTGGCGTCCCACATTCGAGAGCGGCCCGTTGGGGACAACATATTGAGGTTGCTTTCGGCAATGTACATCTCTGTCAATGGTCGAAGCGATTAGTAAACAGTAGCTGGAGCCGGCACTTACAAAATCAAGAAGACTTACTGGGTCCGAAGATGAGATTTGCCCCAGCAGCGACTGCAACGCGAGACTCGCCACTCCTGAGGACTTGAGCAGCCTGGTGGACGGCGACCAGACTGGAGGAACAGGCAGTGTCAATAGTCATTGACGGACCCTTCCAGTCAAAAAAGTAGGAGATTCGGTTCGACATAATGCTGCGGGCACTACCAGTTGCAGCATAGGTCGGAATTGACTCCGTATCGTGATACACGATCTCGGCGTAGTCATCGCACATCACACCGACATACACTGCGGTTGGCGATCCTTGCAAGGCTTCGATTGTTTGGCCAGCGGACTCGAGAGACTCGTAGATAGTCTCAAGCAGTAAGCGCTGTTGCGGATCAATACAGTCTGCCTCTCCTCCCTGGATACTAAAGAAGTGGGCGTCAAAGGCGCGGGGGTCCTCTGAGAGAAAATAGGACTCGCGAACATTGCTTGCGCCATGGTGATGGCCATCGACGTTGTAGAAATTCTCCGCCTTGAACCTGTCAATTTTTGACAGGACATCACGCGGTTGATGCAAGAGCTCCCAAAGTTTGGAGGGCGACGTCGCTTCTCCGGGGAATCGACAGCCACTTCCAATGACCGCGATAGGCTCGTTGAGTTGAGTCATGTCGTAAGCGTAGGAGTAAGGACTGGGTTTTTCGGTTCTATTCTAGAGGAAGACTAGAATACTATTGGATTCTAGACTGTGGGTATCCTAAAACTGTGTGACACAGCGCGAACTAGTCAGCTATTCAATAGGGGTTTTACCTAGAGAGTGGAATATGTCTTTCTATATGACGGAAAGATAGAATATGTTGTTTCTGTGGAGTTGTCTTTGGAGCCGGAAAGGTTTATTCTGCGTGTCTGAAGGAGTTTCCTCGGTACCTGCACGAGTTATCCTGTTCTGACTGGGGACCGTATCTGGGTAGTAGAGTGATCTGTTTGGCGGGAGACAATAATCTCTGCAGAAACAGTGTCCTATTTCGAGGCCCAAGAGTTCGTCGTGCGTGGGTGGAAAAGTTTCCTCTTCACCTGTGTAAGTTATTTAATTATGTGCGAGGGGCTTACCTAAAGAGTTGAGTGACTTGTTCAGTACGGTAGAAGGATGTGGGGGGATTGACTTCGTCTGAAAAATTTGAGAGTTGAATCTCTGTGGCAAATGAATACCTACTCTTGAAGTGTATACAAGATGATTTCGCTTTATTCGCAGCAGAACTGTCCATATAAAAGACATAGCACCTACCTTGACCACAGCGGCGTAGGCTCATTGCTGCGGTCGAGTTCTGATTGCTACAATGCCGTACGTGGGAACAATGTGCCAACCAACGGTTCATCTCATCAGTCAGACGAGAGCTGAAACCGCGTCCTCCAACCGAAGGATGCAGATGAGCCTCCACCGGTGACATGAGACGGTAAGATCAGATACGACATTGAAACGGTCTCAGATCGCAATAACCTGCAGCGCGGGGAGATCATGCCACGTGAAGAATGCAGCTGAATATGTGCAGGCCTGAGGCGAAAGAGATGCACAGCAGGCATGCCTGTCGGGCCCAGAGACTCAGCACAACAAGAGGCTGGAGCGTTTAATGATCCTGAAGTTCCCTTATTGCGACATCATCCGTTTCGAGAGATATAGTGCTGACGGTTGACCTGAAAGAGCTTACCCATCGCGAAGGGTGTTTTTGTATTCATTTTTATGCTTGTTTCATGTCATTGTCATGTCATGCTCATATCGCCCCCAGATTTTCAGTGGCGGAGTACGCTAGCAGAAATAGCATGAGTAGATATCTGGACCAATCAACTACTTTGCTGACTGTTATGAGATCGCGCTAGTATGTGAGCTGAGCACCAAAATAACGTCGCGTCTCAGAAGTGCCCCTTTGGCCCCGAAAGTAAACTCGCACGCCGTAGCTCTAAGCGCGCCTATAGGCCTACGAAGGCCCACCGATTTAAGAGCCTTCTACGCCTAGGGTTAGGGCTAGTATTAGACAAGTGGGACGGGCGAGGCCATTGCGACACTGTCATTATCGCGCTATGTTCATAAAGGCAACGATTATGAACGGCTTCCGCAGTCCAGACCTACTGGGCGCCTGCTCTACCACTGCTTTCAGAAAGAGCATGGTGGAGAATGAAATGTCCAGTAATTGACGATACTTTGTTTGTCAAGATTCAAGTTCCGCAGGTATTCTCCTGTTAGGATGTCTGATTGCGTATGACTGTGAAAGCGATTTATAGAGAAACAGATAGAGAGACGGACACAAGTCAGATGCTGGTTCTACATTTGAATCGAAATACCAGTGCGCAGAATTCGCCCAATAGCCTATGTCTCCCTGTGATATCAAGCCGTAATCCTGATGCTACAATCCATCATGGCTTTTCCCCAAGCGCCATAGCCATCTGAACATAACCAGTGTCATAACCATCCACTAAACATCTCGCCAGCAATCTCTACCACCCCTCTACAATCTTCGCTTTGACCCAAATCCCCTTCAACGGCTTCGCCGAAAACGCTCCCCCGGAAACAACCACATTCTTTTCATCCAACTCCTTCTCATCCCTCAACACAAATTCAAACCTCCCCACCCACGCAGCCACGACGCACGCCATCTCTGACCTCGCGAACCCAGAGCCAATACAGTTCCTCGGCCCATGCATAAACGACAGAAGTCCATACTTGCTGCTAGCACCTCCAGTGGCATCAGGCTTGCCTTCGGCCGTCATCCAGCGCTCTGGTCTGAATTGATCGGCGTCAGGGCCCCACTGGTTCTTGTCCCTGTTCGTGCCTGTGATGGCGACGATGATGCGGGTTTCCTTGGGCACGAAATGGCCGAGGATCGTGGTGTCGCAGGCCGCGGTGCGCGTGGTCATGGGAATGGGCGGCCAGTAGCGGAGGATCTCGTTGCAGAAGGCGTTCAGGAGAGGCAGCTGGTCGATGTCCGTACTGGCGATGTTGGTGTCGCTGCTGAGAGGGCTTGGGAGGCTTTCGCGGACTTCGGCGCGGAGACGGGCTTGCCAGTCGGGGTGCACGCACATCATGTAGATCGCCCAGGTGATACCGACGGAGACTGTCTCGTGGCCGGCTGCGAGGAACGTCATCATCTGGTCTACCATACCATCTTCAGCGATCTCTTGGCTCTTGACCATGATGCTGAGGATGTCGATGTCGGTCAGTTCTTTCCTAGCCAGCTTCTCCTGCTTGACACGGATCACATCGCGGCAGGTCGCTTTGATCGTTTGCGCGGCGTGTTCCATGGCGAGGTTGCGTTTGATGGGGATGATGTTTACAATCCATCCGGGAATGACGCCTTTCAGGATCGCAAATATTTGGAGTAGACGTGTAGGTTCGAAGACGATACGGTAGGTGCGGTTAAGGGGCGTTTCTGGGTCTTTAATTGCTCCGAAGTCCTTTCCCAGCGCTGCGAGTGTGATGACGTCTAAAGCGGCTCGCGATGCCCATTCTCCTATGTCGAAGGTGGAAAGTTCCCTCTCCTTCGATGTATCATTCTTCATCAACTCCGTCATTTTGTCTGTCACTTCCTTGGCTTTTTCCCAGAAGACCGGATACAGATCCTTGATGTGCTTGACAGCAAACGCCGGCATGAGAAGCTTCCTTTGTCGCTTGTGTTCGTCTCCATCTGCCAGGACAAGACCAGGACCGAGGATTTGCCCTCCGATGTACGTTAGCTGTCGAGGCTTGATAAATTCGTAATTTCTCGTGCAGATCTCGGCAAGCGCTTTCGGGGAAGTGGTCACAAGTCGTTCGCTGTTGAAGATACCCAAGTAGCGGAATACACCGTCATGGGGGATTGTGCGTAGCCTGGATAGACGGTTAGCTGTCTTTCCTATGAATCCTTGGGGTATCTATGCCATACCATTCAGCGGCCGGAGCGCCGTTGGCCTCTGAAAAGATTCGTGCTGCGTTACCGTTCCACCAACTTGCATTCTAAAATCATTAGTACGTCGTTCTCCTTGATCTTGCAGAAGACCAATTACCTCAGGACCTGGCAAATGCCTCAACGGCGAGAAGTATTTGGGATACAGAATGACTTTCCAGAAAGCCCATATTGAAAAGCACAGTGTCCAAATCTGAAAGAACGTCCCAAAGAAGCTTGGCCGAGAGAAAAGCAGAACGTCTGGTTTGTAAGTGACAAGTGCGTATGCCACAATAGCTGAGAAGCCAGTCACAGGTCTCACGGGTACATCCGACATTGTCGCGAAGGTCTGTCAAGATCCAAAGGCTCGCGAAGATACTGTTCCAATGAGAAAGGAGACTGCCACTTAGAAAGACAAAATATTGTATCTCCAAGATTTCGAGCCAAAAAGAATCTTGATTTCTTCTTCTCGATAGATTTGGGCAAGCAGCGAGACAAGTGCAAGAACACTGACTCAACGCAATTGACAGCGTCCGTACCTCGGCGTGAGGATCTTTGCTGACACCTGCTGTGCCAACATAGCAACGACAGCAGGACTTTTGCCTGAAACCACCTCGAAGCAGTGGTTCGATGTTACATGTGTCCCAAACACATTATTAGACACAGTTCAACAAGTCTGTCACGAATGACATTTTACTAGCGCAGCGCAACCCTCGCTTGTCACGCTTAAGGCGTAGACGCAGCCTTCGCTTATCTTATGTGAGGGCTTACTTCATGGAACACCAACTTGGTCATGCATAACATCAGCCGAAACGTAGGATTCACAAAGATGGCCTGTCTGGGGCTGATGTTTGGCCCCAAGGATCGAACCTTGTCAAGATCAAGCTTTGGTCTCGCAGATCCTGCCGACAAGGATCGAGTCGGGTCATTTGGGCTCGCCTCCTCCTTATGCATGCACCTCGCACAGGATTTGATCTCAAAATACGAAATGGTGGCGTGCCCGAAAAGACTCTGGCCGCGGGCTGTGGGGTGCGAAGATCTATGCTGTCAGAATTGAGCGTGCTTCTCAAGGACCCTGGAAATATACATTTGAGTCTTGGCTTTCCTTCTCCGTCTCTCATATCGCTCTATTGCAGTATTGTCTCAATCTTTTCTCTATTGACCACACTTCTGCCATCTTGAATCCCTACAGTACGATCGTATTTGAGTCCATTCCAGCAACAGCATCAAAGATGACCATCACATACCGCGATGGCGTCGCCATTCTTCAAGTCGTTGCCTTTGTACCAACTCTCGCCTTTGGCATCATACTGGCGATGCGTCACGGATTTGCCAAAAGCTCTGGCTGGGTCCTCCTGATTTCTTTTTCCATCTGCCGCCTCGTAGGCGCCATCTGCCAGCTTATAGCGATATCGCATCCGTCAACGGGCGTCTATACGGCCGCTATCGTCTGCATTTCCATCGGTCTCTCGCCATTGACTCTGATCTGTTTGGGACTGCTTACTAGAGTGTATGCGTTTCTCCCCTGCACAAAGCCGAATCAGATCTAACATGCAGAACAGAAACAACTTCATTCCCCGCCCAATACCACGGCCTGTTTTCCAAGGCATAAGCATCTTCAGTCTTGCTGGGATGAGTCTTGGTGTCTATGGCGGAATCAAAGCCAGCGAATCGAAAACCCCATTCGTTCTGAACCCAGAGAGCAAAACCGCAGTTGCCCTCTTCACGACCGTCTTTGTCGTTGTGCTCATCGTCT